GTTTGTATAAACAAAAATCAACTAAACAACAGCTTTGAATAATTTAAGAAATGAACAGATAAAAATTTTAAAAATAATTTAAATAAAATTAAAAACAAACTTATGTAATAATTATCATATATTATGTACGAATAGTATTTCATCTATTTTGTTTTCATTTTGTTTTTTTTTTTTTTGAGGTTTTCGTTTAAATTTTTGGTAAGTTAAATATCATGTTTTATTGTTCGAAAATAATTTAAACTTTCAAGGTCATTTGTTTAAATGGACGAACATTTTAACTTCAATTTTATGATTTCGTATTGCAGGAAAATACTTCAATCCATCATCAATGGTAAGTTGTATTAATCTTTTGAGTTCATTATGACTTAGTCCTTCGAAATTCTCAAACGTTTTGATTGCTCCAAAGTCTAATTTATTTTCTATATCTTTCATACATTTTTCCATTTCATTTATGAAATCTATGTCGAATACTCCGTTCATTCTGTTTGAATATATATGACGACGCTTGTTAAACTGCTTAGTTATACAATAAATAGGAGCTGTCCGAATTAAAATATCATTAAATACAACTTTAATCGAATACAGTAATTCTTCAAATTGACTTAAGATATCATCTGTCAGTTTTAAATGTCTTATGTTCATTTTAACTGCCCACTTGCTAAATCTATGTATAATAGTAAGAGCTGTACTTTCAATAATATTGGTTGTGACAATGTAACCAATATTATATCGTTTTGATATTATAGAATATTCAACTAAATCACACAAAGCGGTAAAATGCAGACTATCGAAAGTTATATATTCATCTTTACGTTTCAAATTAATACGTATAGGGCATTTTACAGTAAATTTCATTTTGTCTTCATAAACGGCATAGTAATTATGACTACCCAATGGTAAATTTTTGAAACGTTCGTATTTAGTTGATAGTTCGTTTAAACTTATCAAAGTGACATCTTTTAAATTGGATGCATTCATAAAATCGATTGCAAAAATTAAAAATAAATTTATAGAAAAAATAAACATATTACCGACGTCTTCCACAGAAACAGTAGTATATTGCTTGGTTTTCCAAATGAAATAAAAATTATTTTAAACAACTTTATTAAGGTTAGTTTTTCTAAAAATAATTTAAGTTTACGTTAACACATTTGAACATATTTTAACATTTATTAACATGAAAACAGCTTTAAAAAAATTTAATATTGATGATATAGTTATGTATACTGCTATTTTAATAATCATTTTTATTTAAATAATATCTATTTTTTTTGTGATTTATTATGCAATAACAATGCACATAAAGAATTGACTATATTATTAACTCTACCACATCATTTTTTTTTCTTTGATAGATGATAAATATTAAGTTGATTTTTAGATTTAGTGTACATTAAAACATTTGTCAGTTTCATGTTTTAAATACACATTTAAAAAATGTTTATTTGCTTAAATCACAATTTTTTAAACATATTTAAAATTCAAGTGTTAAACTTTTTTTCTATTATGTTATTTTCAACTTTAAACTTAATCAATATATGAAATTATATTCAGTAGTATAAAAATATAATAATAATACTATTATTACCATACATTAATTTTAATACACCAATATACAAAACATTTTGTTAAGTAAAAAATGTGTCCAATATATTATTGAATGAGTATTACTGCTGCTAGAATATTAGAAAATTAATAAAAAAAAAATTGTTAACTTTTCATAAAACAAAATAGTTTTCGTTAAGGAAAATTATTCAAATTTCTTTAAATGTCTATTTTAACTTTTTTCGGTATCCTTTTTTTATTCTTTTATACATTCTGTATAAATGTAAAGAAAAAAGGATACTAAATGAATAATATCCATCATTAATGTACGAAGAAATTCAATGATTTTAAACTAAAATTTAAGTAAACTTGAGAATTGATAAACTACAGTTACATGTAAATTAAATTATTATTATTATTTATTTAAATAAACTATCTATTTGATCGTCGAACCTCTCTAAATACAATTTAAAACAAAAATTGAATCGTAATTTATTACAATAAAACATTTTTAACGAAAATTTGAATTGTCCTCATAAATATACTTTTAATAGTAATTAAATAAGTTTCTGATCACATACTAATCTAAAAAATAAAACATTTTATTCCACATAAAATTTTCTATTTAAAGATATAAATTCTAAACTTGCAAGTTGAGTCAAAATTGTGTTTAAAGGATCAACATTTTGAAATTATAAACTTTTATAAAAATCAACTATTAAGGATCAAAAAGGTAAGTTAAAAATGTCATTTTGAATTGGAATGTTGTAGGGATTATTTTTAACACATTAAAACTTAATAACTTGATAAATAAAATGTTTTTTAATTAATTTGTTTATGTGTTCTTATTAGTAATGTATGAACGCAGCGCCCGGTGATAAGTCATTGCAAGTAAAGACTGGTTCTAATGCATAGTGTGGTATATCGTGCATTTAGAACTGCCCTTTGTTTGGTTACACGGTTTTGCGTCACCGACTATCTCGGAGAAGCATTTACGATGCGGTAAGCCAGATGTGATAAACAATCTGACGTAATTGCTGATATTTGGGACCCACTGTCCATTAACACACGCACACTCTGATAAGAGCCGGTGTTATCGCGAACATTTTTAGGTGTTATTGCGCACGGCAGCAGTACCCAATGCTACGGTACTCTGTACATATGAATTTCCTGAAAATTTTGGCGGCGTATCACCTGTTTGATCAACACTTGACGCGACGGTGGTTATTGTATGTTTCGGCGACTGCGAATTTTTCTGTACCGAACGCAACGCGGCTAGATTTGAACCTTTGAAAAAGATTTTTCAAAATTTTACAACGTTGCTGAACCAACTTCAGCAAGTGATCCATAGTAGCAATAATCCATTGTCATATACTGTTCTCAAATAGATGTCTTGTTGTGTTATCGTGTACTCGGAAACAATATAGAAAAGCAAAAAACCAGACAGGTCGTCTACGCTTCAAATTTTGATTGCCTCAATATTTTCTTTAAACACATTCAAAAAAAGTTGCAAAGATGAAAGTGATTCACTATTTATAGGTCGAAATGCAAAGATTTTGTCCAAGTGTGCCGTTGCTAACACTCTTTTGTTTTAATACCTATCGGTAAGTGCGTTCCACGTTATATCGTAATTGGCTTCCGTAATTGGTATAAATTTTATGACATCGAGCGCGGAACCGAACAAACATGTAAGAAGGAAATGGAATCGCCTAATTCAATTGGAATCGACAATCAACAATAGATTAAGATGTATCACGTAAAGTAGTCCGGTCTGTGATACTACCATCAAATTTTAAATTCATATTCGCATATGAATAATTTTTCAACATAAATAATTATCAATTTTTAATACTTTTCTGACCGTTAATTATTTTATTACTTTTTACAATTGTATCGCTTATTTGGAGCGATATTTACATTAATGTAAATCTTTTTAATTACCATAAGACATTTGTGGCGCCGAACAGACGGCAGGATAAAATAGTTAAATTCTTAAGAAAAACTAGCCTCCCTTCATCAGCTTACCTGCTAGTTTAATATAAAAAGGCTAGGAAAATTAGCACACCAGCTCATTCTCACTTATTATTTCCCCTATACTCTTACTCTTACATATTAATGTTTTTACAATAAGTCAATAATACTAATTATTAATTCAAATCATAGAAACTAAATTCAGAATGTTGCCCCTCATACCAGTATTTTTATTTATTTAAATTAACTTAAAATATCGACATCAACAAGGAAGATCACGATTTTCATTTATTTACGAGTCCATCTGGATACTAGTCGTAAGATATGCACTATATTTATGTAATATTATGAAATAGGATAGAGTGGATGAGAGGTAGGATTAAGATGATATGAAAGAATCTAATAATATCCATATAACTATAACACTTCCACTTTACCATCCCCCTCACTTTTCTTTTTATTACAATGAAAGAGGTTTATAAATATTATTTCTCTTTAAAACAATCGTATGATCTATACATTTTTCAAAAAGTTATAGTATTATAAAGTCAAAAATGTAAAATATAAAATCAAGAATTTTAACACAAAAATTGCATACGGTAGCTATTTTCACTGTGAAGACAAAATAAAGTCTGAAATTTTTTTTTTTTCCATAATAAAGTATATTACATAAGTTTTATTTAAGATATATATAAAAGTGTCAGTATTTCCGAAACACTTTCAAAAGTTAAGATGAAAAAGTTGTCATTTTAAATCCCCCCTTGTGGGCATGTAAAGGGTTATATTTAAAAAAAAAATATTTAATAAAAATAATAAATGTTATTCTTAGTGCAACTTGAAGAAAAATTCATTTTCAGACGAGTTATATTAAAACTACTTTTTCAAACATAATATAGTATGTGTAATTTGTATAGTTATTCTGGGTTATTCCAGCAATTAAAGACTTAGCCGCCCTATTAACACTTATGGGTGTTACTGTACTATTACAATGATAAACATTTTAAACTATTTAGCAATTTTGTGAAATATTATTTAATAAATAAGTGATGAGTTATTTTAAGAAGTACAATAATATTTTTATTCGATTATTTTATAAAAAAAAAGTGTATATTAGGGATTGCTCAAGTAATAAGAGTGTACAGTAAAAAATCTGATTACTGAAGAACTTCCAAATATTTATCTTGTAACAAACCAAATACTAAAATTAAAAATCGAAATTTACTTGACCTCACTAAACAATCATGATATGGCTTTTTTCAAATGTCAAAAAAAAACTTTTTTTTTAATTCTATGTTTGATAATATTTTAATTTATTCTTCAAGTGTATTCTAATCATAAGAATAGTAAAATTCAGTTGCTACGTGATACTTAATATTGATACACAGATGTTTACGATAAAACATAAATTAGTTTGTTGTTTAATTTTGGTTAAGAAAAACTATTTTTATTTGTGCTTGTATTGAATAACTGATAATTATCATAATTCTTAGAAATTTACATACTAAATGCAACAACTAGTTATTTGCCGATGACATATTAATATTTACATACGCTGCTAATAATCGCATTTGCATTAACGAGTGCATTCACCTGCATTATTAATACATGCTGGATGCTTGCTCAAACCTTCGGTTTCGACGACGACGACAACGACGACAGTGTAGTGTTTCTAGTCGACCATAGGTGGCGGTATGGGCGGAGTGACCGATCAGCCAACTGATTGACGAGGCGGACCTGATAATTATTTTAATTATATTTAATTAATTATAATTATTATAATCATTAAACATATTGTAAGAAAGATTTTGATACATTGATTTTATTGTATAAAACATTATTACGATGATGGTGAAGAGTTTTTTTCGTCGATTAGCAACATTATTTAAATGCTGTATTTCGGAAAATAAGATGCATAATACAAATGGTAATGTAGTTAGTTCAATCTAGCTCAGATATTTTTTTAACGAATAATACTAAAATATATACAAAAAAGTATATTGGAAAATGCAAAAAGATAAAAATTTACTTAAACATAATATATAATTTACTATACTAAAATTTGATGTTGCATAACGGGATGAATAATGCATTAAGCTGGGAAAAATAGAATAATTTTCTGTGAAATATTATATTTAAAATTGTAAATATTAATTGACTCTAAGACAATTTTAAGACTATAAACTTAACAATGAATTATAGGAGATAGGTGCTTAGTAAAAACAATAATATATTGAGCTTTTCCCGTAGTGTCACTTATGTAACAATTAACTCTAAAAAATACACTATAGGAATTTTAGTAAGATATTTTATTCATTCTATCAAAAATTTATTATTTTGTAATTATTGTTTAGACAATAATAATAATGGAATTCGAAATATTAATTAGAAATTATGTCAGGTGATGTACGTATTAAACACATAGAATTTACCACAACGCAAATTAAAGATATCGATATTGAAAATATATTGTCAGTAGGTGGTGTGTTTACTGTAAAACAAGAGAGTGGTGACGATAAGATTCCTGTGGAAAGTATGAATTTACATGTAGATGCGAATGAACTTAGCACTTCCCATATTATAGTCGAGGATGATCACCCAAATAATCGTACGACAGAACTTGAAGTAACAGCTATTGAAGAAGCAGTATTTATGGAAACGCGTAAACATGAAGAAGGTGTTATACGTTATTTTGGTAGAAATAATAAAGCTGGTAGAATTATTTAAAAAAATAGAAAATTTTATAAATTTTATAAGGTAGGCATATTATTTTATTGTCATCTACATGACAGAACTTGCGTTTAAAAAAAAAAACTAGTCAAGTTTTTAATACATAACTTAAGGCGAAATTTTAGTTTTCCCCAAAAATAATTGAAAAAATCAGGATTTGCAGTTTTGTCATGAAGTCAATAATATATATTGATTAATTCAAATAAATAAGAAAATTCTTTAAAATTGTCTTATTTTTTTAGAAAGATATTGTTGGTTCTTATCGATATTATAGATCTCCACAAAAAGCAAAGTTTGCTGTCGATGATTCACAAACAAATTGGGCGAAGGATGTAGAGAAAGTTGGAGACATTTATGGCCAACGTTAATTGTTAAATGATTTAACAGTACAAATAATTTAATTTATTTTGTTATTTTTTTGTACCTATAGATGCTATTGTTGTTTGATGTATGATCACTATACAAAGAAATGTATTCCAACGAATATTACAGTCACCAAATTGTATGTTTTCTATTTAACCATCATTTGATAGTGGCCAATTTTTTGGATCAATGTTTCAATGTTATCAAGTAAATTTTTAAACGTTTTTTCATTGTCTTGGCGTTGTTTTTCGTTACTGACATTCGATGAACTGGATGTCATTATTCGAGTTTTTAAATTATTGGCTAGGCTTCTGTAAAGTTGTGCAGAATTTATTTTAAAAACATTGCCACTGTGTAATGTTACATTTTTATACGAATTTTTGTTATTTATTTCTTTTAATGCGTCAATTAATTTTGGACTAGGATCGGTTGCCATAGAATCTAATACATGGATTGTTGTTCTTATAGATTTATCAGCATCTACTAATGTAATACTACGTTTTTGTAAATATTCTGATAAATCTTCTATTTCGTCTAAAACATCAGACATTGTATTTAAATTACTCACAAATTCTATACTTGTTATCATTTTAAACAATCCACAGTATTTACTTCTTTCTTTAGAGTCTGTGGTAGAGTCCATTGAAGCCAAGTTAAAATGTTCACAAAGAGCAGAAAAATTATTTATGACTGCATGAATTGTCCGTTTGCTTGATGCTACCTATCAAACTGATAAAATTCTACCGATTTTCAAAATTTGTATTTCCAATTAACTAGCAGCTTTTTAAACTCGTTTTGGTTTTTAGGTTACTGATGGAATAAAGTATAAAGTTTATCCATAAATATTTTAAAATGGTTTATACCACATACTTCGCCGACAACATCACCTACTGCCAGTTCCAAACGGTGATTTGAACAATGCCAAATAATTAATTTAGGAAATTTAATTTTAGTCGGGTGGCTACACCCGAATTTTTTCCGATCATAACAGAAGCTCCGTCACATGCAAAATCAATAAAACATTCATTTTAAAAAAATGAATCAAATCCGTGTCCACCCAAACAATCAAGTAATGATTTAGTAATAGTTTCAGCAGAGGTATAAGAGAGTTCAATTAAGTCAAGATTAAAAGTATAAGGTTCACCTGGAAAATCTTCAATAAATGCACGAACAACAACTACTAATGTTGTTAATTTGTTAAGGGTAGTTGACTCGTCGATTAAAATAGATATTTTTGTTTTAGTTAAAATTATATTTTGGCAAATAATTTTTTTCATTTCTGACGCTATATGGAGCGTCATATTCGCACACGTTTTATCAGAATGTAAAATGTTTCCCATATTCATATCATTTAAAATTTGTAAATCGATTTCATTTGGTAAATCAACAAAAGGCCTTTGAGTTTTTACAATTTTATAAACAGTTCTAAAAACTTTTTCAGTAGTAATGAACTTTGATTTCAATGCAGTTTCGAAACTTTTTTCTATTTGTTTTTCTTTTGATTGTTTATGTAATTCTACTGATTTAAGATGAGTAGATGGTAGAGCGTCAGATTTTTTGTGTTCAAATATTTTTTTTCTAAGACTAGACAATTGGTCTTCTTTTGACTTTCTATTCGAAATTATAGTACAATCTTGCCAAGGTTTGGAAAAGCGAAGGGTTTTATCAACAACAGTAATCCAAAATTTGTAATATTTTTACAAATCAAACAACCTAATGCTTTATTTTTAACTACTAGCCACTCGTTTACAGTTTTGAAATTCTCGTACTGACCTTTATTCCAACAATCCGGCAAGTCACTAGTTTCGTAAGGTTCCATATTTTCATTTGATTCTTTATTACGTGTTGTATGTTCACTTTCAACATACGGTTTTTTATTTGAAGTAAGATCACATTCATCATTAGACTTAGAACGTTTATTTACCCAATTTAGTAAAGAAGAACTCATATTTTTGGCACGAAATAATACACGCTATAAACTAATGTTGTAATTTACGATCAGCAAAATATAATACAAGTATTACTACAGCTAAATAAAACGATACTGAACGGCGAACGCTAATTGAAACATACGAGTATGTTTACTCAGAAAAATCAAAAAATTTTACAATTGATAAACGGGGCACGTGGCACGGGGGGGGCGTCGAATAGTCTTATGCACCGGTCTATATTAAATAGTATTTTTAAATGTATTTTTTTTACGAGCCGGAACGCTAAAAAAATTTTTGTCGTGAACCGGAACACAGTTCCGGTCCATTTCGAGCCCTGGTTATTATTCAAATTTGATATTGTGGCCCATTGTAATGTGTCAAGTAAACAATTCTATTATATTTATATACATTATAATACATGTAAGTATTTAAATTTATTGTTAATAATGATGATTTAAAAATATTGGTAAATAATATTTTACTTGATTGATAATCAAACAATATATTGTCATAAATTAAAAATTCTTTTAATTAAATTGTTTAATATAATAATTTTTATAATTGTAATTTTTTTGGAGATTTTCCCCATTTACGGGAAACGAGGGAAATTTTTTCAATTTTTTAGGGTAATGTCTTCAACTAGATACGATTTTTGATCTTTTGACGTATTGTTAAAAGAAATCGGTCCAGTGAGAGCTTAGAAAAACTGGTAACAGACATCAAAAAAACACATCATAGTAAAACCAATACCTTCTCAGCTTCGCATTGAAGATAAAAACTAAAAAAACACACATTTGAAGCATATCGAAATAAAAATTATTTTAAACTTTTTAGTTCAATGTGATTTAAAAGCGTGTTTTTTTAGTTTTTTTAAATATATTTATTTTTTACTTTTTAGTTTTTTATGACATCACTATCACAGTCACGGAGTGTTTTTTTGTAATTATGACTATCAATAGATGTAAGTTCTATATTGCCAGTTACAATCTAAAATGTTTATCAAGACCCCGGTCGACTGCTGGGTGATCTTAATAGCATGACTAGACATCAAATAAGTACTTTGATTGGCCACTGACAGGACATGGTCACCTGCTTAAACATCATAACGCAATGACGGTATCGGAATCACCATTGTACAGGAAGTATGGAGTAGAAGAGGAAGACTCATTTTATATTATGTGCGAATGTGAAGCCTTGTTCACACTAAGATCAAACTACTTGAGTAAACCTTTTCCTGAAAAAGAAGATATTAAAAACCTAAGACCCAAAAAGATAATTAATTTCTCCGGAAAAACAGAACTCTTTGGTCATCCATAGGGGAGACTTGATGATCCACCCTTATACAATAATAGGAATAATGTAATAACACTTCGGTAATAACATTTAGATGGATAAACCGAATCAAGACAATTTGGTAGAGGTGCGCACAATTGACCAACAGGTCTGAGTGCATGGGCATTATGCGCACCTCGATAATAACTAAAACTAAAACTAAACTCAAAAATATTTGAATCTTTAAATGTTTATATCTAATAATAAACAATAAAAATTTGTTTATATAAATATATAATATTGATGATACGCACGCATGTAATGATACGAAAACCAAAAATAAAATTATACAGAAATAGTGTTTCCAGCGTTTGTGTGAGCGGGGTGGGGTGAATACGTTACGACAGTCTAGTCTTAAGGCCATAGATGACGAGACACGTGAGAATAATAACACGTGTCGCGTGATGTTACAAACAAACAAATATACAGGTGAAACAAATATAAGCGTGTTAAAAATAATCAGTGCAAAATGGCAAATAGTTTATAATAAAAAAAAGTTGATTGTGTTTAGCTCAATTTGCAAGTTTGTAATTAATATCATTAACTAGAAAATCAACTCTACAACTTGAATAATTTAAGAAATAAACTGATAAAAATGTTGAATATAATTTAAATAAGATTAAAAACAAACATATATAATAATTAATTTAACTTTTTGAACATTTTAATTTCATTTTTATGATTTTGTATTGCTGGAAAATACTCCAATCCTTTTTGAATGGTTATGTTTGCTAAATTTTTCAACTTATCTTCATTTATGTTTGTGAAAGACATATTATACGTTTTGATAGCACCAAAGTCTAATTTATTTTCTATATCTTTCATACATTTTTCCATTTCATTTATGAAATCTATGTCGAATACNCGAACAACAACTACTAATGTTGTTAATTTGTTAAGGGTAGTTGACTCGTCGATTAAAATAGATATTTTTGTTTTAGTTAAAATTATATTTTGGCAAATAATTTTTTTCATTTCTGACGCTATATGGAGCGTCATATTCGCACACGTTTTATCAGAATGTAAAATGTTTCCCATATTCATATCATTTAAAATTTGTAAATCGATTTCATTTGGTAAATCAACAAAAGGCCTTTGAGTTTTTACAATTTTATAAACAGTTCTAAAAACTTTTTCAGTAGTAATGAACTTTGATTTCAATGCAGTTTCGAAACTTTTTTCTATTTGTTTTTCTTTTGATTGTTTATGTAATTCTACTGATTTAAGATGAGTAGATGGTAGAGCGTCAGATTTTTTGTGTTCAAATATTTTTTTTCTAAGACTAGACAATTGGTCTTCTTTTGACTTTCTATTCGAAATTATAGTACAATCTTGCCAAGGTTTGGAAAAGCAAAGGGTTTTATCAACAACAGTAATCCAAAATTTGTAATATGTTTACAAATCAAACAACCTAATGCTTTATTTTTAACTACTAGCCACTCGTTTACAGTTTTGAAATTCTCGTACTGACCTTTATTCCAACAATCCGGCAAGTCNGCCAGCGTTTGTGTGAGCGGGGTGGGGTGAATACGTTACGACAGTCTAGTCTTAAGGCCATAGATGACGAGATACGTGAGAATAATAACACGTGTCGCGTGATGTTACAAACAAACAAACAAATATACAGGTGAAACAAATATAAGCGTGTTAAAAATAATCAGTGCAAAATAGCAAATAGTTTATAATAAAAAAAAGTTGATTGTGTTTAGCTCAATTTGCAAGTTTGTAATTAATATCATTAACTAGAAAATCAACTCTACAACTTGAATAATTTAAGAAATAAACTGATAAAAATGTTGAATATAATTTAAATAAGATTAAAAACAAACATATATAATAATTAATTTAACTTTTTGAACATTTTAATTTCATTTTTATGATTTTGTATTGCTGGAAAATACTCCAATCCTTTTTGAATGGTTATGTTTGCTAAATTTTTCAACTTATCTTCATTTATGTTTGTGAAAGACATATTATACGTTTTGATAGCACCAAAGTCTAATTTATTTTCTATATCTTTCATACATTTTTCCATTTCATTTATGAAATCTATGTCGAATACTCCGTTCATTCTGTTTGAATATATATGACGACGCTTGTTNTTTCGTATTTATTGTTTAAATATATTCGTTGATACTCGTTAAACTGCTTAGTTAAACAATGAATAGGAGCTGTCCGAATTAAAATATCATTAAATACAACTTTAATCGAATACAGTAATTCTTCAAATTGACTTAAGATATCATCTGTCAGTTTTAAATGTCTTATGTTCATTTCAACTGCCCACTTGCTAAATCTATGTATAATAGTAAGAGCTGTGCTTTCGATAATATTTGTTGTGACAATGTAACCTATGTCGTATCGTTTTAATTTTTTAGAAGTATCGATTAAATCGCACAATGTAGTCATATACATACTAAAGAAAGTTACATATTCATCTTTACTTTTCGAATTAATACGTATAGGGCATTTTACAGTCGCTTTGTCATAAACGGCATAGTAATTATGACTACCCAATGGTAAATTTTTGAAACGTTCGTATTTAGTTGATAGTTTGTTTAAACTTATCAAAGTGACATCTTTTAAATTGGATGCATTCATAAAATCGATTGCAAAAATTAAAAATAAATTTATAGAAAAAATAAACATATTACCGACGTCTTCCACAGAAACAGTAGTATATTGCTTGGTTTNCAAAATCTTCCACAGAAACAGTAGTATATTGCTAAGTTCTCCAATTGAAATAAAAATTATTTTAAACAACTTTATTCAGTTTAGTTTTTCTAAAAATAATTTAAGTTCATGTTAACACATTTGACACATATTTTCAAAATTTATTAACATGAAAATAACTTTTAAAAAAATTTAATATTGATGACATAGCTATGTACACTTCTATTTTATTTAAATAATATCATTTTTTTGTGATTTATTATGTACTAACAATGAACATAAAAATTAAACTGGAAAAATATAGCGCGTTTAATATAAGTTTATTCTTTACACATATTTTGTACTTAATTTATAATACAATATTTTGAAAATATTCAAACCATATTTGTAATATATGTAAATCATTTAAAAAAACTTAGGTTTTTTTTTTACTTATCCAAAAAACAAAGTTATTTTATCAAAATTATTACCAAACAAAGTACGTTTTAAAATATGACCTATTATTTAGAGTTAACCCTAATATTTTTATTACATATAATATTACAATGGAAGCAGCAGCGTAATAAGTGCGACCCACGGGACTAATACGTAATAATTGGATTGACCTTTTACGGAAATAACGCATTGCTATTTTTAAATTTATAAATATGACACGAAAAATAAACTTTTTTTGAAACAACTTTAGATAGAAACTCTAATGTTCTTAATAACCAATTTTCATTCAAATTCATAATTAGAATACGTAATTAATATTTACGATAATTCAATTATTAGAGACGTTAAGAATGACGCATGGTGGAATGTGAATCTAAGTTCAAAGTTAACAATTACTAGTAAATTTTTTAAATTTCAAACCATAAAAAACTTATTTAATAAATCATATAACTCAAATAAATTAAAATATAATTTACGTCAAGATAAAAAAAAAATAACTCAGCAGATTGGGTTCACGGCATAGTTAGGACAAGTATATCAGACAATGAAGACAATCGCTATCATAAAAAATGCTTCGGTGTAAATCTGTAGTGTTTAATTTTTAGAAGGAATTGTAGGATAATACCAAAAGCAACAACTCCTATTTCCTTAATTATGATTACAAGCTTTATATAATATATTTATTTATAAGTTTAATACATGATTAAATATTTTTATGATTATATTTAGTCTGAAATTAATATTCAATAATTTAAAATTGTATTTTTTATAGAGTAATCTTAAAAATCATATTTGTATCTTGTTATTATATCAGTTATGAAATTAAAATTGTAATTTATTATAAGCCTTTGATTTATAATAATATATTTTTTTGTAAAAAGGGGGGTTAAATGGAAATACTTAACTCACTCTCCTATATGCTTACACTATTTACTTAAATTATAGATATAAAAAATCATAACAAAATTGAAGTACAGAATTATAACACAAAAATAACATTTTTTATTTAACATCAGCAGTTATTTTACATATAATATAAGGTGTCGGGACAATTTTGCTGCAAGTTATTTTTTTTTATACTTATGTTTTTTAAGTTTTGACTCCTCTCTGTGGTTAGATAAAGGATCAGATTTCAAAAAAGAAATAACAGATGGTATTTACAAAAAAATTTTTTTGATTCATCTATTTTCCAATAAATTATGGCAGTTTTAAGTCATAAAAGTCTAAATTTACTGACTTTAGAAATTGTATTTTTTGGGGGATTTTCCCATTAACGAGAAACGAGACATTCCAATTCTTGAGAATAATGTCTTCAACTAGATACAATTTATGAACTTTTGACATATTGTTGAAAAAAATGAGCCTGTTGAGAGCAGAGAAAAATGAATAACAGATACAGAAAAAAAAATTAATATCTTCTAATGTTACGAAGTACTAGTCACAGATATTGATTCTATGTTTTAGATGTTTTTATCTGTGGTACTAGTGTATAAATCTGAGCTCATGTCATAATACCTTTAAGTGGTAAGTTGTATAGAAGTATCATACATAAATGGTTAAATACTGAAATAATGAAATAGTATAAACTAGAATTAAATTAAATGCTGTCAGAATTTGATAATTAAATTCAAGTGAATTGTTTAGAACTGATAACATTATTTGATTTATTATTTTAACTTTGATGAGAATCTGTTAATATAAATTTCTTGTAAAACAAACAATGCTTAATATGTAAAATAAAAATAATTTTTTGATAATAAATTTATACTAAAAACAACCTTTTTATTGTCTAATATTAAAAATTGTTTATTCCATATACACTTTTTCATATATAAAATAATTGATTTACATGTTTAAAAAAATTAGTTCAATCATTTTTCTTAGATAGATTTTTTTTCTGAAAAATAAAAATATAATGAATTAGACATTGTAAACGCTTAAAATTTAGTGAGAGAGTAAATTTTTTAAATGTATTATAAAACTTAGGTTATTTCATACTAATGAAATTTGACTTAAAATAACTCGAGACACTGAATTTTTTTTGAGAAATAGTTAATGAATGATGAAAATTATTAAAAGTAGTAGAATAATAATCAAGGTTACAAAAATAATAACTAAATATTAAAATTGAATAACCTAATAGGTATGAAATATGATGTAAAACTGGAAATTAATAGTTAAAAGGATAATTATATAAAACTGTTTCTACCATTACAAATAGAAAAAACATGGTAGCACAGTGGAGTCGCTGCATAGTATGGACATGGTGTAGTTGGGACAATTATAGATGATATCTGACAGTGATTAAAATCACTATCATAAGAAACACATTGATTCAAATCTGTAGATAGTGTTAAATTTTAAGAAATTAGTAGATTATTTCAAAAGCAACAATAACTCTTATTCCCTTAATTTTATCCCGATTAGTTATTTGATTTATAATTATAATATATGAACAAATAATAATTATAGTAATTAAATTTAGTATGAAATTGATTTTTAATAATTTAATTTTGTAATTTTTACAGAGATATAAAAATAATAAAGTAGTTAAACGTATATAAAAATTTGAAGCACTTGATGCAATACTTTTCAATAAAAATTTTTTGTTACTTATAACAAAGTTATAAGTTTTATATACTGGATTACTAGGAACTTTCATCAGAAACAAAAATATACTTTTCTAAAAAAATTGTATCGTTAAGATTAATATGCAGTCATAAAATTTTATGATTACTATTTATAGTAAATGTATCAGAAATATTTTTTTGCATTTTTATTATAATAGATAACTTAAATAGAAATAATAGTAATCATTTGTAAGTAACTTTTGGTATTTATAAAGATTCTATAATTTAAATATTCAGAACTGAATTAATTATAATGATTTACTTTAACTAAAAAAAAAAAGTTATTATTTTGAANCACATCTAAGTTTTAATATTATTACTTATTATTAAAAACTAAGTATTTACATAAAAAAAAATAATTTTAAATTAATATTGATTTTGATTATTAATATGTTAAATATAAGGAAAATGACATATTTAACCAATTTTTTTAAACCTTAAAAGTTGATTTTTGTGAAAGTTTTTAACAACAAAAAAAAAATTAATTTATTACCATAACTTTTGTAGCTTAATATGAAGGTTTGAAATTAACATCATTAAATAAAAAATTTATGAAAATTAAAAAAATTGTATCGTTAAGATTAATATGCAGTCATAAAATTTTATGATTACTATTTATAGTAAATGTATCAGAAATATTTTTTTGCATTTTTATTATAATAGATAACTTAAATAGAAATAATAGTAATCATTTGTAAGTAACTTTTGGTATTTAAAAAGATTCTATAATTTAAATATTCAGAACTGAATTAATTATAATGATTTACTTTAACTAAAAAAAAAAAGTTATTATTTTGAATCCCCCCTGTGGGCAGGTATAGACATCATGCAATAAAAAAAAAAATTATATTGATTTGGTTATTTTTAAAAAAGTTATGGCAGTTTTAAGTAAAAAAAATTGAAAAAATGTTTAAAATTAGCGATTATTAAATTTGTAATGTTTTTGGAAATTTCCCTCATTTACAGGTAAAAAAAAAAAAACACATCATAGTAAAATTAATAACTTCTCAGTATCGCATTGAAGCTAAAAAACAATTATAATGATAGTAATTATAACTTTATTAATAAAAATTTAATTTTTACTATGCAATGTGTTTTTTTAATAGTTTGTAATATTAAATTATTAACATATTTCTTTTTTATGATTAAGGGAAATATTTAAATATTATAAATGAGTTTTTTATTTTTAGACAAGTTTAATATATTTTAAAACTAGTATATAATTGATCATGAAATATGTTTTCTATTTAATACAACAAAATTAATTTCTTACTTACAGATGGTGCTTTACCATTTTTTTTTTTTTTTTTTTTTACTGTATTTTTGTGGTCANTTTTTTTTTTTTTTTTTGTAACTGTATTTTTGTGGTCATTTGATTCTGATACTTCATTTTTTATTTGTTTTTTTTTTGACTGTAATTAAAATTAAAATATTACCCAACATGTAATTTTTCAAATAAATATTATATTTTATGTCAAGTAATAAATAAAATACCTTTAATTTTTTTGACTGTTCAAATTCATTCAAATATTCTGCTTCTGCATCATCACCATCTCCATCAGATATACTTTCATCTTCAGAGTTATTGGACTTATTAGGGTCATCTTGTTCTTCATCATTTTCATCGCTGTCTAATGGCTATAATACAACAAAAATATTTAGAAAGTATCAATTAAATTATGCCAGTAAGATATTGTAGTAAAAATGTTTTGCTTCAAAAGAAGGTCATGGAGTCTGATATATCATGTTTCATAATTTTTTTAGTATTCCATTAATTATTATACTTAGGTTCGTGATATAAAAATATAAAATTATGTGAAGCATTCAAAACATGTTTTTTATTCTTATAACAAAATAAACCTTGTAAATTTTTTTATCATCCTCATTTTCTGATTCATTATCATCCTTTTTATTCTTCTTTCTGTATACAACATCTTCTTCATCACCAAAGTCCGATATATCTTCCTCTGAACCCTACACATATATTTATTTTTATTATAAATAAAATATTTAAAGAAATAGTCTAAAATTACTGAAAGAATTTCAACATCTCCATTAGCTTTGACTTTAACTCGTTTACCAAATAGTTCACCTTCAGTATCTTTTTCTTTGGAAAATGTTGAAGATTTACTATAAGGTCCTTTCACATCGTTTCTAGAAACTTTAGTCACAATAACATTAGTTCAATAGTTACTTCATTTAAATTGATGATTCATTTATAATTTTTATTTTTATGCATTTACTTACTCATTGAATAATATATTGGTATACTTTCAGATGATGGTGTTTTTAGTAAAAGACATCGTACATTTTTTAACCCTCCTGGATAGCTATGAGCAAGGTCATTAAAAACTGCTACAATATTTTCAGCTACTTGCTTTGGAGTTTGTTTCATATGACCTACCTATTATTATAGTTCAACTATAAAGATTAAATAAGTATGCAATTTTGTGGTGACAATGTAAAAAACATAATTTTCATAATTGACAAAATTATGTTAATGTCAATTCACAATTTTTGGAAGTAAATTATTAGGTTGTTTGTACTTATGTAGTGACATAAAATATCAATGTTATTTACATAAATAATATGGCTTAAAATTTTAATGTAAAGTCTTAAGAAAATTGTTTTAATAATGCAAACTATTTAATGAATATAAATATTGTATTTTACATTGTCACCTTATGATTAATGGGAATACGTAATTTAAGAAGTCTTTATATACTTGAAGAGTTTTTGTTGTGCCTTTGTAATCTAGGAAAAATGATGTTTTGTGCAACTTCGATTCAATTTCTGCTTTTAAATATTTCTTTGATAATTTAACAGTTATAGGGAACCTATGATAAAAGTATAAAATAAGTACTTTTTAAAATAAGACTGAATACAATGTACAGTATAGGAAATAAAATGTGCTAGTAATGGTTGTACCTCTAGAGTCACACAAATACACCCATGTAAAACAGTAAAAAAAAAAAAAAAAAATCAGTTGTTCTGAGTTATGTGAAATCTTTAACCAATATCAAATTTATTTTACTACCATTTATGATACATTATATGTTCATAACTGTAGCAGTATTTAATGTCATCATCACCTCCTTAGCCTCTATTTCAACTATTTGGGGTTGGCTCTATCTTTTTGATTTTACAGTATTTGTACACTTGCTGTTGATCTAATGCAACCTTATTATGGTTAAAGGAAATAGTAAGTGGAATAATGTATGCCACTATTAAAGTCCCATATGGTCATCTATCCAGAAACTAACAGAAAACACTGCTGAACATCAGTGTTAAGACAGAGACTGAATGATCTACTGTGTCACACCACACATCTGGTAATATTTACTGTAGCAATAAAAAATGATGAAAGTTAAGATGATTATTTAAAATCATTTTAGCATGGGTCCATGGACACATATTTTCAAAAGAGTGATCTGACAAATTATACTGTTGTGGTGTCATAATAAAATAATGATCATAAAATATCATTATTTATTTTTTAACAATATAATTTTCTTAATAAATTACACACTGTTTTAGATCATAATTTTATTCATATTCCAACAGTAATTTACATATATAACCTATAAATCACATTATCAATGTAAAACATAATTATAGATAAACGAGTTAAGTATTATTGTATGTTTCACATGATACAATTTTGGTTGGATGGTAATTAAGTTTCAACCTTTTATCACAAAAAATGCTCTAACATGCTAGAAATCAACCGTTTTTATTTCTTCATAAAATATGTATTAAAAGTAGTTATTTCTATATCAAAATTCCTCATATTAAAATTAGACATTTATTCAATATTACATATTGATATAGTGTTTATCTATAATCATGATACTATAGATATATTTGTTGCATTAATATATATATATATATATATATATATGCTTTATTGAATGATACGCTTTCTGTTTTTGCTGGTTGGTATAAATAGATGTATTAAGTAATACAAAATTTATAAATATTGTATAAATTTCTGAATACAAAACAATCTTCCATATTTTTATTCAATAAAATTTATGTTTTTAACTGTATTTTTAATTAAAAGCTACACCTTAAAAAAATTCTTGAAATTTTTTTAATATTTATACTTACTTTCGCTTTATGTAAAATTCTTTTCCCAATTTTTTCACTAAAAATGCATTTATTTTTTGGTCAATTAAAAATATATCATGAGAATGACATAAGTTTCTTCTAGCTTCATATTCATTATATTCAACTCTTATTTGTCTTGCTGGCAAAATCTATAAAATATTTTAAAATACAATTAATAATTATAAGATATTTAATTTTAGTATATTTTTACTGTTTTTATGTTGGTTATTCCATTTTGGGCTAATAAATCTTTAAAATAATGATAAGTTTTTTCATGATCTACATTTCGTCCACGTACAAGATCAGGTACAATTAAACATATATCAGTTGTGTCTGTTATTAATGAATTTGGCAAATGTCTATAAATTTAGTTTTTTAATTTTAAATATAACATAAATATAATAATATATATATAATACAAATATTACATTCTCACAACTCGTTTTGGACCAATTCCCATTTTTACAGCAGTTATTGTTAAGTGAATTGGTGTACATTCATTAAAAATATCATTTTTTGCTTTTGTTGCATTTTGAACTAATTTAAAGAGTCCTTTAACAGCTTCTTCAACCTGACAGAAAATATAATTAATTATTATACAATTAAAAATAGAAAAATATAGGAAAAATGTTTAAATGTTATTACTTTAACAAGATCAAGTCTTGGATCAAAATTATCATTTTTTGATTGAGTACAATCTTCTGTATCCTTAGGTTTTGATAAGACTTTGAATTTTTTAGTAGATACTTGATTTTTTTTTTTTTTTGATGGGACTTCTATATTTGATTCATCATAGTTTATTGGAGAAGAAATAGCAATCTCCTTTATTATCATTTTTTTTGGGTGTTTAACTGATTTACTAATAGAATTCTTAATAGGTTTTGAAATATTAGCACAAGAGATACCAGTCGGTTCTTTGCCTGCTTTAAGTTCCTCAAATGTATCAGTTATTTTAACAACATTCTTCAGAGCACTATCGCCTGGTTTTGAATTTTTTTTCTTTTGAATAGCATTTGACAAAGACTTCTTTTGAGGTTTTGGTTTTGATATTGGCGTTTTAACTTTCATTATAATTTATATATTGTTTCTAGAAAGTAATAATATATTAACAATAATAAATAATCTGAATAACTATAAAAACTAATTTAAACTGTTAATCACAAAATAGCATCGCATCGCGACAAAAAATGTTGTTCACAAACCACGTGCGAGTAATGAGCATTATTCTTTATCATTTTTAGCTATTATTTATCAGAAAATTTTTTTATCAGTGTAGCACTTTTTGAAACTAATATTTCATTTTTTTTTTTTTGTTCAATACTAATAGGGTTGTTTAAAATTATTTCAAATCGATACGACTTCAAAAACAAAAAATATTTTATTAATTTTTAATAACATTTTGCTAGTTTACTTTTAACAAATAATCATAATAGTAATAAACATGAAACTTTATTTAAAGTGATTGTCGTAATCTTGTATATTAAAAACCATCAAAACATAAAATATATAAATAATAAAATCAAATATTAAAAAGTTAAATAATTTTTCATAATCGTTAACTATGCATGTAAAAAATTATCTTAAATATTAATTTTATTAAAATAAAATTACCTGATTCTATTTCTACTGAATTAATATAATGTATAATTTCTAAGTGATTTTTCATGTTTCCAGTTCAAATATTAGTAGTTACAAGAATTCATACTACTAATATTTGATACTTCTGATATCATTTAACTCATTTTGGTTTTATTAATACGGCGAGCAATTGTAGTATGATTTAGTAGACTGTACAATGGATTTAAAATCTTTAACATATGTCTAAAGCCTTCCACTTTCAATTTTGTTAAAAGCAATAACGCATTAAGATTTCAGCGCTCCAGGACAGTTTATTTGATATTCACCTAAAATTTTCTGTTTAACGAAATAAATAATTTTTTTTCAGCTTACTTGTAAAAAATTTCTCAATAAACATAAATTATAATTAACATTACAAACACTTTTACCAGAGTTTTATTGAGTTCATGAGCTTTGATACCTCCAAGAGTCTCAGGGGCACTCTTTCGTTACACTATGGGCCAACTTTCCCAGGTAGCCCCTTATGTAGATATGCCACTGGTTTAAAGACACATTCTGTTTACAATTATTAATATAATAATATAAGATATTTTCCTATAAAATATCTACATTTGAAAATCTGTATCTATATATATATTTCAATAATCGATAATATTTAGTCAACCGTACATTCGGAGTCACGTGAAATGTATCGCCGCAAGAACCTGGGCGTTCTACCGTCTGATTGTCTGCTGTAGATTTGTACCGAATGGATTGATTGATGTTTATCCGTTGGATACATTGAACCAATGCCGAATTGATCACGGTAAGAACATGACTGGGCTCAGTGAATTCATTATGGAAAAAAATTGTTTTTAACAGGGCCGTGTGTAGTTGTTAACAATTATTTCTATAACACATAGAATTGTAATAGGTCGACAGGTACTAGTACGAACATTTTCACTGCGTTAACTAAACGTAGATGACACATCGGGTGAAAAATAGATAAAAAACCTCAATTTAAAGATAGTCAGTTATTCAAGAGCGGATGTAAATAATGATCATTATTCAGTTAAGAAAAAATGAAATCTCAAATTCAAAAATATCAAAAGAAGACTCACGGAAAAAAAAGTGGTTTAATATTAATTGAGTAAAAATGAAATAGCAATCATTAAGTCTGTGTTATAATTACTGAAATAACAGAAAATAAAAAGTTTTACATAAATGAGTATATTAACTATCTGTACCCGTTAAAATTCTGAATACCAAAAGAATTTTTGTTGTATATTGTTTTAAGTTAAGTTTCATCAAAAAAATATAAGAGACAGATTAAATTAATCTGACTAAATATAATATGTATCTAAATAACATTTATACCATGCTTCTTTTTCTTCAAAACACAGCATGCAAATACCAATGTCAACCGACGAAAAAAACTCTTCATGTTCAACGAAATTTTACTGTATACAACAATATCAAAATATAAAAAATACCTTTTTTAAATTTATTTTGATTATCAATAACAAAACATAATAACAAAAAAAAATATCTCTAAACCAAAATCCAAAAAAAATTAATATATTAAATATTAGATTATAAATATCTGTGTTTCAATATTAAGTATAATATAGCAACTTAATATTACTATTATAATTTTTTGGGGTTTAGCGACAATAATTACTTTTAAAAGTATAGCTTGCTAAAACGAGTTTTATTTTGGACACAATATTGTAAGAATAACTTTTCTGTTATTTTTACTATAATGTTCATCATTTTTAAATATCATTCAAATAAATAGAAAAAAATTTTGTACAGGTACCAGAAATATATCACTTTATTTTAATTAAGCGAAGAACAAAACTCAAATTTTAGATAAATAATCTAGTACTAGAGTTAAATGACTAAAAATGTATGCATAGTATTTTAATACTAGAAATACAATTCTACTATGAATAACAATAATTATGTCATAAAATGAAGTTATATAATATAATATATTACATTTTGTTAACAATGAAAATATCACCAAAGACATATTGAGTGAAACAGCTTAACTAAAAACTTTGATACAATTAAAGTATTTTTTTGAAAAAAAATTTTGCATTCTTAGATTTATGTTAAAATTTTAGTTTTTATTATTTATTTTTAGTATGAAATAAATGAAAATAACTTTTTCAAAAAAATATAAAAATAACCATTTTTGTAGTTTTTATTATACAAAAGTTCAATAACAAAGTCAAAACAAAAGTCAATAACTATTATTTGAAAAATACTTATTGAGTAACAAGCATTTTAATCCAGTGGGTAAGTAGGACGGGAAGAGTGTACATATCGTACGACCTATTACTTACGAGTACTGTATACCTACTCCATGTAATAAAATATGAATAACTCAACAAGACTTGTTCTAAAATTTTATTGACCCATTTTTGCATCAAAATAATAATAATAATAATAATATAAAATTTTCGTGTATTATCTCATCAAATTATAAAAACTTAAAATTCAATAACTTGAGAAATATTAATTATAGCGACTTTATATTAAGGACCTTTTTTGTAAGAAATTTAATTTCCTACAAGTTTGTCAGTTACATATTTTCGATAAATCTAGTAATTTATAAAATAATGCCTAAAAAACGGAAATTTTATGCAAAAATTAGGTTCAGTAATCCATGTTACCTAATTGGTATGGGTTACTGTTACTTTGCTTTGGTCACTTTTGAAAAGCCTTTAACCAAGAGAAAATACTGATTTTGCGTGATATAACTGCACAAAATGCCACTGAGTTATAAAAGTTTAAAAAATAAAAACCCTTGTTTACATGTTTACCTGCTCTGGGAAAGTACTTAATATAAAAATTAAGGGATGAAATTTTCAGGGAATATTTTTTTGATATTTCTTAAAATATTTTGAATTAAAAGTGAAGAAACAAGAGGAAGTCGTGAAAAAATTTACCTTAGTAATTATATACAACAATTTAAATAAAAAAATTACAAAGAAATGACAATTTTATCAAAAGTTAAAAAAAGTTATTAATTAAATCTGTTTCACAGGTACATAAGTAAAATAATAAATAAAGAAACAACTTGTACAAAAAACAAACCCTACACAGTAAAAAAAGTAATATACATACTATGTGCAAATCATCACTAAAGTTTTAAAACAATTTTATCTAATGAATTTACTTAATGTATGTTAAATAATGTAAGGTAATAGCAGAGTTGATACTTCTTACAACTTATTGAATTATAATGTAATTAAGTAGAAAAATATTCAAGTATCAAAATAGAATAGATCATCTCTTCAGCATTTTTAAAATTATAATATAAAAGCTAACATAAATTTGATTGATATTGTGTCTTTATAGCAACAAGTGTAATATTTAATTATTAAGCTAGCATTATACACAATCTCATTATTTAATAATTAAATAAAACTTAAGGTAATTTTTATGATTTATCAATTCAATTTGGCTAAACATATTGGTCACATTAGTGTACTTATAATATTTATAATCTTATAGAATATTTTATAATTGGTTGTAGAAGTATTTTAAATTAATACTAGATATATTTTTAAGAATAAGTTTATAACATTATCACAATAATTTTCATGGTAAAAACTTTATGGAAGGTAACTTACACTATTTTCTTTAGTAACAGTTGTACTAAAATTGTAAATAAATTATTTTATAAATTTAAAAATAAATTAAATTGTAAATTATTTATTTACTTAAGCCCAGAGGCAATGTACAGTAAAATAGATACATAACATAATTGTATAAAAATGCAACAACCAAATTAACAGTTACAATACTTACTTATCACTATTAAAAAATGAAAAAGAAAAAATTTATTTTTATTTTTTAAATTCTGATTTATAATGTACAATCAAAATAAACAAGGTTGATTAGAAATTAATTTTATCAACTAAAAATTTAGGTTTCTATTTTTAAACATAATTAATATGATAAAATAGTGTCTGTTAATTATAATTTATCATATCTTATTTTTCAAGTTTTGGCAACAAGTTTTTTTTATAAATTCTACAATGAATATTCTTCATTAATACTAAAAAAATTATTTAGAAGTATCATTTAGATTTCTACAAATTAGGCTAACCCCAAGTAGTTGGTATTAAGGTGAGGAAAATGATAAAAAAAAATTAAGATTTCTTCAAATTATTTAGAGTTAAGTGTATAAAATAAATTGGAGATTTCTGAATTATTATAATAGTAAAATAAAAATAATGAATTGAGAATATTATCAAAGCAAATACTCTTATTCATTTTTAAATTAAATTCTTTAAACACAAGTATTTAACTGCAATAATTTTAGGTAAAAATATTTTAAATTCTTTAAATATGTTTTATTTATCACAATTAAAAAATAAAAGTAATAAAAAGATTAATTACAAAAAAAATTTTAAATTGAGCAAAATAATACTTGGTTGTTATTATCATGAGGTCAGTCATGAAAAAATAATAATAATAAAGCACGGGATAAATAATGGAAGACTTCAAAATAATAGGAGATGTTTTTAATAGATTCGTTCATTTTTATACTTATTATGTAAAATAAATAATATATTATATAATTATATATTTTAAGATATGTATACGTAAATAATAATAATTATAATTGTATAAGTGCAATTGAGTGCATCAGAAAAAATTACTAAAGCACATTATTGTTGGTCCCATGAATAATCAAAATTATTAAAAAAAGGCATTTTAATGAAAAAAAAAATTTACTGAATGTTTAGTGGTTATATTTAACTAATTTGGTAAAAAAAAAACTATAAATAAATGAGAATCTCAATAAAATTATAAATGCTCAAGAGAACAAAAATATTAAATTATAGAGAAAATATGAAAGTATAAGTCTAGAATGTTTTTTGATCTATTAAAATTTAACTATAAAATTTGATATGGTTCAAATTAGAAATTTTAAAATCATAAAGAATTATAAGTATTTAATAATAATAAAATTGTACAATTGATGATATATTTTATTTTTTGAGTTGAACGAATAAAATCATGTAGTTTTTGTTGTTACATTTTTTCTATTAAAACATAAATTTTTTCAATAAATTATTGAATAACAGTAAAGTTTTAAGTAAACAAAATTTGAAAAGAAAAATAAGAAACTTTAAATAAATTTAAAAAAATAATAACTATTTCAATATAACCCAATTCGAATTAAACAAAATAACAATTTATTAAAATTATATAAATATTTTGAGCATGATAGTATGCTAGTAATATACAAATGCAGTTAATATTTTATTAATTATTATGCAGTTAAAGGTAATCCTGGCGTAGATGGAGTTGAACGTCTTTGACGTCGATTAATTACCCAAGGAAGCAAGCAGCACCTTACAATTGCCATTAAAATTCCAATAAATGTAGTAATTAAGCCAGAAAATATCAACAGAAATTTATATTGTGAGGCATCTGCTCCTGGCTTCAATTGAACAAGGCCAACAATCAGAAGTATTGCCCCGATTAGTATAGTGATAACAGCTATATGTAGAACTGATATCTAAACATAATTTATAATTTTTTATTCAATATTTTTACTGTTATATAAGGTGGTTATATAGTAAGAATACCTCTGCTTCAAAACTTGAAGAAGTACCAAAATCACAATTTCATGCAGGTTTTATTGCCTGGTAAACAAAAATTAAATAACAAATGCAAAAAAAAATAAATAAAAAATAGCTTAAAATAATAATTAATAAAAATTAAACTTGAATAATTTCATAACATTTAATATTGACCATTAAAATAAAAATACTAAATAACTAAATTATATTGTGTAACCATATAGATAAATTAAAATGAATAATATTAGGATATGATAAATAAAAATGTAATTGTAAATAATATTTTTGTAACAATTTAAATTCCAATAACTATAAAAGTTGAGGCATGTTATTATTAATAATCAAAATACTTAAAAATATATATATCATATAGTCATTCACATGCATACATATTTCACAAACATCATATTTAGAATATATATATAACAGTATTCTTTTAACTCAAAATTAATAGTATAACCTTGCATAATACTATAATTAGCTAATAATAAGAATCAATTTACATTTATCCAAATTATAATTTATTTAATAATAAATTCTTCACTTTTTTCTATATTTACCTTTGAACAGACATATATATCTGGCAGTGTATTTTGAACATATGGTGGGGATGTAATAGGTGTTCCAATTTGTGAATGTGGCGATTGCAGAGTTAAAAGACTAGGTCTTCTATTACCTGTTGTGTTTAAAGAACTTTCTCGATCACCCACACTATTAACACAAATAACTTTTTTTTCTTGCCGTCGTCGTTCATGACGTACAGCTACAGCAGGCATTGCCCCTATCATGGTTATTTCGTCTAAATAAAAAAAAAGTACATAATTTATTAAAGCTTTTAAATCAATTTTTAGTTACATGTTTAAATCACTTTTAAGTATATACTTTAGTTAGCTAATTTACACATTTTTAAATAAATGAAAACTAGTTTATTGTTATTTTTATATTCTATTTAAGTATTAACTAAAAAGTCTATTTAACATCATTGATTATTTTAAATGGAGAGCTATTTAGTTGTATTACTCATGTATACAAAAGAAATTTTAAATGAAGCTATTTTACTACTTTTGTTAGTATGAGATTTATTATTTTTATAAGACTTAATAAAAAAAAAATACTTATTTTTTTGAGGGAGATCATTATAATCTCCCATGCACTAGCGTACGCAAAGGGAGGGTTGGAGGTTGAAACCCCCCAAAATTTATAAGCTAAGCGACAATTTTGGACGATAAATAATAAGTAATAACAATAAAAAAGATCATATCATACTATAAATATTTTCACAATAAAGTAATCGAAAACAGGAATTTTTGTGAGCGAACAATATGAGCAGTGTCACATCTAATTTTCTTTAAATTTCAAAAAACCCCCCCAACTTTAATTCCACTGCTCCCATGAACCTAAACTGTATTATATTTTGCTAAAAAAATATCTAAGTTTTTATTAAATAAGTCATTTAATACAGGTAGCTAATTGGTTTTTTTATGACAATATTCGTAGATATATAGCCTTTATTATCAATGGTAGTAAGACACATTGTTGTAAGTTTATTAATATACTAACTGGCAATACAGAAATTATATCTATTGATAGTCATAATTGACAATAACAATCCGTGACTGTGACAGCGATGTCATAAAAAACTAAAAAACACGCTTTTAAAGTACATCAAACTAAAAAGTTGAAAATAATTTTTTAAATTACTTTAAAAAATAATACTAGTATTATTTGTTCATTATTGTTTTAAATATTCTTTTTAACTTTTTAGTTCAATGTGCTTTAAGAGCGTGTTTTTTTAATTATATTTTTAACAAATTAAAAATCAAAATCAGTAATAATTTGAAAACAGTTTTTTTTTTATTCTAATTATTATATATATATATATAATTAGTAATAATATAAAAAATTAGAAGTGATAGAAAAAATCTATTTGCAGAATTGAAAACAGCACGTGAAGTTGATTTAGAAAAATATATTTTTGATTCTGTTGAAAGTTTCTTGTAGTCTAGTATATTTATTCATAAATAAAAAAAATTTTTTTTTGAAAAGTATTGCATCAAGCCCTTTAATTTTTTATACAAGGTAAAAGCAAAGAAATATACAACTACTTTATTATTTTTATAATTTCTTTGTGTACATTACAACATTAAATTATTGGATATCAAATACTTACTAAATTTAATTATTATGATTAGTATTTATTCATATATTATACTTTTAAATTAAAGAACCACTAATCAGGGTATAATGTATGGTTCAGAGTGTTGGGCGGTTGATAAGAATGTAGAGCAAAGAATAAGTGTAGTAGAAATGAGAATACTTAGATGGATGAATAGAGAGACTAGAGAAGATAGGATAAGGAACAAACATATAAGAGGAAGTACACGTGTAGCGTCAATCGTGGATAAGATGAGAAAAAATAAAATTAGATGGTTTGGTCATGTTATGCGATGAGAGGAATTGAAAGCTGTAAGAAGTTATAGAAATGAATGTTGAAGGTAAAAGAGGTACAGGAATAACCAAAAAGATGCAGTGATGTTATTGAATGCGATATGAAGAAGGATGATGTGAGAGTTCGTGTCAAGTGGAAGTTTAGGTTAAAGATGGCCAACCCCAAGTAGTTGGGATATAGGCGAGGAAAAAGAAGATACATACATGTAATCATGATATAAAAATAAATAATTTTTTTTGTTTTTAGTAATGATAATCTCATTACAGAATATACTTTAAAGATAAAAAAAATTATAGTTTACAAGTCTTATTGAAAAATTTAATAAATTGTAGTGAAAAACTAAAATTGAGTATACCATCTTAAATAAATTATTGTATAAGCATATCTTCTTTTTCTTGAATAAATCAATTTCTCAATTTTAACATATCTTTGTAGAACTACAATTATCTATAACTGTGTAAAATCTTACATAGTATGATATTAAATAATGTAGTCAGGAACTAAATACATGTATATTAAATAAATAGAAAAAAATATTTTTAATTGATTTATTTACAATTATAGTTATTAAAAGGTAAAAATGAAAAAAAACTCAATATATTCAGCAAAGTTAAAACAATAAATATAGTTTAATAATTAATTTATATAATAATATTTACTATCATCAAGTCAATTGTAAGCATTATTATAAATATAATATAAGTTAAATATAGAATGATTAAAATACTAAATGATTACTTTTGATTTAAGAAGTACACAATATTTTATTTGTATAATACGAGTTTATGTAAAAATATTAAAATCTATCTTTTAGATGGGTCTCATCTTATACATAAAGACAAAAATCACAGTGCAATTATTTAATAGTTTTTATTAAGAAGAATACCAAAATACTACTGGTACATATGAACACGCCAAGGCAAATTTTTAAAATAAAATACAGCCAAAGTAATATTATTAAGTTCTTAAACTAAATTATTCTGACTTTTCATAAAAATTGTACTATAGTAAAATAACAAATTTGAGTATGAAAATGATTTGTTCACATTAATCAATTAATTTAAAATTTTTTTTTTATTTGTTGTAGACAAGACTAAAACAAATTAGAGGAACTCAAATCAGTTAAATAGTGCAAATATCATTTTTAGTAGTATTGTTGATCCCATTAAAAATATCTAATTTGTATTATTGAGCAAGAATATTATGTTCCACAATTGCAAATATTAAATAAATGTAAATCAACAAATATAATAATGTAAAATAATATAATATTTATCAGTCTTTAAAAAAATGCCATGTTATGTTTTACGTAAATACATTTTTCTGTATATTAAAAAAAAATTATACATAATAATCAATATAATATATCATAAATTAAATTAAAGTGGCTGCATTATAATTAAATTAGTTAATATATTGTGATTAAATGAATAAAATAAAGTCTGTTAGTTAAAACTGGCACCATTAAATAAAAAAGTTTAGAGTTTTTTTATAATATATAAATATAAACTTAATTATGTATAAATTGATTAACAAAATATAAATTGAAGCATAAAAATAATATTTATATAGAAAAATTAGTAAAAAACTTTATTGAATTTAAATAATTTTGTGCATAAATAATTATAATAAAATTTACTTAACAATAATAAATGTCCAAAAGAAACAATAAGAATTGATAGATAAATAGTATAAAAATAACAAAATATACATTTGTATTTTTTTAAAGGTTATAACAAATGTTGAATGTTCATTATTTATATATAAATATTTTATGAATACATTTATAAATATTGGAAATAGTTTTAAATTATGTGTTTTGATTTGTCAGAAATTATTACTTTAATATATTATTATGTATACTCTGTAATTTGTATTAAACTTAAAGACTGAGATAACTACGTTTCTGTTGTATCATAACACCTTGTTAATTCCCTGTCATGTTTATTGTTTAATCTGTCTGAATTGAGTCTTTCCGTAGAGTCATCATACTGATTAATAGGCTTGTAAGCTGAACATGTAGCTTCTTCTTCAGCAATTTGCCCAAGATCAGACCCTGGGGAATTTGTTTGTGAAATTTGACCTTGTTGCCTTGCTTTAAATTGCTGTTTAGTTTGCATAGCCCCTGTCTCAGCATCTGGAACTAGTCGTCGACCTGATCGTGTCCTAGTTAGTTGGCGTTCAACATATGCAGCTAAATCGTCTTCAGCCTTGCGATATATAAAATGATTCAAAATTATTAAAAATAGTCCGATAATAGATGAAGTAACTCCAGTTATAACAAGTTCATTTAGCCAATTTTTAGGGTTCCATGAAATGTAATCATCAGGTACAATACCTGAGCCAATTAAAAATAAACCAAGAACAAGGAATACTACTCCAACATGTAGCATACCTATGCTAGAAGCAACTTTAGTATCAAGCATTTTAGGAGGTTTCTTTCTTCTCCTTCGACTGTGTGTAAAACTTCCATTATGTTCAGTAGGGCTAGTTACTGTAGATCTAGAATCATGTATACCACTTTCTACTGATTGAGAACTTAAACGACGTCTTTCCATATGTCGTTTGAGCTCAGCTCGTCGTTTTCTTTGACGACGAATTGCTAAAGCTGATTGTAAACCAAAACTATGCATTCTGTAAATATAATTCAGATTTTTTTTAAAAATAATTTACTTCTAAAATTTGAGCTAAAGAAATAAATAGAATTGATACTTACTCGAAAAGGTGAAATTGAAATCCAAAGAAAATATCAAAAACTAAAATAATAGCACCAAGTATTACCCAGGATTTAAATTCATCAGTTAAAAAAGTTTAAAAACAGTTATAAGCATACGAAATGAAATTAAGATTGTATAATTTATTTCATTTACACAAAATATAATTCACACTAAAAAAACATTTTCAACAAAATAATGCGTAAATATAGTAAACAACGTAAAGACTGCATGGAGCAATAAAGGGTAGTAGTAAGAAGAGTGAAGTACAGTATTGATCTGCACAGTGAAAACCATCAGTTACTATGGAAACTCTATGCAGTGAGTTTAATGTTTTGTATGCGTTTAAATATAATAAGAGATAAAAATTCTACTTATTAAATATTTCCATATAAATACAATAATCACGAAATATATTTTTGTGTTGTTTAAAAAATAGCAACGTAATAATCGATATTATTTAAGTTAATATTTTATTAGACATCATTATATATAATTTTAAAATTATTTAAAAACCAATATTTTCTAATAAATACCGCAAGAATGTTAATATTGACATTGTGTGTACAATTATATAAACATAATAACTATTCTTTGTAGCAATATAAATTTAATATGAAATTGATTGATATACTTCGAAATGAAGTCAGTAATATTTTTAATCCTCGTTTTCATTAATGGTTGTTATATTTTACGAATTAGCCATTTTTCAAAATACTTTCATTTCAAATGATGTGTAAAGGTCTTTGGCCATTGAAAGCATTAATACTAGACATTTATAGGGGTGTGGTTACGATGATACTGTTTTATGTATTAAAACAAAACGCATTTAAAAATAGTGTAAGTGCATAAAATACCCATCCATATCAACAATAGTCACTCACGCGATATTTAATATGAATTAATATAAACACGTCATATTGTGATGATATTTATTATAACTTTCGATTTACTTTTGTATTAATTAGAATCCAAGAGTGTTTTGGAAATACCTTAAATTAACTAACGTCTGGGTTTATTGCACATTATAATAAATAGTAGTTGTTTTTTTGTCATATAGGATAAAAAAGTTTGATTAAAAAAAAAACAATGAGTATACTGACCTTGGTTTTTTTTGTTATTAAAAGGTTAATATGCTCCAGTCTTAATGAATTCTAATTAATTTAAAAATTAAAACTAGGCAAATAAAATTTAGTTAAAACATAATATTAGTTTCTTAAATTTTAACACAACCAACTTATTAAAATTTTAAATATATCCAGATTTTTAATAATATTAATGTTTTACGTAAAATGTAGACCAAAGTTTTACGAAAAACGAATTGATATATGTGAAATAATTTTATGTTAATATTGTTTGATCAATTTTCGTATATACAATGGTAAATCCAAGAGAGTGTCACACAAGTCATTATCATCCAATAACTTATGTACTACGTACACCGTAATAATTGAACTTTTTAGGGTGTCATATTAAATTTATTTTTAAAATTATAGATTGAAAATTAAATAATGAATAAGGCAGTAATTTTTGTGGATAAAAGTATATCAACTACAGTTGATTATAATAATCTACAGAGTGACTTAAACCAATTTCATAATTGGCGTGTAGTTGATTATCTATGAATAGTATATGGTTGAATATTAATAAGTGTTCCCAAATTACTTTTTATTGGAAATGGTTATATGGATTATATGCTTGTCACATGAATAATATTAATCTTAACAAAGTAACTCATATAAAAGATCTAAGTAAATACGTTTCATCAAATTTTCTTTTAATGAGCATATATATAATAAATAAATGCAATAAAGCACTATGAATATTGAACTTCCTGAAATGTAACTATTGGGGATTTCTAAGTATTTTTATATAATAATTTTGTATTTTGTTTGTATTTATGATATAATTTTTGTTTACTGTAATTGTAAATTTTACAATTGTAATTATTGATTTTTTTGGTGTTATTTAATAAATAAATACAAAATTTTAATCATTATCAAATAACCTAAAATAATATCTATAATCCTATATCTTATAACCTTATAATAATTTCACTTATAGTGAAATGCTGGACAGTCATGTGCGTTCTCACAGTAGAATGTAGGTAGAACCTCCCTAACGATGAAAATAAATATATGATAATGATATATTTTGGAGGGAGTACAAAAAAATCTTAGGGATATTTCTTCCCAGAAAAAACCATGAGAATGTCTATGCGGATTTTATTAATAATTATGTACAGTACAAAATGCTTACAAATTAATTTTTGAGTTTTAAATAAATTTATTTCATCATAATACTATTGTTGAAGCCTAATTAAAAAAAAGCCTCGTAGCCTGTATACCATAGTAATCCAAAAAAGAACTTTAATTTTTTTTTTGTTGTTTTTATAAATTAAATAATTATATAAGAATCTATGAATAACCTTGTTCAGATATACTGTGATTTATCCATGTATAAATTTACAAATATAGATATTTAAATTTTAAACAAATTTAAATTTATGCGCACTTTAACATATGTCAAAATAATACAATGCATTTTTTTTTTTTGAGTTAATATTGATTGTAAATTTATATTTTGTGAAGACACATTTACAAAAAAAAAAAAAGATACTGACAAAACAACACAATGAAAAATAAATATTTCCCTATCATGTAATCATACTCTCTAAAATAAAATTGTAAAATTTAATCTTGAAAATATTTTTATAATTTATACAATCGTTATTATTATACAATAACATTACAGGTTACAACAATAAAGAGTGATATGCACTATAATAACATAATATATTCAATATTTTTTTCATGAAATTTTTTAAAGAATAGGGTGAGAACTGATAAAATAGTTTTCTTAAACTAGTAAAATAAACATCATTTGAATAATTTTTTTTGAAGTGTTAATTTATTACTATAAAAAAAAATTAAATTTAATATATTAATAGTAAATTTATTTGTTGTCCAAATAAAATTAATTTTTAACTTTCAATTTTCGTCATATTAACAGATGAAATTTTAAATCAATTAAAATTATCTTAATTTAAGATTTCAAATACCTATTAACTTAAAATAATGCATATTTTGATATTGTTAATAATTACTACTATAAATATATTTATATAATTTGTGATATTATTTCAAATATCTGATAGATATTTCAATATTTAAAAATATTTTATGATCAATGAAAAGAATAAATGCGAAATATTATACCTTCAATTTAAAGTTCTCATTTATATGTAAAAATAATACAAAAAAAGTTTTTATTTACAAAAAATTAAATTTTTAAAATGTTTGATTAAAATAAATATAGTATATAACTAGCTATATTATTAATTCACTTTACCAAGACTTGATATTAACAGAATTATCTAAGAATCTGATTATAGTGTCTATAAAATAAGGTTATCTAAAAACAAATTTTTAAATTTTTTTAAGGAACAAATTTTAAAGAAACCTTTTCAATTTCATAATATTTTTAAAATTTTATTTATTTAAATAACTAGAATTTCACTTTGTTTTTGATGGTTTGTTATAATTTTATAGTAATACAACTTTGAAAATTAATGATGGGGCTTTAAAAGAAATTAGAAAAAGAAAATTTGTCTTTCTCTTTGGTTGTAGATTTTAAGAAGAAAAAACTATTCATTATTAAATAATTTTGTAACCTAATGGATTAAATTGACAGGTGTATTCTTTACCCAATTAGGTTGGACTAATTTAATTTCTCTCTTTAAAAAAATGTCTATAATTTTTTGGGAGCCAAAGCCCAATTATAAAAAGTAATACATATAACTAATTTACATTGCTTTTTAGAACACACTTTTAATTTACCTAATTTGAATAAAAAAATAATAACTGCCTAACTAAAATGTGTTAAAATGGTCAAAAATGTCTTAAAAATTGCAAAACAATTCAGTATAAAAATTCTATTTTTAAATTTTTTATTACATAAAGTGAAACATGGGTTTGAAGTGCATCATCAATGACAACCCTAAAAAAAGGCAATATGTGTTGAAATCTGGGCCTCACACATTGGATACAGCTTAAACTTTTTAAAATTTATACCCATTATTTAAAAGTCTCAATTATTTCAAAAGAATTTTTGATTTATATTTTTCTAATAACTACTTAATTTTATTAAAGTCTACTTACGTAGTTTGGTGTTCCGATATGAGCCACCTTGCAACAAATACTGAAGTTGCAATCCAGGCTTATGTTTAATGGTATTCATACACTCTGAAAGTAACACTGCATATAATTCTACAAAATATTTTATTTTAATTGGAAGAAGTTTTACTAACCGTTCACAGTGATCTTAAATAAAAATTGAAAAATATACTAGCTATAATTGATATAGTTGGACATCACATAAAATTTTAACTTTTTCATATCTTTTAAAATTAAGTTACGTTATCAAAATTTGTCAAAAAAAAAAACACAACTCCAAAACTTCTTAACACTTTAATTTACCATCATATATAATCAATGTTCTACATTCGTTGAATACTTAATTTATTGTAATATCTTATTTTTCTTTATTATCAGTGTGCAACTTCAGCTGCCCAATGGTACAATAAAAAATTTTACCGTAAATACAGTACGGTAATTACCGTATAATAAATGGCCCAAACAGTCACTGTGACGTCATACGGAAGTGAAGGTATATTTATATTTATGACTTATGTATGCATGTAAATGTTATCAAAATGGCTTTTGTTTTTGAAAACACAAAAGAGGAGTCAGGAGTGTTAAGTTATCAATAATTTTCATTTGTGTCCGTGGTGCTTTAATCGTAAATTGTTTTTAGTTCAGTGGCTGAGTTTTTTTAATTATTATTGCTACTAATTTATGATTTAAATTAAATTTTCATTAGTTTAACCTTATTAATACTAAGTCTCTTTTATTGGTAATTATAGAAGAACGTAACATAATATCTCTAATTCATCAGACTATCTGTACAATACGTTTAATTATTGTTGAATTATTTATTTTAATACAATTTTTTTTAAATAAAATTTTTATTAAAATGCTCAGTGTTTTACTATTTATTTTAAAAATATAAAGTTTATAAAGAAAATTTAAAATGAATGTTCCCTACATTAATGACACATTCAACATCAACGGCAAGTATTTTATATATAATAATATAATGATTAAACTTATGATAAAAATAATATTCATTTTGTTACTCAGATTATAAATATTTTTATTGTCAATGGGAAAATTTTGATTATTTATCAATATTCCTGCAGTTGGTGGTTATTATAGTGTTTTTTATTTTTGAATTGTGAATATACTGATCTATTTTTATTACTTCGACAATTATTTTTTATAATAATGAAACCTTGATATATTTAAAAAACTAATTTTTTAAAGTATTCAGTTTATATAGTATTATAATAAGTTATTGTTCATTTGTATGGTCTTAATACGTTTTAGACCATTATGTGTTTATAGATTCGAGCTGGTATCTATTTATTTTTCATAATTGAAATGTTTGTCGTAATTCATCATTAGTAAACTATTTTATGAAAAATTCTAATTTAAAAAACGCTAGTATCTTATCTCAAAATTATAATTTTTTAAAACTAAAATATTTCCAAATGAGGAGTTAAATTTTTTTTAAATATTGTATTGTGTCATTAAGATTTAAGTGTTAAAAATATTAATTTAGAATTGTTTTTTATGGCAAAAATAATCATGTTGATGTACTAGATTATTTTAATTGAAGTGCAATATTTAAACTGTAAAATGATAAAATACTAACATCAATACATTAATTGGTTGTTTGAATCCTCAAACTAGATTATTTCAAAATTAAGTTTTTTGAATTTTACTATTTGTAGAATTACTACACTAAAATTAAAAGTAGAAAATATTTTATTTATGTGATAGTTATACTATTCTTGTTATATTACAAATATAATACAATGAAATTTTTTTGTTTTCAGAACTTTCAACAGAACAACAAAAGTTGTTAATAGAAATAAGAAGACGTAAAGCTGAACTTTTACTTGAAATACAGGTTACTATAATTTGTTGTACTATATAGTATAAATTTGTTTTAACATATACAAATTAATATAACCTTCAAATGAATGATCATAGAATAGTAAATTAATATTTATTGCACTGCTGTTTAAAAATTTACACATCTATAAAATTATGATTTTTCAGTCATGTAATACATTATATATATACATAGTCTCCCACCATGTTCTGACAATTATGATAACTTTTTTGCATCAGCAAATACTTTGTATTATTTTTTTTGTAAATTATTTTTACAGTTTCAGACTAAGCATGAGTAGATACAGCTCATATAGAGTTATGTACCCTCCACCTGTATTACATGCCCACTTTATGTATTAAAATATTTACAACTTAATAAGTAATTATCCTAGAATTATTGTCAATCTATCAGAGTTTTTTGAAAGAAAATAACTGAAAAAGGTCTATTTTGAAAAAATTATATATTTTTTTCTTATTAGAGACAATAATAAAAAATATGTTTTATAATAGATGAAGCTTGTCAAATTATAAAACACTTATTTGTATGTCAAGAATAAATAAGTGCTTTATGAATAAAACACTAAAATAGCAATTTTATATTTGAAAAAATAATTTTTTAAATTATTTAATAAATTCATTTTTAAAGTTATAAGACAACATAAAGTATAAAAATTAATATTTATATTATTTTTGTTGTTTTTAATTTATTTAGTGTTAATTTTAATATTTACCCATGAATCATGGTTATTTCCTTTATAGATATTTGTAGAATAGTTTTAGACCATCTACTTTTATTGATATCATTTATATTATCTTATGAGTAATAGTTTTATTGTAGTTGTAGAATGTATTTAATTTTTAATATCAAAATATTTATAATATTTATTCTACTCAATTACAATAAAATCATGTTGTTGAAAGTCAAAGCTTGTTTATCTAAAATAATATATTAAAAAAACTGCAAAAAATATTTATATATTTTTAATTAATTGTCATATAAATTTACACAGAATTTTCTAAACCATGATACTCATTTTTTCAAAAACAAATGAATATTTTCAATTTTTGCTAAGAAAAAATTATTTGATTCAAAAAAATTAAATAATATGTTGTTAAATAATTTTGATTTAATGATATGATAGAAATAAATTTTGTTCTTATATTTTTTTTTTATACAATCAATCATTTGCATTTTAAAATTGTTAAAAGATTTGATCTAAAATAGAATTTCATCATTAAATTAGTTTTCATAATTCTGAAGGCAGCAATAATCTGTTTCAATAGTCTATAAATTATTATTAGTATTTATTCTGACTATAGTAAGTGACAGATATGATAACTAAAATTTTCTATATAAACTTGTTTATGTGATATTATAAAGAAATGATGACTACTCTATGCTAAACAGCAAATTATCAATAGAAAATTGGTCACAAATCGCTTTAACTTTAACAAACAATAACATAAGAATGATATAATATATAAAACATATAAGAATAAATTAGGTATTTTCACTAAAGAAAATTAAAGTTTCAGTTTCTTAATTCTGAAGAAATAAAAAAAAACATTCATCTACATAATGTAAATAATATTTCTTTTACAAAAATTGAAAATATTCAATAGTTTCAAAGAAAATGAGTGTCTTGTCTTTGATTATCCTATACATTACAGTTATATTTAAAAGAAAAAATTCTGTGTTAGTAAATAAATTTATGTTGCCTTCTATAACAAAAAGTGTTTTAAATTTATAGAGTTAATAATAAAAATAAAAGCTCTTTTAATCTGTTAATAAATGAATAGCATCCAAATATCAATAAGTGAGGTCGTAAAAGTTAATTCATTAGCTTTTCTAGGGCTAGGAATTATATGAATTGATAAATTTTGTTATGTTATTTAAAACACAAGATTAATCAGTACAAATTTTTAATAATTGACTTGAAAACTTATTATTTTGTTTTTACTAAGAATATAACTATAAACAAAAATGTAAAACAAAAAATATTTCTACACTACTTCATTGTAATTGTTTGATTATTACATTAAATTTCTTCTAATAATAATAATTAAAAAAAAAAAATTAATTTAAATTTGTTTAGTATTATTTATTTGCCAATTTATAAGTGGTTAAATACTTTTTAGGTCCATCCCTTATCCCTTATAAGAATATCAACTTTATTATTTAAATAACAACATATATATTTAACTAGTTTATATAATAGAAAATGATCCAACTAAAGAAATAACTGTTATGCGTGGCAGAGAAATGCATAGTGATAAAAATTATATAACCTGTGTCTCACCTTCAGTGGACATTTCAAAATGTTAATAATTTCCGAAATATTTGTTTGAAAGTTGTTATTAGCCATCAATTTTTTATTAGATCATTTTCTACCTTATGAACAAGTTAAATATGTGTTTTGCCTCTTATGAATTGAGAAATAAATAATACCAAACAAAATCAAAAAAAAATTTTTTTAATTATTACTTAAGATGATGAATCAATCACTCTGTATATAGTTTTTCAAAATTTGGGATCCTTTAAATTTGCTCAAATAAAACTTAAATGCATATAATTCCTAGCCCTACTTATCTCCATGTAATAAAAAGTTTGTCCTGAAAATATATTGTTTTACTTTATTAATATACATTACTTTATTTTTTTTTTTATTAGTATTTATTACTTTATTAGATGGTTAAATGGTATGAAAGAAAAAATTAATGGTACAAATTAATAATTTTAAATGTAAAATAATATTGAGGTGCCAAGTAAATATATATTTCTAAACTATGTTATAGCAATTTCAGTTTCATTTTATTTTTTTACAATTAGTTGTTTGAATATAATTTTTCTTATTTTATTTGTTGTATTGTAGCAACTTAAAGATGAATTATCAGAAGTTGTTGGGGAAATGGAGAATATGGATTCAAATGATGATAGGTAATTAAAATATCTATATAATAGTATATAATCTATATAATATAACATATATTTCTATATGTAGTAAAAATCAAACCAAAGCAAAACAGTTATCAATTGGTCGAAAGAAATTTAATATGGACCCTAAGAAAGGAATTGAATTTCTTGTTGAACATGGTCTATTAAACCATAATGAAGCTGATGTAGCTGCTTTTCTTTATAAAGGAGAAGGTTTAAATAAAACTGCCATTGGCGATTACTTAGGAGAGAGAAATGATTTCAATGAAAGAGTTTTAAGAGAATTTGTTTCTCTTCATGATTTTACTGATCTCATTTTAGTTCAAGCATTACGGTAAAATATTATTTACTATTAATATTTTTGAGAATAATTGTTTCATAACTTAATATACATTTTAATTCTATTTGTCTCTTATTATTATAAATTTATGAATCTCACTCTCTAATAAAATATTTGTTTTGTCAATTATATATAATAATATGATTTTATTTACAGTACACAATTCATTTCTGATATTTATTAAAAGAAAGATTAATTTGAGTAATTATTTATATACAAATTTGATTTGTAAAATTTCCTAGATTTGTAATGAAAATATTGTTAAATATTGTATAAGTGATCTTAAATTATAAATTTATAAAGTAAAACACTTTAAAATATAATCTGTATGTATCATATTAAATGATTACAAATGAAGCGTGAGAAATATTTGTACTTCTGTTTAGAAAATCAAATAGGTTTTTTTTTTTTTTAATACTTCTAAAGTTAGTTATGAAAATGATCAGAAACATATGATGTTAGATTTTCATAAATCTGCTAAACTTTTTGAATACAAGTTATTATTGTTACTTTTACTCTATTTTTATGTAAAAAAAATGTTCAATTGTGTAATTTGTGTTTTTTAGACAATTTTTATGGAGTTTTAGGCTTCCTGGTGAAGCACAAAAAATTGATAGAATGATGGAATGTTTTGCTGAAAGATATTGTCAATTAAATCCAAATATTTTTACTAACACTGGTAAAATTAGCAAATTTATTTTTATTTTATGAAAATAATATTATTAAATTTTTAATTTGCAGATACTTGTTATGTTTTGTCATTTGCTATTATTATGTTAAATACAAGTCTTCATAATCCTAGCGTAAAAGACAAACCATCTGTTGAACAATTTATTCAAATGAATAGAGGGATAAATAATGGTGGTGATTTACCTAGAGAATTGCTTATTGTGAGTAATTAATTTTTTTCATTATAATATAATATTTATAATACTATTTTTATTAAAAATGTTATCAAACTCATAATTATCATTTAGAGCTTATATGACAGCATAAAAACTGAGCCTTTTAAAATACCTGAAGATGATGGCAATGATTTAATGCACACGTTTTTCAATCCTGATAAAGAAGGATGGTTGTGGAAACAAGGTAAAATTAAATACTTATTATATTTCATCAAATGTATTTTTAAATTATTAAATTAAATTTAGGTGGTCGTTACAAGAGTTGGAAACGGCGATGGTTCATACTAAATGATAATTGTTTATATTATTTTGAATATACTACTGACAAAGAGCCTCGTGGTATAATTCCATTAGAAAATATTGAAGTTAGAGAAGTATCTGATCGTCATAAGCCACATTGCTTTGAATTATATGCTGCTCCTGGCACTACAGATTTCATTAAAGCCTGTAAAACTGATAGCGAAGGAAAGGTTGTAGAAGGTAAGTTATTTATAATAATTACTTTTTAGCCACAAATGAAATTGTTATTTTCTATTAGTATAATTTTCTTTGAGTTATCATTTATTATTAGTGTTTTTCTTTTAGTTACACTTTTTATTTGAAATTATGGACTTAAAATATTAGGCTGAAATATAATAGAATACATTTAAATAAATTCTTAATTATATGATGTTTGACAATTATAAAATTAATATGATGGTTATTATAGGTAAACACACAGTTTATAGAATGTCTGCTGCTACAGCTGAAGAAAAGGATGAGTGGACAAAATGTTTAAGGTAAGGCAATTTGTATAAAATATAAAAATAAAAAATAAATTATTTGTTATTTGTTATTTTTACAGACAAAGTATTAGCCACAATCCATTTTACGACATGCTGGCTGCACGTAAAAAGAAAGCCCAAAAAAGTAACATACATAGTCGAAGTTAGCATCATTTCTATTGTTATGTGAAAGTGTCCCTGGTAACTATAAAAAATATGTATCATTACAATTATCATACTTGTATATAGAACAACTACCCTAAAGTAAACTGTGATGATCAAAACTTTATATTATTGTTTAAACTAGAGAGTTATTAGTTTCTTGACTTTTATTTAGTGATTTGAATAGATATTTGTTTAAGAATTCATAATGTTAATAATAAATATTACTTGAAGATTTCAAATTCTTAACTATTAACCAGTTAATACACTACTATATCTAGCTACCAGTAGTTTATAATGAATTAAAATTTGAATTTTATAACTGAAATTGTAATTAGCTAATGAGAATCAGAATAATCATACTATTTTTTTGTTAAATTCATACAAAAATTTTCATATACTTTTGCAATAAAGGTAACAAAATATATAGCTATTATTTTTTGTAATATCTCCATTATAAATTATAATACAAAATATTGAATATCAATTTCATACTAAATTCAATTTCTATAATGTATATTTAGTCATGTATTATATTTATAAATCATAAAACTAGTATTTAGGATATAATTAATGAAATAAAGAGTTAGTGTTGCTTTTGAAATAATCCAACAATTTATTTTAAAAATTAAACACTATCTACAGATTTACATTAAAGCATTTTTTAATGATAATGATTTTTTTTAATCTATTTAATTTATAAATGCAATTACTTAATATAATCATTATTTTTTAGTACTATTTAAAGTTTAAATTTGGATGTCAAGTATGAAAAAAGCGAGCAAAAAAGGAGATCAAATAAATTCATGTGATGTAATAATGATAAAAATCAACATCTACATTAATATTTGGATTAAAAGGACATAGTGTGATAGAACAATAATCAATTAACCATTGATTTGCACATCTTATTTTGAATATTTTTTGTAGCACATTTATGTGTTACTAAATTACTACATAATTTGTTTATTGTTTTTATAATATAGTTCAAATTATTTTACTACTATCTATTCAATTAAATATGAAAATGTTATAGTTATTTTTATAATATATTATCTAGTCCAAAATTTATACATAATTGTTATTTTACTCTTATGAATTGCTTTGGTGAATATTTTTGTACATAATTTTTAAAATAAATATTTTTGTTCTGGAAAATATCTTTTTTCTAACAGTTTATTCATGTTTTGAAACCTAGTATGTTATGTTTAAATAATTTAAATAATATTCTAAATTAAGTCTGTTAACAGATAAAATTAAGAATAAAAAAAAAATTCAATGAGAACAGATTTGTAAAAAAATATTATAGATATATAGTGATATTTAAAATGTTAATTTGAACTATCTTTAAAAATGTATTGGTATTTTGTAAAGATGTAGTAAATACAGGTGGCCCAGCTGTCACTAACAACTTCAATAACTTTTGATACAGTTAATTTTTTTTTGCTATTATTTTATGAATAATTAATATACTTTAGGGCTGTAATAATGTAATTAATATCATTTTTATAATTTAATTTTAAAAAATTATTTGGTGAAAAAAAATTCTCATTAATGTTTGGTAGTTAGTTTTCTGTAACATTTTAAATTTTGTAAAAATTTTAATTGTTCTGTATTTATTCTACATTATCAAACGTTATGTTTATTAAAAAAAAAATAGGAGTAAACAATCTTTTCACACTAAATATGATACAAGTATGGATTTTTCCATGAAAATTATTGAGATTCCAATGACCGGCTTTAGTTCAAATAAAAAATGAACAATACCTAATATTAATTAAGTAGTGTTATCTCTTTAGAGATTAAACTATTTATCTTACATTTCTTCTGTCCTTTTCTTAACATGTATTTCAATGTTTAACACTATTTAATACTGAATATCAATAAGATATTTTCTTACCAACATTTTTCTTAAAATCTACTCTACAAAATAGCTATCTTGATTTTTTTTTTCGTTTTATTTAAAATTTAAAAAGTAATTAATATTTTCAATAAAATGTAAAAATATAAAAATACCTAACGTATAACTGTTATTAAAAAAAAAAAAAAAATCAGAAAAAAATATTTACTAGATCATAAGTTATTTAAGTTATCAGTAAATGCTGGACTGCTTTGTATATATAAAAACCGAGCATTAAGTAAATGCCAAATAAATAAATGCTTATAAACCGATTATCAGATAAAGATCAAGTCCGAAAAAGGAGGCCAGGTACTTAGCTTAAGGTTTAATCTGGATACGTGGAACATCTCAGGTATTTTGGAATGAACAAAGTTATTTATAATTATTTTACATTATAAAATTAGTCTAAAAGATAGACAAATAGAATTAATTTTCTTAACAAAATCAATTCTTAAGATATATTTCATCTTAGCGTCAAAGATGGTAATGCTTGGAAAAAGTTCTACTTTTTACAAATAAATTGTTCAGGAAGTTCTTAATAAATCAGAATGTATTAAATTTACATTATTATTTGATTGTATTGTATTCAGTAAAATATTAATATATCTGTTTAAGAAATTAGGATATAAGCTTTAAAAAAACCCGGGATTTTTCAAGGAAGCTGTAGATTTATGTAACCAAACCTCTTTGAAATAAATAGTCGGCGGCGTTGCGGGCGGATGAAGATTATAGAAAACAACGTTAGAGTAAGTGAGAAAAAAGATAAAACCGCCGCTATGACGTCATTCCCCCTCGCCCGTCAAAATGGCCGCACAATCGATCGTGCTTCCACTGACGAATGCGTTTCTCCGTCTCAAAGGTCTGCAAATAATGTCTTAATCTAGTGAGAATTTCGGCAAAACGGGTGTTTAGAACGGGCTGAGCGTCTTCGTACCGATCACCAGCGTTTCCAAAGGCATACGGTAAGCAATTCTGGCGGTTTCCCGCCATACATCGATGGGCAGGGTTGTGAAGGGCTTTTTTCCCATCTACCCACCTCCTTTGTCTTGACAGCCGCGGCGTACATTTTTCCCGTCTACACCCCTGCTGGCCTGATGCTTTCCCTGCACACCCATCTCCCGACAACTCACCCGTTCCACGATGCGTAGCCGAACGGCCCCGGGCTTGCTGTTATGCAATTCTACGTTCGCCGGGAAAAAACTCTGAACGGCGGCAAACAGCAACTGAGCCGTTCGCCATTTTGGTTATAGTCGATCGGCATCCGTGCTTTACCAGTACTGGTCGCCGCCCATCTCTTACCAGCAACTAACTGGCTATTGTTGGCCCCGGGTTACCGGGTTCTGAACCCTGACACTTGCGAAGATTTTCTGACTAATTCAATTTACTTCGAATATTAGGCGAGAATTATCTGATTGGTAACAAAGGCGGCAATCATAGTTGACGCCTAGGCCAAGCCGACCGCGTAGGTATTGATTTTTACCCCTTACGGCAGTCCTTTGTACTCAATTAAAGTTTTTATTTTCGTCTCGCTTCTTCCCGATGTATGACCACTTGCATGTGTTATATCATCTCAAAATTGCTCGGTTCTGATTAAGTAACTAGTATTATGCCGATAATATCTGTGTTTTTCACTCTGAACTGTTGATTGCCGCCAATTGAGTTAGTGCACCATTGTTCTAATGCGGGTTTCGTTATATCATCTCTGGTTGCCACTAGGCCTTCGATTCCGGTAACTATCCTAAAATCTATAGTTCAATCACACATACTAATTCTTTTAATTTCTTAATACGTATTATAAGATTGTATTAATAGATTAGAAATTGCGTCCTATTGATTTTTAGGACATGATGTTAAGTACTAAGTTTTAGTACTTTTTCTAAGGGTTATTTATTTCTAATATGTACATTTTTGAATTAGTAGGACCCGTATTTAATCACATGCCAATTAAGATATCCAGTCTAAAGCAACTCATACTTAGTTATTTAAAGGAAAATATTTACTTGTTGCAGTCGTAGTTACTAGTTAAAAGAATTAGTTTATTAAATATTGATGAACACCTATTTAAATAATAACTACATGGACATTAATGTGTTGTCAATATTGAACTTTAATAAATGTTGTTTATTAGTGGGTATTCTCATAGGAGTGAAAATTATAATGATAAATACACATTAATATTATTTAAAAAAAAAAGTAACTTGTACAATTATACATATAACTAATTGCTTAACATATTATATTGTTAACTATTTGTTTTTAACATTTTTATTATTTTTAAAATTTTAATTTTCATGTAATTTTCTCTATCATAAATTGTATTTCCAAAAATATTTTTCTTTCTAAAAAATTATCCTATTAAGTTAAATTCCTCTTTATGGTAATATATTTTAATGGGTTTTTTTATCATACAGGAAAAACATTTTATTTTTCAGAACTTCTGATATGATTACAATAAACCAAAATATTTCTGGAAGTTATCTTAAAAAGTTTCTGTTTTTTTTCTTCAACTTCTGGAAAAGTATTGTTTTTTACAGAAGTAATTGTAAAAATTTACATGTGTAGTTTATCACCTTATTGTTACATAGATATTTTTCATGTTTATAGTTATTCATAAAATACTATTTTATAAACTACTCATTTTTCATCTATTCCTTAATTTTTCTCCTTTGGACTTGATTTTAAGTGTTACTTATAATGTTTCTAAAATAAACAAATTATTCTCATCTTTAAGTCATTTTAACTAATGATCTTTTTTTATCAGATTAACATGACTGAAGTGCTGAAAGCTAGTGAATTAAGAGTACCGATGCCACCAGAAAATATGAGCATTAATAGAGATAGAAGTGAACATCACCAGAATATGGAAGGACCACCTCAACCTGCGCATGCTCATTTCACACCTCCAACTTCTGTTTCTGATCTTGAATTGTTGCAGCATAGAGTCAATTGGGGTACGTTCAGTAAGTTATCAAACAGTATAAATCTATTATTTTTCAATGAATGCCACATAGGATGATTTTATTACTATTATCATTTTTATTTATATAGGTGATCCTACAAAAGTATGCTCCAGTCTTATGCTACAGCTTGGAGGAGCTGCTGCTGCTGTTGGTACTGGCCAAGGAGGATCTTCTGGCAATAATCAAAGTAATGGTAATAATGAACGCCGTACACACATCACAGGCTCTAGTCTTATGCTGCAATTAGGAGGAGCAGCAGTAGCTACTGTACCAAGTAGTTCATCAGGTGGTACTCAAATCACTGGTTCAAGTGGTGAACGTCGGACACACATCACAGACTCCCCTTTTCATTGCGATATATGTGGAAAATACTTTTCTAGAAAAGATCATTTCAAGAATCATGTAATGTGGCATACAGGTGAAACTCCACATAGATGTGATTATTGTGCCAAAACTTTTACTCGCAAAGAACATTTAGTCAATCATGTGAGACAACATACTGGTATGTATAATGTTAAAAACTAAAAATTAATTATTCTGTTTATTTTGCTTAAACATAATATTTAGACATTAAGACGTCCATTACCTAAGTATATATATTTAATTATTTTATTTTATTAATTTTTTTTTAAATTTCTTAAAAACGAGTGTAAGAATCAATACCATTAATATTTTTGTATTATTTGTAATAAAACTAATCTGAGTTTTATTATATAATATGAAGTACATACATTTTTATTTCATTTGTTTTAAGTTTTAAAAATTCTTTAATTTAAAGGAAATTTTTTTTCTTTTAGTTTTAGTTATTCTTGAAGTTGATTTTTTGTTTTTGGATTTTTATTTTGTTATTGTAATTTTTTATCATTTTTCAATTTGAAGTTGCATTATTTTTATTTATTTTTTTAGAATATTATGTGTTAAAATTTATTTCTATGTTTTACCAGTTTTGTTGACCCTATGATTTTTTTTTTTAATTACTTTCTTTATAGTTATTTCTATGTAGAATTGTGAATATAAGGATTGTATCAAAATTACACAACCCTTGGCATTGAATCATAAAAATAATTAATGTTATTTTTATTTTTTGTATTATCCTTAAAAAATTGGAAAATAGCTCTGTACACATTTTATTACTTAATGTAACAAAAAATTTACATTTTTTTAAAACAATTTGTTTTATTTACTTTTAATAATTAGGGTTTTCTTAAATTTTCTATGAATATCTTTCAGAGTATGAATAGAAATCATAAAAATTTTTTCTATTTAAACAACTATCTGTTATAGCTTTATGGTTTTTAATGAGTTCACAAAATTCTATAAGTTAATTATACATATTTTTAGGATATTTAGGCTGCATATCTTCAAAATTTTAATGAAACCAAGTTTAGTATTAATTTATGCTTTGTGCTACATTAATAATGTACGTTGAATTTTTGTTTTCATCAAATTTCATTAATTTGTTTTCTGTAATTTACACAATTTCTCATTTATTCTTTTTGACCATCATTTTCTTCGACTGAACATTTAAAAAGAATTTTATGCTCTTTATCAATGTTCTAAATATATTAAACTTATTTTTAGTCAAATTTAGTTAATGCTTTATTTCTAATAAAATGTTTGCACTATTTTTGAAATAAAATTTAACTGAAGTCAAGGACTCTATGTTTTATGTCAAATTTTAGTTAAAATGTGTAATTCAACTTGTTGGTTGTTTGATATTGAGAAATTATTTTTTGATGTAATTGATTTATCTGGATCTGTTCTCTGAGTCATATGACAATTTTTTCCCATTATAATTGAAATTTTATTAGAGTTTTTCCATTTTATTATTTTGCTTTTTTAGTAAATATGACTTTTCATAATTATTGTTGATTGAAGATGGAATTGTATTTGATGAATTTTCATTCTATTATTCTTACACTAAAATTTAACTTAAATATAATTTGATTAAATATATATAATTAGTTTGTAGTTTTCAATTGCACTAGAGCGCTATATTTTGTTTGTTTTGATAGTTCTTTAAGGTATTTAATTTTTGAGTTGGTTTCCCATGATGATTTTTAAATATTTATCTATCTTTTCATGTTCAATCAAATGATTGCATAATATTATAAACTATATTATTGTATAATTAATATCTGAATATTTTAGCTTATTTATGTTGTTTATACTACTACAGGGTATATCTCTAGGACAATAAGGTACTGTTTGCATGAGTTAGAAATAATAGTTATCTTATATTACAAGTTTAAATGTATTAAAATTTAGAAAATACCTGTGTAATAACTTGAAATGGTTCTTAGATAAGGGTTTAAAATATATAAGTTAATTGTATATATTTATATATATATATATGACATGATTTAGTATTATTTTCACCTCATTCTATAAGAAAAAAATAAACTATCAACATTTTTATGTATACAAAAATTGCTTCTGAGTGTTCCAAGGGTTGTGTATCACAAAGATGTAAATTGGTTTACAATTTTGATGATTTGATGTACTAAAATGCAGTAGTCTAGTTCTTTGAAAATATATGAATAATTTATAGGTGGTATACAAAACGCTGCCGAATATTCTATGAACATGGAGCCAGGTCCTTCTACTTATCGTAAGTTGTATTGCTCTTTAAGATTACATATCTTCCCATTTTTTTGATTTTTTTTTTTTTCGTTCAATTTGAGTTTTCTCCAAATTTTATTTTTATTTTTTATTTTTTGGTTGATAGTTTTGAACTTATTTCATTTTTCGTTCAGGTGCCTGTTTGTTTTAATTTTGTTTATATTATGCGTATCCGACAAAAATAATAAACTACATGAAAACTATACAAAGATTAAGTTTGATATATTTTCATTAACAATCAAATACATAGGGTTATCTTGAATATTATCAACTAGTTATTAATGTTGTGTGCGTGTCATAAATGTTGGTTATAAACTCTGTCCAATTATAAAAAATATAAAACAAGTCTAATAGGTGTTAAGAAAAAAGTAGTGTATAAACATTACTTAGGTAGTTAAAATTATTCAGTAAATCACCTAAGCGCTCTAGTGTAATTGGTATATAGTGGACCAATAAAATTTGATTAGTGAAGTCTTGTAGCTTCTTGAAAACGAATTTTAATTACGACAAAAGAATTTTTTCTCAAAAATAAGCAAAGAAAAGTTTTTTCTCAATAGACATTTAGCTAATATGTTTATTGGTCCACTGTATAGGTGAAACACCTCACCACTGCAATTACTGCCCAAAATCGTTCACGCGTAAAGATCACATGGTTTACCACGAGCGTCAACACACAGGGGAAACGCCGTTCCCGTGCCAATACTGTCCAAAAGCATTCACGCGTAAGGATCATTTGGTCAATCACGTGAGGCGTCATACAGGAGAATCGCCACACAAGTGCACCTACTGTTTAAAAGTGTTTACAAGGAAGGAACATCTGACAAATCACATTCGCCAACATACGGGTGAGTCACCACACCGATGTCACTTTTGCCCTAAAACCTTCACGCGTAAAGAACACCTTACTTGTCACATTCGTATTCATACAGGTGAGTCACCTCATGCTTGTGAGTTCTGTAATCGTACCTTTACCCGCAAAGAACACTTGAAACGCCATATGCGCCAACATATTCCAGGTTCTGAGTATAATTGTCTTATTTGTGATGAAACTATGCCTACTAAGGAGCAGTTGCTTGAACATATGGCTACACATCCTCAAGACTTCCCCTATGTTTGTACAGATTGTGGGAAATCATTTAGGTTGAAAGGAAATTTATTATTTCACTTGCGTTCTCACCAAAAGGGTATGCCCATTGATCGCCCATTCCAATGTGATCTTTGTCCTAAGGACTTCATGTTCAAAGGTCATTTGGTTTCACATCGTCGCAGTCATACAAATCCAAAAGTTCAAACTGCATTCCCTGCTACAATTCAAATAATTGGAAATAATTCATTTGTTATCAAAAATGGTAAAGAAGATGGAGAATTGATTAATATACAACAATTAACTAATCAAACTGAGCGTGCTATTCAATATGATATTTCAAATAGACGTCTTGATAAAAATGCTCATTTTCCTGCGACAATTCAAATTAGTAATGGTCAATTTGTACTAAAAAGTTTAGTTAAACAAGAGTGTGATGGGACTGAATTGATTACTTTACATCAGCAACAGCCAGATGGTAGTTCTAGCATACAGACTGCACAATTAGTCAGTGTGGGGACACAAGTTGCACTTCCATCATCACCACAAAATAATGCTGACAATGTTACACCACATTCTAGAGCTGGTTTGCTGGCTGCTGTTACGTAAATACAGAACTCAACAAATGGTGACTGCTTGTGAATTCACTATCCCCATTAATTGATTATTTAGTTCCCTATTTATGATTACCCAATCCATTAAAGTTAGGTGTTCTTTTTTTCGCTTTTAATCATAGTAAATATTTTATGGACTATTCCTTGACAAAAGTAGATTTTTTAATATTTATTTTAAAATTGGGAATGATACATTAAATATGATATATATTTTTGTATGTCTTAAATAAATAATATTTATATAAAAATATTTCTGTAAAACTAATACAAAATTAGTATAATAACGTAGTTAGTTTTTATGTTGTTAGATTCCTATATAAAATCAATTTATTGTAAATCAATGTTTTCAAATTTTAAATATCTTTTTAGACTTAAGTCTTTATTGTATATTATTATTCTTATAAAAAAAAAAATTAGATGATTAAATGGTAGAGGTAACAGTTCAATAATATTAATTTCAAAACCATAGTTATTAATCTTATAACTTATGTAAATTTTAACAATTGAAAAATAAATTTCTTTGTACACCAAATTCTGTTTTAATTTTACATGTAGGTTTATCAAAATAAATTAGAATTCCATTTGTACATTAAGCTAAGCCTTGAAATTATAAATAAATTAAGATATATTTTATTTCTGTGATCGCACACAACATGAATCAATAAATTATTCTATATCATGGAGGAATTCTTAGTTAAAATATTGTGTGTTAAAGTTGTTTCAGTTACTAAATTCTATATAGTAAAAAATGTTATAATCAATATAAATATGCAGAGTGGCCAAAAATTCATGTGTATTTGATTAAGTATTTGGAATTAAAAATAGATTTTTTTCATTTTATTATTTTTACATGATTTTTATGGCCCCGTGCATTATTAAAAAAATATCAATACTAAAGTGAAGCACAGAAAAACCATTACTTATATAACTGATACTGTTTTATTAAGTTTTATTAATTGTAGTTTTAAGTTAAAATATATGATTCATTTAGCATCAATAAAAATTTTCTTATTTTGTGTGCCCATTTACGACTTGTGAAAGGTAAAAATTAGACATGGTTGTGAGAAATGTATTAACGTTTAACTTGCAAAACTAGAAACTATTTCTATAGAAGAACTAATATTTTTGTCGGTTGCGTTAGTGATGACAGTTGGTACACTAAACAAAAAATTTACAGGAGTAATAACTATTTGAGTTTAATATGTTTTTCAATTTGATGATGATAACATTATTATTGTATATAACTATATAATATACATTTTTGGGGAAACTGTTTATTATAATGTAAATAATTTACTTTGAGTATCAAATGTAATAAAAATATATCTTTAAGCAAATCAGAGTCCACGATTATAATATTTGTTTAAATAAGTAATTTAATTATAATTTTTAAAATCCTTACTTTGGTGTACCACTGGTGTCGGTTATTAGTAATTTTTGGTTGCAATATATTTTTTGGTTATCGTTATATATCTCTTTAAAAATGAACTAAAATTATAGAAGATTCCTGCACAATCGTGCTAAATGTTAGCGTGGACCAAATCAAAACCCATTTTAACGTTACTATATTATAAATATGTGTATATTATAAACATATTTCAGTATGACGTATAAAAAAAGTCAACGTATTTTGGTATAAATCAGAGACACGAGAGAGTATGTGTTCAATAACTCGCAAGTATTATTGGATTTGCGTTAGTCTTAAGTGGGCACTAAAATAAGAATTTTTAAAAAAAATTTATTATATTGAACTTGTGTGCGTGTGTACGTGTGTGTGTGTGTGTGTGTTGATTCATTGACATGGGTTTTTGTTTGGTCCACTGTGTAGGTGAAACACCTCACCACTGCAATTACTGCTCGAAATCATTCACTCGTAAAGACCACATGGTTTACCACGAGCGTCAACACACAGGAGAGACACCGTTCCCGTGCCAGTATTGTCCAAAGGCATTTACACGTAAGGATCATTTGGTCAACCACATCAGGCGGCACACTGGTGAATCGCCGCACAAGTGTACATTCTGCATGAAGTCATTTACTAGAAAAGAGAACCTGACCAACCACATTCGTCAGCACACTGGTGAGTCTCCACACCGATGTCATTTTTGTCCTAAAACGTTTACGCGCAAAGAACATCTTACTTGTCATATTCGTATTCACACAGGCGAATCGCCACACGCTTGCGAATTCTGTAATCGAACCTTTGCACGCAAAGAACATTTGAAACGTCACGTGCGCCAGCACGCGCCGGGGGCAGAGTACAATTGTATCATCTGCTCTGAGGTGTTCTCTGCCAAGGAACCGTTGCTCGAACACATGTTGACCCATCCTCGCGATTGTCCGTACGTGTGCACCGACTGCGGCAAGGCGTTCCGCCTTAAGGGCAATCTCCTGTTCCATCAGAGGTCCCATCAAAAGGGCATGCCGGCCGATCGTCCCTTCCGTTGTGACTTGTGCCCTAAGGATTTCATGTGCAAAGGGCACTTGGTATCCCATCGGCGCAGTCACACTAACACTAAACAACAATTTCAATCTGGACAGTTTTCGAAAGACCACGGTACTAATGCCTCATTCATGTTGAAACACTTAATGAAGCAAGAAAACGTGTCTGAAATGATCGGCCTGCATCAACCCCATCCAATGCCTCAGCATTCTGTCAGCGTGGGTACGCAAGTCGGATTGCCTGTTCTTCCTCCGCCTCCAAATCTCCATCTTCCCCCACCGACCGCCGCAAGCCTATTGGCCGCAGTCACGTAAACTTCTTTGTAGTTCGAACTCGAAAATTTTATTATTAATATTATTGTTTACAGTTTTGTTCTGTTTATTTGACAATATATTTTATTTTTATTTTCTATCCTTTTTCTTCATTCATTAATTGTTTTTATTATTATTTTTATTGCTTAGATTTTATTGTTTTATTATATTTTCCCAAAAGATTTTCTCTGACGTTGTTTTTATTTTAACATTTTATTTTTTGATTATTACTACATTTACAAGAAATGTACTTGATAAAAATTTTAATTCTAATCATCACCATTTTGAGCAACGAACCCATCTTGTATTTATTGTGTTATAAAGTTTATCTATCTTGTATATTCTGGCAGCTTCAAAGGCTTAATTATTATTATTTGTTGTGCGCAAATTATATAAGGGCCTTATTTGTGGACATTTACCAACTGATCTCATTAAAATCTTAATTACTAAAGTAATGTTGAATTTGTTTATTGAACTGTATTTTTTATAGTAATACTGTTGTCTAAATGCTTGTAGTACTATGTCTTAAAAGCACAAATGATAATGAAAATAAAGTATGTATATATATTTTTTAACGACATTAACCAATAGGTTTCAAAAACCCATTCAATTTTTAAGATATAGATAATTTAATAAAAATTAACAACCTATCTCTATGGCATCATAATGTAATACATATTTAATAATTTTTTGAAAGTGATTTTGAAATAAAAATTTATATTGAACACTGAGTATTATTTCATATATATATATATATATATGTCAAAGTATTTCATTATAGTCCTATAAAATATTGACATTTTTTCTTGTATCAAGAATTTCTCATATTTATTTGGTAAGTTAGTTGTTTATGTAATTTGTGCTTTTAAGGTCAGGTAAGTATGATTGACTTTTGAAAGTAAATATGTGTTATGGCAGTCGCGTAAATGAATGAAAATATAAGCGGAAAACATGTTTTAATTATCAAATAACAGTTTTAAATTTCTTTAAAACATTGTTAAATCTTACACTATTGTTATTGTAAATGTAGTAATGTTTTGACAAAGATCCATCTTTTACTTTTTTTGTTTTTATTTGATATGATTTGCCATATTTTTTTTTTTTTTCGTGTGTATTGTAATTTTTTTTTAATAACTATCACTTTCAAGGCAAATGTTAATATGAATTGTGTAGCCATTTTAATATTATATAAAAGCAAATAATTTTAATTAAGCTAAGTGTGTGAGCGTGCCCTATGTATAGAAATTAATTTATAATTAATCATATATAGAATTAGTTTAATTTTTTAGATATTTTAAAGATTATTTATGTATTCTTATTTATTGCTCCAATCTCAAATAAGTGGGATTGTTATAAAACAATATTTATGTATTACATATTATTTAATAAGTAACATTAGTATATTTTTTTATGCTACCACATTGTTACCAGTGTAGTCATTATTAGACGAGTTACATTGGACTTAAGTATATGTTATAATATCTTGTATATAACATAAAATTCTATAAAAGAAGCCATTATATGTTGTACATATTTCACATTTCTAGTAGTAAAAATTCACCTAATATATTATAATATTGTTCTCTTAAAATATTCACATCATAATATGGTGCAATATTAGTCAACATAATATTTTTTGTTTAAATTAGTTGTTCTTATATTTTATTTTGCTTTATAAAAAAAAATACATGCATTAACTTATCATAAATTTTAATTTTCATCTCAAATCAATTCCAAAGTATAGAAAAGTAGTAAACTTGCCATTAAAAAAAGTGTTACGGCCTTCCTTTATGTTTATATCGTATACACTTAAAGCTTTTAGGAATAATTCAAAATAGAAAATAGACTGATTAATTTTTTTTTTATTAGAATAAATAGTATAAAATACTTATTAAAAAACTATGTGTGTTTGTATGTATTTTTAATGATTTTATTATTTTCATTAAATATAGAGTAAAGCATATTATGATAAAGTATTGTCGTATGTAAATATTCAAATAACTATTTTAATGTTATTGTTAATCATAATGAATAAAATATAGTTTTTAGTTTATATTTCAATTAGGAAATTAGGGCTGTGGCTGCCAAATAATTTTAAGTTATGTTTGAATAGTGTTGTATAAACAAATATTTAAAATTGTTTCAATACCCATTTTAACTAAAATAATTATGGACTTGGTTTACCAAATTTCTTTCCAAGTTTTTGCGGCCACTAGCACTATTAGTAGGGTTTAGTTGTGAATTAATTATTTTTACAATTTATATTCTGTTTTTGTAATAATATTGTATTGATGAAATATAGAAATTGTGTGAAAGATTTACTATACAAACTGGGTTTCTTAATATATGAATTTCTTCCTGATATAAATAATGATGAACTCCCTCAAGTTGACAAAATTAAATATTTATAATCATAATATTTTTTATATATATTCAAAATAAAATGAAAATGATTGTATTCATCTAATGGGTTCAAGTATTCAATCGTCGGCAAGCACAATTATATTAAATTATTAAAATCGTTTAGAGTATTGTGAAATCTGTTTATATTGGTATAAAAAAATAAAATAAAATATTTCACTAAAGAAAAATGTTGAACCTAAGCATTTTAAAAATTTCATTGATTCGATTTATTTAGAATGCCATTATAAATTATGGTATTGTTACATCATTTACATTTACATGCTACATGTTAATAATTTTAGGTGGAGTTTTTTTTTCAGAGTAGCTCAAAGTCAATTTTGTTCAAAGTAATAAAGTGTTATTCGAAGAGCTGAATAAATGAAAATAATTCAATAAAATTAGATGTGCATATTAATTTAAAAACATCAGGTTACTTCAAATTGCTAATTTATAGCATGAGATTTTGAATTTAATAAAAACAAAATAAGAAGCACATAGCATATCTATTGATTTCAAAATTAAAAAATATTTAAGAATGATTGAAATTTGAAAAATTAAGGTCGATATATATAATATTGTATATTATCAATTATTTTTTGTGTAATCAATTAGTAGTTTCATTAACAGATACGTACGTGACTTATTTCATAAACAAATTCTTTAAATTTAAACTCTAAATTAGTGTTGATATTTATTAGTAAATTAGAATATATTTATTCTAATTTATTGAAATAGGAAATACGTTATACACTTTAGTAATTAAGAGTATAAGATTACTGATACATTCAATACCTCTACATGTCTAGCGTCAGTGTCAATTGGTATGTATTACAAAATATTATTATTTAATGTTAGATAAAAACTAGCCAAAAAAAAAAACTATTAGTTTTACATCCTTCCGTTTCCCAAACTTAACATGCCACAGAGAGTGGTTGGGTTGGGTCTCACATGTTAGAGAGTCAAAGATGGTTCTTGTCTAGGCTATTGATGAACGGAAGGGTATCGTGATGGGCTTGCACCAGATACCACAAATTAAAAAACAAGAGTTATCTCGTTGGCATCCCGAGGATCGAACCCGGTCTTGAGTCGAAGCATATGGTTGGGTTGGGTTAGGTAAAAGTAGGTACAATAATTGCACCTAGTTAACTTTTTACTTAATTGTGTTTAACAGAATCCTCGTACAAAGGATTTTTTCAAGCAGTGTCGCAAAATAAATGATAATCTTTTTTTGTATTATTCATCGTCTCGCAAAATGTTTTGTTCCAGTTTAATAAAATCAATTTTTTTATATTTAAATGTGATTATATTTTTATTTTTAAAAAATGGAATTGGTGAGCCTATGCTCTATAATTTACCTAGCTCTTTAAGATTAAATTAAATTGACAGTTTCTAAAAGAAACTTATTTGACCAATGATTTAATGGAAAACTATGCTAGTTGATCACATTTTTTTACATTTCCGCGCCTATTGGATTTATTTAATGTTGCTATGAACGTTTATAAAACATCAGTGTCCGTTTGTAGTACCCGTTGGTAGTTTGTCACGTATATGCTAAATACCCATCGACACGACAACAACACTTGAATTGGAATCTTTTACTAACCACGTGTAGTTAGTTTATAGGAGTGTTATCAAATGTTGTGAAACTATTGTATTTTAGCTTCGATGCGAAACTGAGAAGGTATTAGTTTTATTATGATGCGTTTTTTTTTGTGTCTGTTACAACTTTTTTGTCGGCGCTCGCCGAACTTCGACGATACGTCAAAAGATCACAAATCGTATCTAGTCAAAGACATTACCGTCAAAAATTGAAATAATTTCCCTCGTTCCCCGTAAATAGGGGAAACCTCCAAAAAAATTACAAATTTAAAAATCGCTAATTTTCAAAAAATTTTCAATTTTTATTACTCAAATCTTTTTCAAAAATGAACAAATCAATATAATTCTTTTTTGTAGATGCATGATGTCTTTACCTATCATTTGGTATACTTTTTTTTATAAATCTGACCCTTTACCTGCCCACACGGGGTAATTGAAAATGACAACTTTTTCACAAAAAATTAATTTTCAACTTAACTTTTGATAGTGAACCGGAAATACTGACACTTTTATACATACCTTAAATTAAAGCTTATGTAATATAATTTATCATGGAAAAAAAAAATTTCGGACTTTATTTTGTCTTTACGGTGAAAATGGTTACCAAATGCCATTTTTGTGTGAAAATTCTCGATTTTATTTTATTATTTACATTTTTAACTTAATAATGTTATAACTTATTGAAAAGTGTATGGATCAATACAATTTTTTTATTATAAATAATATTTCAAATTATAAATAATATCCCTCTTTCATTCGACATACTTTATCTTAATCAGGATATAAATAAGGAAATAGTAGTTTATGTAGCTTTTGTAATAATCTAGCAATTTTTTTAAATTAAACACTATCTGAAGATTTGCATCAAAGCGTTTTTTTTTATAGTGATTTAAATCACTGTCAACCCAACTATGCCACGTCATCACTGTGCCATGACCCCCCTGTGCTGGTTTGGGTTTTTTTAGTATTCTTAAGGTTGTGGTGTTAAATATGTCATTTGACGACGCAGTACTTAAGTGATAATATTTTTACGATAAATCTGAGATTGTTCCTCTTATAATGTCGATGACTGTAATATTAACGCACTAACAAATTATGTATAGATAATAACAATATATTTTCAAAATGCATTTAATATAATGTAAACAAAACAATTGATAAATAACATAACTTAAAAGCGATTTTTCGATGTGAATGATTCGCATAATGATAAACGACAAAAATATGTATATAGAAATTTACAAATTACCAGAATGAAGGTCTTCGATGTTTTAGAGGAAAATGTCGACACACACTTCCTCGGTAAACTCAACTGATCTTTATCAGTTTGGTATTGTTCGTATCGATAGGATGACATCGTGGATCGCCAAATATCAACGATTTGTACATTTTGGATCCATAGTAACGGAAATGAATTCTTCGACTATTTCTCTGTCCATATCTGAATACACGTTTTGCAAATCCACGAGTCTTGACGATTTCCTTTCGGGTCTCTCTGATCTCTGCTGAGTGTTGTGCTGTCGAGTTTGCCACTTCGGCAACGACTCCGTTTCTTCGTAAACGCCCTTTTAAAACAATTCGAAAAGTACATGAGTCCAGTATTCGACATTGGAAACTAAAGGTTGTTTAATTTATTCACCAACCGTTTGTTTAATGGCAATTAAAATAATTAACGTGATAGACTTTTAAATATTCTACTGCCGTCGCGCCATATATTTTAAGTGTCTGACGATCACTTGAACTACAAGTTAATAACTGCCAGTTGCAATTTCGCCGACAGTTGTTTTAAACATTTTTCAAAATAAATATCCGTTTGGAAGAAAAACGGATTTTATGTTCACGCAACGTCCGTTTCTAATTATAAAATGATAAGACGGGTTCATTATGTTGTAATTACTAAATCGAGGTCGTGAAGTAAATTGCTTACAGAAATTGTATAAAATGAGATGCACATATCGATAATTCTACATACCGAGTAATAATTATTTGCCAAGTCCAAAATTGTGTTTTTCGACGGGTATAATTTAATGAGAATTTATTTTATGCATTGAGCATAGTCCGGAATGCGATTTAATTTAACCCGTAATTACAATGCGTGCTCAACTAATTATTATGGGAATTGCATTTATTAATTTAAAATAGTGCATCTATAGCTGATCAAACTCCTCTTTAACCATAATACTTTTTTCTTAGAAATCATACAATAACGATTATCTTATTGGTTTTAAACTTTAATTTTAATTCGCTGTCATAGACAGCGACTTAGTTTACACAAAACATACTTTTATTTTTCTCGACTGTTTAGTCATTTTTCTAAGTGATTTTGTTGATATTATTAAACAACACACTGGGTACANATTGTTATGTAAGAATTAAATTGACTTTCACGCTTTATTTTGAAAATTTTGGATGAACGAAGACTGTGTTGTACGTTATATACATAATGTTTCCGTTGTTTTCAAAAACTTACAGATATTGGAAATTCAGGTGTATTAAATAGTTACAATTAAAAATAGAGTTTTTATTTTTTCTGGAGGTAATTTTAATTCTGATATTGGGTAATTTTTTAACGAAAATAGCCCAAATATGGAAGTCTATAATTCGCGTATCCGAGTTAAATGCGGGAAAAAGAACCTTCGTTGTATTATTGTTTGATATTTCTCGAAATTGAAAATGGAAGAATTTCCCGCGCTAGCCGTCAAGTGAACAGCAGGTGTCATCTTGGAACATCAGAATAANATTTATTGTTATGTAAGAATTAAATTGACTTTCACGCTTTATTTTGAAAATTTTGGATGAACGAAGACGGTGTTGTACGTTATATACATAATGTTTCCGTTGTTTTCAAAAACTTACAGATATTGGAAATTCAGGTGTATTAAATAGTTACAATTAAAAATAGAGTTTTTATTTTTTCTGGAGGTAATTTTAATTCTGATATTGGGTAATTTTTTAACGAAAATAGCCCAAATATGGAAGTCTATAATTCGCGTATCCGAGTTAAATGCGGGAAAAAGAACCTTCGTTGTATTATTGTTTGATATTTCTCGAAATTGAAAATGGAAGAATTTCCCGCGCTAGCCGTCAAGTGAACAGCAGGTGTCATCTTGGAACATCAGAATAAATATTTGAAGACCATCACAACTCGTCTATTGAAACTCCGAGTAACGGGTCCGAATAATTGACACGCGTACTAGACACTGCGAATGTGTGACAACGCCAAGAGCAATTAAGTACTTATGTGTTATTATTTTGTTGTTAAAAAACCTTTCGATTTTGTTCAAAGAGTGTTTGCCGGACGCTTCGTGGGCATTCTTCTTGCGGTAGGATTCAATTGGGGAGGTCTCCAGCGCATAACACGAACGCGTCACATCGCTATAAAAAAAATAATGGAAAAAAAAAAAGAAGCGTCAGATTATGAATCGCGTGTTTAGCCTACATAGTCACTACGATTGTACTGTACATGGTTTGGGTTTTCATAAGGAGGAAGAAGAACGACAATTATTTTCCAATCCGATCAAGTAGTGATAACTGGGCTGGAACCAATTTCCGACGATTATATTGTTATTATTATTATTATTATTACTATATTATACCGTCCACTAGCCGCTGCGTTCCGTATTGGCTTCAATTATTTTTTTTAAATAGATACTCAAACCTTGGAGTGTTGGGTTTTTAAACGCGGTAGGCGACAGCGATGGATAACGCGTTTTTCAACTGTCAATAATTTATCATTATTGTGTCGATGTCCCTTGTCTGTGATAAGTCTTTCTAACGGATTCTCTAATTCAGAATAAAAAATATGGTAGCAGTCTAAGTTTCATAAAAAATTAGCCAATTACACTAAATATCAAAATAAAATAGACGAATTAAAGAAAACAATTTAAGATATAAGTATTTTTGAAAGTCTCTTGAGCCAATCAATATTAGATAAACATAAAATTGTTTAGTTGAAATTTTCCGGAATTGTTTACAACAAATTATTTATAAAAATATTAAGCGTACATTAAATAAAATAACAAGTATTTAAAGGGGAATTTCCGCTCATTTAAGTGTTTTATTAGTTTTTAGATTTCTAAATTAGAGTATTTCTATATTTCTCGAATAAAATACGTTTTTCTTTTAATTTTAATGTCGGTGAAATATTATACAATTATACTTGTGACATTATCTGAACAGATGAAAGTCAACGCCGACCACTTATTCTTAATACTAAATTCGCATCGTCATCTATATCTCGTGAAACATTACAAGTACGGTCGATAGGAATATAGAAGTCTCCTTATATGTAGTAATTTAAAAAAGAAATTATTTTTTAGTTTTGGATATCTTAGATGATAGCAATCAAATATAAACAAACATACTATTTTAAAATCAATAGTCATGCTTCACCAACGAAACACATCATAAATTACTTTTTGAATTAACTACAGCAAGTAATATTGTTAGTATTTTTTTTTTTTTGTTCAGTTAAAACAATTTTTGCAATTAATCGGAAATATTTTTACTTTATTGTGGTGCCGATTTTATTTAGTACTGCGTTTAGGATTTTTCCTCCTATGGCACTGAAATCTACAATCTATAAATAATATTATAGCTCTTTTTTTTGCTCCTCACCAAAAAAAAAATTACCAGTAGATCTAACGTTTATATAAAATGTTAATATTTACACTAGCGCTGCTCAAGAATTGTGCACTTTTTTTTTTTAAATGCAATTCTATATTTACCATTGGGGACATAAGATCTCTCAATATTTTCCGCTTATAGCAGTTGAGGGTGTAGACGAGCAAAGTCCTTTCTACTACTTTGTGTTTAGAATATTATTTGGATAATTTATTTACACATTTCTTAATAGGTCACCGTTTTGTAATGTGTTTGGAATTCCTAACAACAAAAATGATCATATGTTTTATTAACGATTATTTTTCAAAATTATATTTTCATCATATTGTGAACGATTTGGTATATGGTTTTTTCATCTTAACTTTATCTTTTCTTATGACTATTATGACAATTGTCGACTATTGACTAAAAGTTAAATATTTGAAATTAAAAACCACACGTACACATATGTCATCGTTATAAAAATATTATGATTGTTTCACTAACGGATTTTTTATGTGCACGTGTACTCTGTTTGTAAGTTTGTTTTTTGCTGACGAGTTTAAGAATTATAAATTATTAAAGAATATGAGTAAAATGATGATTTTATTATTCTCAGTTTAAAATTAAAATTGAGCTCTAATCTGTTTTTAAGATTTTAGAAGAAGATAGTAATTTGAAAATAAGTAATGATTTATACCTTACAATTAAAAACAAATAAAAAATGAAAAAAACAATTCTTACTGATTTACGACTGGATTGACTTAGACTATGATTTCGATGAGGTCGGTGATCAAGAGCTGGTGTCTGTTGTACTAACCATTTTTGAACTAATTTTTGTTTGCTACCGACACTTGAGCTACAACACGAGGAACTTTTGTATCTTGCACCTGCCCAGGGAGGTGGAGTTTCATTTACCACAATCAAGCGGACTAATCTATAAAACCGAAAAGCAGCCAACATGGTCGTCAAACACTGGACAGAAGTAGCTAATAGTAATCCTAGATTTGCTAGTACAGGTGCCCAGTTTGTCTGTAACTGATCCGCTGTCAAAGCTTTATATTGAATCTATAAATTATCAAAATAATGTTGGTCGTGTTAAAAATTGTTATTTTTCCATCAAAAGGCGAGCAACGTGAAAATAAATCTGACCTTGTCTTTAGGTATAATATAAAATGGTTTTTGAGAATCCTTGAGTAGTCCTATTGTTGTTAGGATAATCGCTAAATTACTAACCCCTATGGAAACCAAACACAAAGCCAAATAAATAGTTATAGATAGAGGTGATAGCGTTCGTTCAGGAGATAAACATCCGTTTAAACTGGCCATCAATCCAACAACCCCGTTACCCGTTGCCATTGCACCACTCCATAAGCCAGCGCCTACACTGGACACAGATGCTTCATGTAACATTGAAAGTACTCCAAACACGATCATTAAGCATCCTGTGACGACTTGTACCAAACCAATTAAACCCACATATTGAACCTAAAATAAATGTGCTTATTATAATTTATTAGGTATTGAATATAAGTAACTCCATCCGTTAATAATAATTCTTCGTGTACACTATTTTTTTTTTAATTGAACCTATTTCATTGACATTAAAAAGTAGAAAAATGGCTTGTCTGCAATTTTTCGAAAACTTATCGATCCATAAACATGTCTATCCATGGAAATTCTCAGATCTCACAGGACAGATTTTATTGGTTTACACATTAAAAGAACCGAATTTTAATCCGACACCGACGAGAATAGTTTTTTTTTTATCATATATATTTTTAAAGTGATAGACCTTCAATGTTAAAATTATCCATAAAGTATTCATATATTAATGACTTTTGTTTTGTACTATTCACCGAAGAATAAAATAAAATATTATGTTTGCTGTCTTAAAACTTGCGAAAATGGTTTTTTTACAGAAGAAATATCACACTCCTCATAGAACTTCTTTTGATAATAGGCAGTTGAAACGTATTCATTCATACTACTATTGTGCCTAAGAGTGATTAATTGTGTATAAAGTGATTAATTTGTAATTTTATCAGAGAAATTATTAATGTTTGATAAGGGGACATCGATTATGACTAATTTTTAAGAAACCTACGCTTTTTGATATGGTTTAAGATAATGAATTTTAAACTTTGCTTTTGCAATATTTTACCATAAACTATTAAATAGTTTAAGATAAAAGATTCTGTTTTAAGTAAATTACAATTATGACATTAATTTTTTCCACTATAGATTGATTAATTAAAATTTTTACTAAAATAATACAGAAGAAGTTTGAACATTTGTGAATTTATATATGTTACCCACCTGATCAGAGTGATGTCTGAGTCTTTTAGTCTTAATCGGTTTTTGGGGAGTTTTGACCACAAAATCAGCCTCGGATGGATAATACGACGGAGTCGAGGCTCCCATGTTTCTAGACATATCTTAACTGGACCATGTGTGCGCTGATACTGACGGCGGCGGGCAGAATTTCCACACGGCGGCTCTCTCCCTTCTCTGTCGTGTCAAAAAACGTTTATCAATATAAACTGTAGACGAAATAATTGTCACTGGACGAGTTTCCTGTATTTTTTTAAATAATTAATATACATGTCATTTGTAATATGTGGGAAAACGAAAATAGTTTCTCTCCTCCATATAAGATATTTTTCATTTTATTTTTTATGAATTTAAATTTATTGTCTGCTGTAATTATTCTATGGTCTTCTGTGAAAAGTCCGATTGAATTAATTACAACAATAAATGTTTTGATAGTAGAATGAAATTACTTTTAGGTAATTATTTCATTAGTATTGGTATTAGTATACAATATATAAATTTTCTTGTGGGTTACAGTAAAATTATGAGAGTGATATTTTAAATTTAGTGTATTTTTATATATGACTAGGGTGTCGAGTCATATGAAGAATTTTCTAGTATCTTAAAGAATTTTTTTGAAAAAAATTAGCTTTAACTCTTATTTCTAAAAAAAAAAATAAAAATTTATTCATGAATTTTTACTCATAAGCATTGGTGTTTTCATAAAAAAATATGTTTTTTATTCTACGTCGTATGCTGATTTATGAGCTTATCCATCAATATAAATAATTCATATGTATTATTTTTCTATGATATTCGACGTATCCCCCCTTTCTCCCACCAAAAATAACACTGTTGCTCATTAAATCTGTACCCTTACCGATATCATTTTAATAGACCACCAAATAGTTAATGAATAAATTGTAAACAGTATACGTATACGTTATCATTATTAAAGAACAAATATATTTGACGCGTTATCTATCTGATATTTTTATACAATATAATACATATAATAATAATAAATAAAAAATGAAAAAATAAGTATAAATGTCCTTTGATTAGAAGAGATTTCTAGTGTAAAATTATGCTAAAAGATTTGGAAGCATTCATTCTAGAACTAAACGGATATTTAGGCGCAAATTATCTTTACAGAATTTATGGAGCGTATAATAATAAAACGGCACTATTATAATCCGTTAGCCTCAAATAAATTACGAAATTGTGTAAAAACATGTAATGTTTTGATAAAATGTATCTTAACGTTGCTAAATGTCGTTCGTCCTTTTGTTAGTGTGACGGAGTATAGACCTAGTAGAACTAATTCGAGTTTGTAATGAAACCGATTATTCGCTTATATGTCAATCATTAATACACATTGGAATAATATATTGTAATGTATAATACTAGAAAAATGTGTACTAATGCAAATATGCATTATATATTAAAAAGTCTTTGATTATTCAGTTATGTATTATTATATATTTTTTCCATCACTTCATAACGTATATATATTTCCTAACTTGTCGATTTAACATATTTTTGTCAATCCTTTATTCATTAGGCTTCAAATTATTCAAATATGTCACGATTAGAACACAAAAATCAAATAAGTATTATAAAACTATTATATTCCGTTCGATAAAATGTTTATCTTTAACATATTAAGATTTAAGATAAATTTAATATATATTTATAAATATATTGAAATTTAATTATTTGTTTAGACGGACATATTTATTTATTAGAAAGCGATCAAGTTTTAAGTTGTTTAATTGGAGAGTTATACTCTTGAAAAACAATGTCAATTCAAAACTTTTTATGGAAATATACTTTCATGTAGCTGATTATCGAATGATCGTCGTTCAGGTAACATTATTATGATATAAATACAGACAACTTACGGCTTAGACCAAGTCTGTCGGCAGTTATCTGTCATTATCCAAACACCATCGGTACTCTGTAGAGTTAGTACAGTGCCATTGACATTGGACATACGTATGTACATATTCTTCTGGTCGTTTTCATTTCCGTTATACATTTCTACTATTTCTTTTATCATCATTATTACTTCAATAATAGTAACACGTTGTTGCCATTTAATTCTTCTATGATACAATGTTATTTATTAATGATGAACAGTTGATGGCAACCAACGATTCCGGTACGCATACCAAAACGATTTCAACGACTTAATGTTTAATAATCTAACAAAATATTGTATTGAATTGGTTTTAAAAGACATCTGTCAAGCATATTTTCGAACTATTTTTGCTTGATATTAGTCTTAATACGGGTTGGAACTTAAAAGATGAACTTATTAATTTTGTTAATTTTTTATCGTATTTACGTTGTACTCCATTTTGAAATAAATTATTATTCTATGGCTAATATCAACTGATGTTGAAATCTAAAAAAATAAAATATGGTATTCAAGAGTACTCAAAAAAGTATATGCATTTAAAATTGGCATTGTTCTGAAGGGTCTAATAGTTTGATATTTCTCCTAATTTTCTTGAAGTAGGTAATGAAAAATGTTCTATGTATTCAATTACAAAACTTATACTTAGTTTTCATGGATATTTGAGTTGATTTAGCTATTGTTCTTCAGAAACTTTCCGTTAAACTCGCTACTTTTATTGAAAGTATTTATGATAATCAATTTTTATGAATAAAGTGGAAGAAGTTAAAAATTTATAAACTCGCTCTACATGATATCTACTTATGTATATATAATAATGATGATTAACCAATCATTTATAAAAAGGTTAATATCAATGAATCCGTTAATATCTCAGATTTTATTGGTATCTATTACAGATTATTAGTTAAATTTTTCAGATTCAAAACGGATACAAGTATACAGGGTGGGTGTTCAGTAAATAAGGAAACGGGTCAATTGTTACAAACAATGAGAACAATAGAAACCCGTTTCCTTACTTACTGAACACTCTATATAATAAACCTTAAAAACCAATACAACCGATTATTGATTGTTAAAGTATACAATGTTACTTTTGTTAGAGTATAATGAGTGTTATTAAATTATGTAGGATGCGTCTGTGAAAACTGAATTATTCTAGTTTTAATACAATGTTGATACTGATTTCCTGATGAGATATCAATTTAGACACCATTGTCACTTTCCTAAGTGAGATGTCACGTCGTGTCTAATTGTTTTTTTATGCTAAATGAGTTATCATGCCAAGTATCAAAAAGAGTCTGTACCATGCAAATTAAAACATATTTTTTAATGTCCATATTAAATAGTTTGTACTGAAACTTTTGTTTTGTCGGTGTTTATTAAGTCAAACCATTAAACGAAATTAAATAGGTTAAAAATTTATTTGTGTTTGTCAAAATGATAAATAAAAAAACACAAATAATAATATAAAAGTAATTTTACGATGCAACGAAATAATAAGGTCGTTCTTACGAATAATTTGTTTGTCTAATAAACCTCATGTCATATTCAAATTGTTGAAGTTTCTTCTTGTCATTGATTTTTAACAATATTAATTAACATACATAGAATCTGATGAAAATAAATTGTATAGCGATAAATTTAGAATTTACAAATATCAATCAATTTGAAATTTGCTTTTTAAAGTATATTTAACATCACATTATTATAATTGACCCTCCTAAATAATAAAAGTTTTAGTAAATTTTATCAACTCTATAAAACATTACAGAGTGATTAATTTATCGTTAATCACTAAACTACTTCTAAAATAATAAAAGTTTTGAACTTTTTACTTTGTTTAGTCATTAAGATAAACCACTATCTTCTAATAATAAAGTTAATTAATTATGTATGTTCTCATTGAAAAAATAATTAGTTGGTACTCCTATTAAGAATAAAGGATACACCTAAAAGGTATTTAACTACTCTTAAAAAAATAAATAAAACTTAAGTAAGACAAGAAAAAAAGTCTCGAAATTATTATTATTCTAGTTTGTGGTCAACGATATGGCAATCATTATACTTAAAGTTTGAATATTTCCACGTTATTAAATAAAAAACTCTTAGACGTGTCTTTATAATTTTTTTTTCTTTTGATTTAATAAATAAGTGACTTAAACGTAGAAAAATGATAAATTATGCTAAATTTCAACTGCACCATCTATCTCACCCTTACACAATGATGTAGTGAAATAGAAGTAAAATACACATTATTCTAATTATTTAAAATAAAATATATATTTTTTTAAGAAAAAAATAATAAATTCATTAATGAGAACAAATAATGTTAAAATTAATAACATCTAATCTATAATAAAATACATATATTTACTGTATGCATGTTATTGGTCCTGACTACACTGGGTTTGTTTATGTTCAATTTATTTTGAAAATATAAAGGTAGAAAAATATTTTTAATTGAATTCGTAGCCACGACACATCGAAAGAGAAATATTTTGTGAAAAAGACTTAAACGATTAGTTCTAATAATTAAAATAAATGTTTGCTTTAATAAAAGTCGAGTTTCTATACACTAAGTATTTTTATCGACTAATAATGTGAACAATATGCAAAAGGAAGTTCTCTGATACTTTACATTGATCATGAGTGGTACGTTTTATTAGTATCTCCAAAGTAATTATCAGTGACTTAATCGTATCGAGTACATCTTTGACGACTTCGTGTTATGTATTAGGAAGATCTACAAAAAGCGAATCATCTGTATGTGTTATAATTAAAATATCAATTTCATGAAGCTCATTTGGTGTAGGATTTTCGAATAGGTTTGTTGCTGTATACCAATTATTTATATTTCCCAAATGATTTTTGCGGATCAAATTCTTCTGAGTACTTCTCGCACAATTTTTTTTCCTATTCTGAACAAGGACGCGAGTGTACTTTTTACTTCTCGTTTCTAAAATGTTCAAACGTTTAACAATAGTTTTTTTGTAATTCTTTGACATTGTAAACAGGTAGAACTTTAAATAATAATTGTATAAATCTATAAATGAAATTACTTTATACTGAATTCAAAACAATATTTATTCAACTAGTAAAAAATAAATTATTTAACTTGATGATAATTTCGTCACATTAATTTAGGAAGATCGAGTAAAACTGAATTTTTTAGATTGAAAATGTTAAATAAACAAGTATTTTTAATATTTTAAATTCTAGAGGTCGCCATGGAAAAATTTATTCATTTTTAAACTGTATTTATTATAAAAATAATTGAGAAATTTAGATATTAATGTTTTTTGAAAAAGGTACTATAATTTTTAAGAATTATACAAGTTATATAAATTTTTTAGTTCGACACAATATTTAAAACTATATTGAAGATTATTTTTTTATATCATATTTTTAATGTGAAAAATAAAAAAATTTAGAAAAAAGTTGTTATTGTTTTTTTTAGAAAAATCAATAACAAACATTTAAGGTGTAATGAACATATGTAATGAATATATTATGTATATTATATGTGAAGTCTATTTGATATAGGCTTAGTAGCTTATAATTACACTGAATTGAACAAAAAAAAATGTATGTATATTAACATATATCAAAAAATACAATTTTGATAAAGAATAAATTCTGTTTGTATTAAATAAATATACAAATTGACCAGAAAAATCGCTTTACAGAAATTAACTAATGTTCTGTTAGACGTTTAGATGTTAAAACAAGATGATGTAAGGTTTTAAAAGTTTTTAAATTATTAAAATATTATCATACAGCTCATTTACTTGTGGCTATAATATATTATATATGTTATAATGATTTGTTTGCTTATAACTTAAAAACAAAAGAGTTCATGTAATTGAATTATGTAAATGAATTCTAGTAAATAATTCTAATTCAATAATAATTATTATTAAATAGACAGTTAATTTTAATTAATAGTGTTTTCCTTGTTCTTTCAACTCTTCTTGCATTTTGTTATTCGAGAATTATTAGATGTGTTAGATTATTGTAAAGCGTCAAAAGTGTCTGATGTGTCAACCATTAACAGAATAAATCAATTAACTATTTACTTTTTAAGTTTAAAACTTGCAGTTAAACGAATAAAATAGTATAGGATTATTAAAGTATCTTTCCTATTTTATTATTTTTCCAATATCGGTTAAATTTTAGTATAGGCAACTTAACTAGCAGTTAAATAATTTCAAACCTGTTTTCACATTTATTGTATCCTTCAAAAACATAAAAAAATATGTTTTCGTCGTAAATTGAATTATGCATAAAGAGTTAAAAAATCTATTTTTAAATATTTGTTACTACAGTTAAAGTAATTATCATTTAAAATTAATAAAATTATATGTGAGTTTAATAAAACACGTCCTAAGTTAAATTTGTATAACTTCAATTTTTTTCTGGACGAGCATAGAATAATATAAAATGAAATTCTATTTATTTAAACAAAAAAATATTTTTATACAACTATTTAAATCGCGTCACACTTATATAACTTGGTATAAAATCAAATGATAAAAAAAAATTTAATATGAAAATAAAAATAGTTAAATTATTTTAATTATCATAAAATATACAAATATTTTGATTTCTACGTCGACATGAATTTAGCTTTTTTCAATTTTAATTTGGATGAAAATTTCTTATTCTAGTGTTTTTTATCATAATCATTATTTAATTATTTATTAAAATTATTTTATCATTATTACATTTCTAAAACTCTTACAAAATTTCCTATTAGAAAAACTAAAACGTATATTTATAAATTTAAGTTAAAAAAGTTATAAGGAATAAGTCAGCTTTGAATTTTGTAGTATAACTGTCAAAATCATATTTAAAGGCTATGTATAAAAGCTTAAACTTGGGATATTGATCTCAAATTTTGCAAATACCACTTTTACAGGGGGCGTGCTCATTAAAAAAAAATGTTTTCAAAAACATTATTAAAAACTTCAATGAGTTTTACATACACAGTGTTTAGTAAGTAAAGAAATGGGTTTCTATTGTTCTCATTATTTGTAACAATTGTTATGTTTCCTTACTTACTTAACACCGTGTATATAGAGCTCATTAAAGTTTAATATATTTAAAAAAAACAATTTTTAATGACTATTTAAGATATTACTTAATATCTCAATTTTCCCACATCAGCAATTATCTCAATAACTAGAATCAATCAAAGGAATTCTAAGGTTACATTAGGAAACAACGTCAAAATTACATTTAGAATATACGATCATATAGTTTGCGTAAAAATTTTTTGTTGTACGGTGTAATTAACAAATTCTTAATGTTCTAAAACAAATGATAGTATAAACCATTTTTTAACAGAATTATACATTATCGAATATATGACAAATATAGCAGAGCAAAATTTATTTTGCATCTTCTCAAATAAATGTTTTTATAAAATAAATGATGTTAACAAAGTTTTAATAGATTTGGTTTATTTTTAAACACATTTTACATTTTTAAACTATAAGAAACTAAATTTATTTATTTTTAGCGTTTTTCTTGCATTTGGCTATAAATTGGCTCTAGTTTTTGGATAGTTTACGTTCGATTGATAGGATTATTGGAAATTAAACTTACCATTTGTTATGTTTTGCTACTACTTATAAATATGATTTTGTAAACCTACGATTTTATATCATTACAATTTAACATTTAGCAGCACTTAAATAGAAATGTATTAATATGATGTTTAAATAATTATGTAAAATACTATTTTAAATAAAAATAAACGCATTTAAATTTTGTATATATCTTAATTCATTATGAAAGAAGTTTGTGAATTTGTATTATACGTAACTTGTTTTTATAATATTAATGTATTGTAGTAAGTAGTTCCCTATTTAAGAGTAAATTATTCGTTAATAATCATAATTTTTAATGAGATGTAAATATTGTAAATGTAATTTCTAAAAAGATTCACCTTCGATATTGGCTGTATTACTACTTTTATTTATGCGTATAACGTAGTTCAAAATAAATACCTGAGATTTTTCTATAATTTGTTTTCGATTATCATACCGAATCATGACTTTGACAATTATTCATCTAGTTATATTTTACCTTTCAATTATTTTTCGTCTTTGATGATTTAGTATTGGATATTTTATTCAACATGAATGTTTTTATTAGATGACTTTTAATTAATTGGAGATTTATATATGTAATGTTAATCATTAAAATATTACTTTTATCTATTTATGAGCAGATTTATTGAAATCATAAAGACGAAAAGAAACAAAAATATTTTATACTTTTAAAGAATAATGTTGTTTTGGTTTCCATTTAAACATCATGAAAATCCCTTATTTAGAATCTCATGACATTTGTTTCGTAATGGGCTCATTTATGTAATAAAGAGAAATTAAAAATAAGAGCGAATGAGTAATAACTCGTTTGAAAATGTTAAGTGCTTTCTAAAATAAAATGTCTCTTATTAATATAACGTCAGAAAGAGTTTAGTTCATATGTCGTGCAAATAGGTAAAGGATGTAATATTTTCTAAGAGATAAGCGACCATTCAATTGTTAAAAAACATAGTTTTCTTTGCTTATAACTATGTTAAAAAAGACGCCGTAACGTTAATATGAGTTTTAATTTTAAAATACTCAAAATATTGTCGTCAATAAAATAAGGAAATGAGGGAGGCTTTAAACTGAAAAAAAAAAAAATAGAAAACTCAAAATGACTAAAGCCGTTTATTCATTAGACGGTGACATTGTTATTTCTTATTTTTATAAATTCATATTTATATCATAGCAAAATGATTACAAAATTTACGCCAGTTATTCTTTTCAAAAATTTGGAATAATCATATCATAAATTGTTTTATATAAATGTGTTTTAAGGACAGATGATTTTATGATATTTTATCTATGATTTTACCTATACACAAATATTTAAAACGTTTTCTTCAAACTGAAAAAAACGTCGAACTCCTCTACCTTAAAACCCCTAAAGATTTTTGAAATCATGAAAATATTTACATCCTCAAATTATAATTATATCATATCTGAGGAAGTAATCTGAGGTAAAGTTAAAGTATCGCGTTTTATTTTAAAATTCATTAACGTAAAATATATTCTTCCGTCATTCCAGTGGATACTTTGTAAATAACTGTTAACTTGTATTACTAACACATCAATGCGAATAAAGAAGTTCATGTAGGAAGTAGATATGTAACATTTCATACGGCTAAACCAAAAACATAACCCTACTCGATGTTTTTCAATCTGAATAGTAGGGCAACGATCTTGTTTTCGTTTTACTCGGTCACTATCAGTTTACACAGTATCATTAAATCAACAATGCGGTGAACACAAAAACAATTCCACGCGTTAAATATCGTTTTAAACTCGATCATTTATATCAATGTAAATAAAAGTTTTATTGATGAGAAATTTATTTTTAAAATATTAATCAAAATTGTGCCAAAATTCACATTGTTACAAATGCTAAAGTCGTAAGTTAATTTATTGATAAGTAACATATTATTAAGTTTTATTAATTAAACTTTATTGGTAATGCAAAAATTAATTAAAATATAATTTATTTATAAAGTAAATGACTTTATGATATTATATTCAAACAATTTTAATCGTGTAAATGTTCAGTAATAAAAAAAAATGATTTTTCAATTAAAAATAAAGGCCAGAGTATCTTAAAATTTGAATAAAAATGTAAAGCTTTTTATTTGTATATACTAATTTCCGCCTTTTCCCAGAAAATTACTTATGTTCTTACATAGTAATAATATAATTATTTTTCTAAATTTTTATGATATCTAAATTTATACAATATAAAAGTATATTTTAAATATTTTCAATCGAATTGGTAAATACTACACATTAATATATTATTTATAATAATTAACTTAATTTAGTAATTAATTTAATAAGTTCAGAATTTCGTCTGCGAATATGAGATGATTAATTTAACATAACTAAACCTTTGATATTAAATTAACGGATAATTTTTTTTCTTTCGAGTGTAAGTCTTTGTAATTTTCAGTTAAATTTCGACAATTATTTTCTTATACTAATCGATGAGGTGTATTTTTTAAAAAGATTTCTATACACCACATTGATTAATCGATTATTGAATTTCAACTTGGTATCATTTTAATGTATATACTTATAAATACAAGAGAAACAATGGCATTGAAAAAGTCGATGTAGTTGTGTATTCGAATGATATTTTCGAGTAGGTAAGTACGATATATTTATACTTTTTTCGATTTTTGGCTAGTTAAAATACCTATTTAGCAGTTGATATGTGTAACACTAGTGTGGCCTATAAAACCATGAAAATGTTTATTTGAATTCAAATGATTTTATTTACAACAAATATCATGTAGTAAGTATATTGTGAAACACTAACAATTAAATTAAAAAAATCTAAGATATCACAGAAAATATAATAGCAGTGTTACGTTTATTGTTACGTACCCATACAGCATTCAGATCTTAACCAAGTAATTAGGTTACAACAGGTATTTTTTACGCATTATTATTTTAGGATGTATAAACAACTGATGTTTTTCAATTGATTTAATTTACCTACACTCATAACCACCTTTGTTTGTTCGTGTCAATCCACTAAACAATTCGCAATTAAATTTAATTACAGAGTTCAATAAAAAATTTAACAATTATTAGTTAAGTTTGTTTTTAATTTTATATAGAATTAAAGTATTAAAAAGAATTATCATATTTATAATATTTATATAGATTACGGGTGGTAACACAAATAGCAAAATGTACATATTAATGTAACATTTGAAAAAATAATAATATTAAAATTTAGAAAAAAAAAAAATATAATAGTATCGATATATTTAACTCCTTAAATAATGTAAAGAGATATTACAAAACAGAATCGATATCGAAAGAAATATTCTCATTACCAAGTCTCATTAACCGCGTGATAGGTGAATTAGAAAGGAATTTATAAAAAAAAACAGTATATTAATGGAACTAAAGATCTGGTACTTCGAATAGGAACTCTAAAGTTAAGCATATCTAATAAAGTAAGGAGTGTCAATAATATTGGAATGGAGTTTATAAAGATAATAGTTAAGTTAATAGCGACGATCGATTAAGAATATTGAATTAAGATTCTGTCGGATTGAAACATTTGAAATATAGTACAAATACATTATTTTATTATTTTGTTCTTCTATACTTAAACAAAGATCATTCGTGTAAAAGTATACAGTTTCAAATTTGATATCAAAGAGTATGTATTGAATAGAAACACTTAAATTTAAAAAAAAAAAAAACCTTATGCAACAAGGAGTTCAACGTCTATTATGGTTATTATACTTTTGTTTTTTTAAGCTTATTATAAATAGGTAAACGTAATATCAGAAAAAATAATCTTATCTGATGATTTAAGACACGAGCATCTAACTAATTTTGTAGCGAAAATAAAGAAAATAATTATGTGAAAGTCATTGCTAATGTTTGAAATGGAATTAAAATTGTATATATTTTCTTCGAACTAATATAGTAAAAAATAAATTAATATTCAACGATTAATAGTGTTTTATTCTTGATACTTAATCGTAAAAAAAAGAAAAAATTGTCTTCTGATAAAATAGAATGATTTTATGCCTTTACTATGTTTAGAAATGTTATTTATTATATCCATTCATGTATAATCCAACCGGTTAACTAGAGCTATTGTGTTAAGGTATAATTTGTTGTTTGAATTACCTTCATCTGCGATTAACTGGTAATGTTCATTTATATAATATGTTGGTATTGTGTCATTGAAAAAAAAAATGAACTACTTGACATATTACTATTATGATTGGCGTGTATTGCTTTTAATATTTGAATTTAACACGAAATGCAGTAGCGTCGTGTAATAATTGTGGTTGAAATGAGATTAAAATCGGTTAAATCTACTGCATGTTTCGTTGTGCTAATAATTTGTATCAAATAGAAATTCAATCATAATAAATATAAATATGCTCTCTGTCAGTTGCTTTTTATTATAGTTGTGCAGTAAAAAGTTATTTTATTACGCCCACGTTTACATTCTATTTTTAAGATAATCTACTAAAACTTGAAAATATAATTCCCCTTGGAAATTATACTATGATATTGAAAACATGTTTAGACATAATGATAAAATAACTAAATCATTCTAAAACCACTTTTTCTTGAATAATTATTTGAAAGTAGCACAGCTTTTCGGTCATGAAATACACTTTCTTGTTATTTGCATAATCGTTTTTGCGGTATGTAAAACTATACAGAGTGATTCTTTTGACACTATTCACTCAATTTTTCTTAAATTAATAATTTTTTTTTCGGCTTTAGTTAGTTACACATGTATCTCTATTTATCTGTTATAAAATATAATTTATGTGTCATCCCTTGTGTTCCAAAGGGGTGTCTAATGTATTTTTTTAATGGAAACATACATAACTATCTTATAAAATATATAAAGATCTAATTAAGAGAATGAGTGGTCTATAGCAACTTTTGGATTAGTATTTCATACGTTATTAACATTTTTATGTCTTGGCTCGAGGAGGAGTGAAGCAAAGGAATGTCTATTGATAAAAATAGCAGCATCCACTCCTCATTTCCATTCATTACATTAAATTATTAATTACTTAATCAATACTGGTCCAAAAGTCGTTATCGAACAGTCATGTTATTAACAAGATTATTATCTTTTTCGTAAGCTATTAAATACGTATGTTGAAATTTAAAAAAATATAGTTGAAACCCCTATAAGACATAAGGGTTGAATATAAAAAACGTTATAGCAAATAAATGAGATACAAATGTAAACTAACAAAAAATTATTTTTGCAAGAGAAATTGACTAAATAGTTTTTTAAAGAATCACTCTGTATTATTATTTTTACGTAAAATATTCACATTAAATGTATTATCTCATGTATTCAGTAATACATAATAAGATAAACCGGAAACGCTTCAGTTAATTCTTAGTCTAAGAATTGTACAAAATATTTATTCTCGCTATTTCTTATATTCACAGTTTTAATTCTTTACAATCATTTAAGTAATTTGATCAACATAAAAAATGATATTTAAATGATCTATTGTATAACACGCGGCATTCAAAGAAGTTCAAACAGTACATATTACCTCTGAATATTAGAAGGTTACCTTATTTTATATAACCTGTGTACTTTCGGGTTATTGGAAATATATTCGTAATGAATTATTATACACGAATGTATATAATTCTACATAGATTGACCTTAACCTAACAATTTAGGAAATTTCGATGTTGTTAAAAATCTCGCGGAAGTACTTATGAAGTAATAATCTTTTTACAAAATGAAAGTTGTATAGAATTTTAAATTAGTTATTTCTTTGATCAAGGTTAGTATTTGGAACTATAGTAGTATAGTTAAAATAATTAGTTTTGAGTTGAGAATTTAAAAGTGATATAAATTGATGTGTGTTTTCGAGCAAACCAATTTTGCAAGGATAGTGCCCATATTAATTGACCGTAAAACGTGTAACGTAAACACGATTTTTTGTGTGTAATTTAACATTAAATGTAAGTCGATTATGAGGTCTTGAACCAGGAAAATTAAATTACATTTTACTACAGTGCTAATGAAAAAATAATTTATACTCTCGATAGATTACGTAGTGTTTTTAATTATTTGTTTAAAGTATCAGACACATTATTTTCATATAAAATGTATGGAAGAGACAATTTTATACAAATAGATAAAACAAAAACATAAAAAAATTAAACTAAATTTTATAAAACTTAAAATTACCAATGCCAGTTTTTAGTTTTTGGAACCTACCGAGATTGGAGAAAAAAAGTTAAAGGATTCAACATAGCCTGCGAAAAATTTCAGAAAATCTTTGTTTAAAAATTTTGATAATAGATTCTCATCCCTAAAAAAAGTTTTTGTTAAATAAGATCAGAGCTCGTATTCCGCTCTCTCACCCTAGCGCTGAAACTGAATACTATTATAATTTTATCATCAATTGTACTCAGTTAATCAGTATAATATTTAGCCGGACAAATTTTAAATTTGTCAAAAAGGAAATTTTTTTCCTTTGTTTAAACAAAGGAACTATTTCACTATTGTGAATAAAACCTTCGATTAATATAATGTATATTATATATTGTTCTTGAACGTGGCGTTTAACACAAAATATTTATTATTATACCCAAACAAACAAATTTATTTGATTATCAATGTTGAAAATAAGCCTTGATCCAACTAAAAATTTAGTATAAGTGGAATAATAACAATAAAAGGTCTTTATTGTGTGCTTACTAAAAAAGTTATGAATTGTTTGAGATATATTCAAATTATATTTATACACACGTACATCAAGTGATCCGGTAACTAATTTTTAAGCAATATTTTTAAAAATATAAGAAAATTTTTTTTTTCCTTTTTGGAAGTTATTAGTACCTTACACGTTTATATTAATGCAAGAAAATATAGTTCTACCTCTTCGCCAATTTTATATACTATAATTTTCAAAAAGAACATTGATCCTATCATCCTGTTTTCCTTTTAAAATAATATTAACTTGAGTTTTTTAAAAGAAAACATATATGTTTAACAAGCTCACAAATAAGGAAATTATTTACAATTAGATAATGATGTAATTTACAAAACGACCGGTCGTTAACAACTTTTGATCCAGTATTTTATAAATTAATAAAACATTACTGTGATTACTGGAGGTAAAGCGCAGGTCTGTTTATTTTTATCTCTAGGCATTTATTAACCGCACTACTCTTCCCGCTTTGGTATAAAAATGCTAATTACAAAATACTGGTTAAAAATTTGTCATTTTCTTAGTTAGATCATTTCCTTATTATTATGCTAGTTATACATAAAATATACTTGTATGTTTTATACTTTTGAAGTAATTTCTTAAGACATACTTTTACTTATTATTTGTCTGTATGAAAAATATATAAATCATAAAGTATATATATATATAAAGTGAGCCCTTGAAGTAGTACCAAAAATAATTTAAGTAATTTTAATATTGTTAAAAATATTAAATAAATTACACAAAACTTTCAATTATTTTACTGTAGTTTTTAAACTATGTATTAAATATTCATTTATACTGACCATTAACACACAATAGCGAGTAATTTATTGTTAAAATGCATGCAAATTTTAGTGAAAAGGTAACTGATAGGTATAGTTTTAAAACATTACATTAAATGGCATCTTGCAAATAATTTTTCTTGAAATGTAAATTGTAGTCATTTATCAAAACTATAACGAATACAGGTTCATATAATAGACTGTATATAATTTAATTTTATCTAATATAAAAATAAAACAATTATAAAAAAATAAGTTATTGAAAGACAATTAAATACGTGTTAAGGTCTTGTTTTCCGCATTTTATCGGCTTCATAATTTATTCATTAGTCAATTTAGATAACACAGTTCAATGTCCTTAAGTTTTTCTTTATTAATAGAGTTTCTGGTGACTAAATGTTACAGCGAAATAATATTCTTACAACGCGTGTTGTGTATATCATTTTAGATTTTGTAAGTAGAAAATTTCATATGTATCTTTTTATTTTTTAGTGCAAAAACAATGGTGCCATATAGATTAGCGTTTTTACTCTTTACGGCGACGGTAGTGGTTGGTGTGATGGATACTAAATACAGTTGGATCTACTTGGACTACACCTTCTCCAGCCTTCAGCAACGTGAATCAGCCATTAGATCCGGAAAGTTTATACCGGAAAATTGTGTCATAATAGACGTAGATGTATTTCAAGGTAAGTCGCCCTCGGCTTGTAATAATGGATTACCCAATTATTGTTGGTGTCAATAGACATTAAATAAACTAATATTGTACGTGTGTCGAAACGTACACATGATATCTCAACCTATTCCATGTGGTTGCTTATTTTGGAAAATTGCTTTGCAATATTTTTGCATCGCTACGGTTTAAATACCGTCTAAAAACATAAATTAGTAGCACCGAATCAAAAATTATTTCGCCAACCATTTGGCTTATTATAATATATTAATTTCTGAAAAATTCCATCATTACTTTTTTGATTAATTTTGTTTAATGCATATTTAATTATTCTTTTAGACACTATTGATTTCATACTTTATGATATACAGGTACATCTGAAGATAGATTATACTTCAACAGTGGCGGACCATTCAATTCTTTCCCTCCAAAACGTGTTTTTGTATCTATACCACGTATTAAGACAGGTAACCCTGCTTCACTCGCAGAAGTAGTTACAGGGGAATCTAATTCTGCTTTGTTAGCACCATTTCCAAACTGGAAATATCATCAATTTTCAGAAGATAGACCACACTGTGAAAACTCAATAATCTCTATTTTTAGAATGAAGGTATTATAAAAATGTACCTATACACAACCTTGTGATTACTTTGAGTTAATATTTAACCAACATTTATTTCTTTAAGATTGATGAGTTAGGACGGCTTTGGGTAGTTGATACTGGTAGAATAAATCAGTTTGCTTCAGATGGTCGCTCAATATGTCCTCCGAAACTTATGATTTTTGATTTGAAGAATAATGATAAATTAATAAGTATGTTGTTTTTACGAATATTTTTTTAGAAAATATAACATTTTAAATTATTATTGTTCTAGAACTTTATACATTCCCATCAAATCAATACAGACCAGAATCATTGTTTACTAATATTGTAGTAGATGTCGGAGATATTAAAGGACGGTCTACATATGCATACATTACTGATACTACAGTTTACAAACTAATAGTATACGACTTTAAAAATGACCAAAGTTGGGTTATTGACCAAGCTTACATGTATCCATATCCCAACAAAGGACATTTCAATATCAACGGGGTAACTTTTCCATTGATGGATGGCGTATTAGGACTTGCTTTAGGTAGTCTATGGTGTTATTTTATTTATTTTTGTTATGATTATGGTCACTGATTAATTTTAAAACAAAAATACTCGAAGTAGTTTAAAATAATAATAAAAAAAAAGTATGAATCTTTATTTTAAATTAAACACATATATAAAATTATTTTTAATAATTAGCTAAGAACTTCAATAATTGACTTCCGATTGTTTGATTTGTGATTTATGAAATTGATATTTTTTATTTTTAGAATTATAAAATTGATTTAGCGATACAAAATTAAAAAACTAATAAAAGTATTTAAAAATTTGCGAATGTTCGGTTATAATTATTTCGAAATATATAAACAATACAATTATTTTAATAATAAAAAAATATATATAATTGTATACAAATGGCTCACATTTGATTTCTTTCAGTATTCACTTTGAAAACTTAATTTTACTTAAGAATAAAAAGATTCTAACGCAGAATTTTTTATTTCTCTGGAGTTTATATCTAAGTTAAAAAAAATATTTTAATTTCAGTCTTTAAAGTTAATACAGAATCTGATCAATTCATAAAATTTAAGAGTCTATAAAAATTTAAAAAATTTAGGAGCTATAGAAGTGCACAAAATATAAGAAGCCATAAAAATGTCCAAAATTAAAGAAGCCTTATAAATACTAAGTTTGAAGAAGCCATAAAAATGATCAAAATATAAGAAGCCATAAAAATGATCAAAATATAAGAAGTCATAGGAATGCACAAAACATAAGAAGCCTTAAAAATTTACAAAATTTAAGAAGCCTTATAAATACTAAGTTTGAAGAAGCCATAAAAATGCACAAAATATAAGAAGCCTTAAAAACTTACAAAATTTAAGAAGCCATAAAAATGTACAAAATTTAGGAAACCATAGTAATGCATACATTTAAAAGCCATAAAAATGCAAATAACTTAAAAAGCCATAAAAGTACTACATTTTCAGAAGCTATAGCGATGTATAAAATTAAGAAGCTATAAAAATACACAAAATTTAAGAACTCACAGAAATAAATAAAATTTAGGAAGCTCTTCAATTCCTAGATTTTAAATAGCTATTGAAATGCACATAATCTAAAAATCAAATACAATAATATTAAGGAACTATAGAAATGTAAATTTAATAAACGTAATGTATTTTGTAGAAAATCATAAAAGCGTGGTTTAGAATGAATGAATTTATTTTTTAGATGAATGTTCCTAACATTCATATAAATGTATTTTGAAGTGCTTTCATAATAATTATAAAAATAGTTTCAGGACAAATATTTTATGAAATTTATAATGATTGTTTTGAAATATCCACCTCTAATATGACTAGATTTTTTACAATAAGATTAATTTTTATTTCCATAACTTCCAATATTTTATTAGGTGTAATATTTTTATTAAATATGAGTTCATTAATAACATTAAGTTATAAAAAAATTCTACTCATGAACAACAATGGTATGGAATCTTTCAAATATATTAATAAAGTTAGGAAAAATTAAAGCTGAGGTATTGTTATTTTAGTAAAAAAAAATGTATATTTAAAAATTTTGTAATAAAAGCCTTAAAATGAAAACTGGTGATCATTAACCTGATATTTGCCATTAATTGATTTTTAATTCCAAAAAGGATATTATGACAGACATGCTGTATGGTCAATATTTTTTAACCTATTTTTTTAACTAACTTATTTTTCTACAAGCTATAATAAATTATCTAACTTAATTAACTATTGAATATATAATTGAATATGTCTGTATTAATATATTCATTAAAAGGTATTATATTAAGTTATTTGAATGAAATTTGAAAATCTTTATTTAGTTTTTTTTTTTAGGTCCTGTTATAAATAAAAACAGAAAACTGTACTTCCATGCCTTTGCTAGTGTTAGAGAGTCATGGGTATATACGAGCACTCTTCAAAACAGATCATTATACGAAAATGGCTTAGTTGATGGTGCAGGAATCTTCTTTACGTCTGCAGAAGTTAGACCAATTCAATCCAGCGTTCAAGCCATGACAAATGACGGGATATTATTTTCAGCTATGATGGATAATAGTTTAGCTTGTTGGAACGCGGAAGATCCTTTCTTGCCATCTAACATCAATGTTGTGTATAAGGTATTAGAGTTTGTTACTATTATTTATGAATTTTTCATTGAAATTGATTATTTTATAGAACGACAAAGAATTCCAATTTCCTACTGGTCTAAAAGTTATCGGTGACAAAATTTGGGCAGTTACTGGACAGCTACAAAATCATTTTACTACATTAGTGCAAGACCGTTCGGTTAAGTATCGCATCTTGGTTGGTCAAGTTGACGAACTTATAAGAGGTTCTGTTTGCGATAAAAGGTTGGCACCATACGATTCCAAAGATTCTGTACAAAGGCCTAAGCCAACATTAGTATTTAGTGGTAAAGGTTAATGGTTTAATGTTGCGTAGAATATTTGATGATGGTCGACATTTAAGATAAACATTAATTATTTAAAAAGAAGACATATGTCCATACAAATTTGGATGCAAATAAAAATAATTAATTTATTGAAAAATAGTTTTAAGTACATATATTGTATAACATTTGAATATTAACCACACTATTATTGTAATCAAAATAATTATTTATTGTGCTTAATTTTATAACTATTTATTATTTTAATTAACTTATGCTTGTTTGTAAATAATTTATTATTATTCACTTGCTAAACGTGGTTTTGTGTAAATAAAGCTCTACTGCAAATCTTATCCTTGCTTTTTAGAATTGTAATAAACTCTTGATTTTGGATTTTTATTTAGGTTGTAAAACAACTTATAATTGAGGGTATGATTAATAAAATTATTTGCATACATTTTAATAATAAAATTGTATTTTCGCAGCAAAATACCGGAGATGGATTATTATGTTGAAGACATAGTTGCGCCTGCTAAATTATTTGAGAACAATGCTATCCAAGCCTTGAGTAAATCGGCGAATGGTGTTCCATGGAGCTATTCCAGCTCATCTAAAATCATCGAGGACGTAGAGAAGACTAATATAGGGCCGGAAGCTGGTCGATATAAACGTAGAATGGCAGTAGTCATGACTGGAAATACTAACTTACACGGTAATAAAGACAGTCAGGCAGGATCTTCTAATTTACAAAATTCAATGTCTTATGATTGTCGAATGATAATAGTTAACGGTCAACTAATAAACCAAAATTGTTCAGGCCAAGCTCAGCGCAAAAGAAACGATAACCCTTTTAGGTGATCAAAAAAGTACTTATTTTTTTAACTGATTGTAACATAATTATAAATATGTAGTATGAAACTGTAATTACTTGTATATAATGTAATAAAATTGTATATTTATAAGCTGAATAAACTGTTTTTTAGTATTCAGAATATTTAGAATCTAATGACTTATGAAATTAAATCAATGTTAATTTTAGTAAATACCTATCGTAAATACCTAAGTAAAGTGAGAATATAGACAGTTAATTTCAGAAAAAAGTACGTGTAGTTATAATGAGATAATGCCTTTTCATATAAGTATCGACGTCAAAAATACTTCAAATACACTTCTTTTTCTTATTCAGCGTAGTCACATAAAAATACTTATATAAGTCATAGAAATAGTAAGCTATTTACATAAAATTATGACCATGGGAAGGAGATAAAAGGGAAAGAGCATATGAGACTCTAGCTTTGGAGACGAGAAGGCTCTCGAGTCGCGAGAGACAATAGATATCGTCCAACGCTGACTCTACAATATTTATCCTAGATGAATTTTTTAATTTAATTAGCCATGTGTATTACACGGATAAAAAGTTAATAAATTGTGCATATATTTTTTTCTTTAGTGCAACAAGTTATATTAATATAACATTGTTACATTAATATTACAATGTAACATGACAACATGTTTATATATACCAAAAAAATCTGACAAATATGTGCAAGGTTATTAAATAAAATACCATTGAAGCTTAATAATACAAAAAACAAACATATGTTAGTTAAAAATTACAATATGAAATAATTGGAAATTTTTTATAATAAAGAAGAGTTAAATTGATGCTTCTTTAAAAAATTATTTAAGTTATTATTGTTATGTATAATATTTTACAATTTATAACGTTTATTTCGGCATCATGTATTATTCAAAATTGTATTATAATTTTTTTTTTTATTGAACCTTAGAAATTAAAATTAAATATATTTAAATTAAATTAATAAAGACATTGATCAATAAAGTTAGCTCACTTTATTTATTAATAATTAATATAAATATTGAATATATCATATAAGTATTTAAGAATAATATGACCAAATTTTTTAGTAAGGAGTTTACTGACATAGTACGTGACGTCACACGTTAAAAACAAAAAAGTATACTTTGGTTTTACAAAGTTTATTTATTAAATTATATACAAAAAAAATATCTTAATGAACTAAGGGGTATAATGAAATATTAAACATTTTAGAAAATATTTATAAATATAATAAAAGACATTTGAAAAACATAAGGATAATTAAAAATTAAAATTTACATGTTTAAATAATATAAATAAAAAAAAAATCAACTTTAAACAAAAATGAATAAAATTTAAAAAAATTTATCTTTGCATCAAATATCAATAAAATTATCCGGAAAATACCAAAATAGGATCCAATTTGTTTTTTATAAAAATGTTTTCATAATTTAAATTTAAATTGAATAATCTTTTCTAAATACATGCACTAAAATAAAAAAAAAACCCAACACAGTGGTGACGTGGCATAGTTGGATCAAGTATAATGATATCTGACAGTGATTAAAATCACTATCAAAAAAAATAACGCTTCAATGCAAATCTTTAGATAGTGTTTAATTTTAAAAAAATTAGTGGATTATTCTAAAAGCTACACGATCTGCTATTTCTTTATTAATATCCTGATTAAGATAAAGTATGTCGAATGAAAGAGGGATATAAATACTACTTCTCATAAAAAAATTGTATTGATCCATACACTTTTCAATAAGTTATAGCATTATAAAGTTAAAAATGTAATAAGAATTTTCACACAAAAATAGCATTCGGTAGCCATTTTCACCGTGAAGACAAAATAAAGTCCGAATTTTTTTTTTCCATAATAAATTACATTACATTAGCTTCATTTTAAGATATATATATAAAAGTGTCAGACTTTCTGGAACACTTTCAAAAGTTAAGTTGAAAGTTAATTTTTTGTGAAAAAGTTGTCATTTTAAATCCCCCCTGTGGGCAGGTAAAGGGTCAGATATAAAAAAAATGTACCAAATGATACGTAAATACATTATGCTTCTATAAAAAAAAGTATTTATTTGGTTATTTTTGAAAAAGTTATGGCAGATATAAGTAAAAAAATTTAAAAAATTGAGAGCTGAGAAAAAGTACTGACAGGCATAAAAAAAATCATAGTAAAATAAAAATAACTTCTCAGATTCGCATAGAAGCTAAAAATTAAATCCTAAATAACTTTTTAAGAAAAAACTTTTCTGTATGTTAAATGTTTGTCTGCAATATTTATATAAACAAATAAAATCTATTTCAAAACATATGTTATTTTTTAAATTTATACGCCTAAGTATTGTAGTTAGCTGTTTTGTTAATAACGTTTTCAAGGAAAACATTTAGTTCTATAAATTAAGATCTATGGGTTTTTCTATATTTAGCATAGTTTGTAAGATACGTAACAAAAATAAAAAAAACCATCCATGCAATGGAATTTTCAACCCTCTTGCGGCATGTTTTAACGTCACTTAATTTAAACCAAATTTTATACACTTTTTTTTACCTAATAGAACAATTCTAGGAGGCGTATTGAATAAATTTCAAAACTTTATTTTTAAAAACTGCCTAATACATATTTAACTAGCTTAATAAAAAAACGATCTAATTAAGAAAATGACGGGTCAATAACAACTTTTGCATCATTACATCGAAAAGTTATAAACTTTTTTATAAGTGTGTGGGGAGAGGAATGCGTCGGAGATATTGAATAAAAAGTGAAACTAATATAACTTTACCCGTGTCTCTCCGTCTATATTTTAAAATCATCATAACTTGTGATATACTGCTTCGAAAGTTGTAGTTTGTTTTCTATTTTATAAGTTAGTTAAATATGTATATTGTGACATAAAAATATTAAGTTATAAAGGGATTTTTATTTACAAAACTAGTGTTTTAAGTTATAAATTTAACTTTGGGTAAAAGCAGTTTAAGGATAAACTAAGGTTCAGCTAAAATGGTATACTAATTTAGAAATTATTTTTTTTGAAGTGTAAGATTTTTGATTCTTGCCAATTATGTCAACCCACTTGATACTTTAGTTATATCAATAAACATGCCAGTCTCCCCCTAGACTGTATGCCACTACCCTGACTCTTAGCCACTTTTAAATTAAATAATCCTTTTAGAAATTGTGGAATGGTACATTAAACACTAGGTACACACATCTGGCCACAATATAACACTTAGGTATAGGAACTCTCAACATTTTAATTTGAATAGCCAAAGTCATTATCTAGCTATAAAAAAAGCAAACGTTTGATTCACACTCATGTGTAATGAAAGATTTGGAGAACATTTTGATATAAAATCAATCGGTCTTTTATTGATTATAGTCCGTATAGTGTATTATTTTTTTAAGCAATTTTTTTTATAATAAAATATCAGATTTTTGAGAATTGTATAGTTTATATGGATGACAATAATTGTCATCCATATAAACTATACAATTATTTTCATTCTATAGTTAATACTTTTCAATTTTCCTTACCAAGCTATTTTAAAAGATTTAATAAAACCATTCAGAATAAATTATGTAAGTTGTCACAATAAAACAGTTCTGTACAGAGTTCCAAAGAAATCAACATTTTCACAATATTATCTAAACATGTAACAAAGAACTAAATCCAATTAGAGGATCCATATTTTTGAACTGATACATGTATACAAAGGGTATTAAATATCTATTTTTTATCTATAGAACTACTTATTTAGTTTTACTATAAAATATTTGTAAAGAAACTCATAAAATAATTCTTTTAAATATCAAAAACAGTGGTAATATAATACCCTTTCTCTGGTTGTTGGTCCTCATGGAAAATAACAGAAAATAGATATAGCGTTCGTCTACCGCCATAAACTATTAAATAATATTTTGTGCGATCAATGGAACCGCTGAACGACTATTTAGTTCTGTATCGACTTTAGGTTAGTGTAAATGTTTCTTTCATACAAAACTCAATTTACTAAATGAATATAATAATGTTCTGTGAGTAAATAAAAATATAGTTTTTTACTGTAAGGGTAAGTACCAATAACACTTAAATATATTTAATTAATTAATTATATTAAATATATTAAATGAATAATTCAATTGATTCAATTAAAAAAACTCTATTTTTTACTAAATATTTGGAATATTGATATCACTATTGGCCACAATATTATCTTTTTTTTTATAAGCCATGCCATCTTATTACTGCATTACAGAAATTATATTTACAATTATTAAAATTAGAATTACAGAAGCCTTGATTTTCAAATGATAAATAATATTAATTTATAAGTATAATTCATTTTTAATAATTTATTTTATTTAATGAATTCATATTTCGATGTTATAATATCATTTATATTTTATAAAATTAACTACGAAAGTATTGTAATACATTTTGTAGATGTAATGGAAAAATTGTTGAAAAAAAGGACTGCTTTGAAAATTTATTTGAATAATTTTTACTTAATGAAAACATTTTTGAAATTTATTTATCTTACAATCACTTAACAGATGCAAAATATTTTATATTGTATTAAGTTACTTGAATTGAATTAATTAATTGTTAGTTAAAACTAACGTTGATTTCACTAATGAAAATCATTTGCTTTTTACAGTAATTGGTCTTACACTTTGCATGAAAACGATAAAATTACTTCTTGTTTCGCTTCAATAAATGTTACCGGAACGAAATGTAATATTACAACTATTATACAGACATTGACAACAGAATTTGGAATTAAACGCATTAAATGTATAACCTACATAAATTTTATTTTTAATGAAAACTGTGTATGAGTTTTGAAAATTGTTTATTATTATAGATGGCTGAATACGACCAACTATATTCATATGTCTCACCTTCAAATTACAATTGGATAAATAATAGTTTATCCGACGCAAGCCAAAATCACTATCCGATTTCTTCAACTAGTAAGAAAATTGATAATATGTCATTTCCAATTTAAATACATTGTTGAATAACTCTCACGACTAATTTTTTCATATTTTACAAATAAATTTCTAACTTTTTCATCGACTTAAATGTAATTTTGTCAGGTTAGGATTTTTAGTCTTTTACAATGATAATTGTAGTAAACAATTATTATATGTTAGATTTAATATACATTGTATCAATAAGGTTATTATCGTAACAAATAATTACGGAATTTCATAAATATAAAAGTTATAGAAGTGTTAAATATATACTATAAAGTAAATTACGATTTCAGTACTATTTAATTTTCTTCGATGGCAAATATATTAGAAAAAATTTCAGATATTTTGATGCCATGGTTGTTATCAATTTGGGTAATGGGAAACAAAGCTCCATCTCAATGGTTAAAAAAATCTAGATCATTGAAAAAATTTAAAAAACCTAATAGAAGTAAATATACGGGACTTCAGGATTACTTTGTTTGGAATCAAATAGATCTTGAATTCCCTAATGAAAAATCAAGGAAAACGGCAATAAAATCAGGAGTATTTATCCCTGAAAATAATCTCCCACTTGGCTTAGAGATTTGGAAAAGTAAAATGTTTCTCAGTTTACCTCAATGGAAAAACGGAATACCAGTTACTTTAAGCTACGTTGATTTAAAGAGCAGCTTATCGTCTCCCAGGCTAAAACCTTATCCTAATTGGAACTGGTAAAATTTGTTTGGATTTTTATATTTAAATCAAAATATACCCTTAAAGTATACGTCATATATTAGATATATTTGACAAATATTTCAATTTTTTATTAGGTACGCCAATAAAAGTGATCGATGTCAAGGTTTAGTCTCAGTGTTTAGGATGGAAGTAGATAAATGTAATAGATTGTGGGTTTTGGATACAGGTGCTATTAACTTGGCGAATCAAGTAGACCAAGTTTGTCCAGTAAAGTTAGATGTGTTTGATTTGAAAACTGATCGTCACATAAGACGTTTTCCCTTTCCTACAGCTCAAGCACCTAAAAATTCATTGTTTACTAATATCGTGGTAGAAGTTGTTAATAACGACTGTGAAAATGCTTTTGCATACATGTCTGATGTCTTTCAGTATGGTCTAGTGGTTTACAGTTATAAGAAGGTATAAATCTAAAAACATACATAAGTTGTTTATATTAGTAAAGTACCGTAATAATGTTTATATTTGGTTGACATTTTAAATTTGTTTAAAAATCCATTTTCCTAGTTTGTGAATATAATGATGAATACTTTGGTTTTTATTAATATTTTTATAGATGGCCAAGAAGTTAAAATTCATTTTTTTTCTCAAAATTGTACTATCATTCTAGGTCATTACGTGAATATTTAAAATTCTGTATTATTGCACTTGTGTTTCTCTACTATAGTCATATCAAAAATTCTTTAAATATATTTAAAATAAAATCTCCCGTAAAATATAATCCTTTAAACTTGTAACCTTTTAAATATCAAAATAATTTCAATAATATATTATTGATATAATTTCTTTATTAAACTATTAAGAAATTTATACTTATCATGTTTTTGTTCATAAAAACATCATTAAATTTTTTTTCCAGGATGCTTCACGAAGAATTTTCCATCCATATTTTTATCCAGATCCATTACATTGTCGTTATGAGATAGACGGTATTACATTTCACTGGGTAGATGGTATATTTGGTATGTGCCTATCAGCTGGCTCAAACAATAGAATTTTATATTTCCATGCCATGTCCAGTAACAATGAATTTTATGTTCCAACGTCATCACTACGAAATGACTCCCTCGGAAGTGATATACTAGATCACTTTGTTTCATTTAATGATTCTAGATGCCATAAACATCAGTCCTGTCAAGCATCTGCGTCTACTATGGACCCTAACGGAGTGATGTATTATAATATAGTATCTACGGGAAAAGTAGGCTGCTGGAATACAAAACAAGAGCTTAATCCATACACTCAAGGTATCATAGACCAAGGTTTAACTCAAATAAGTTTTCCCAATGACATAAAAGTTGATAAAGATTCAAAACCAAAAATTTGGATGCTCAGTAATGGATTACATAAATATTTGTATAATAAAATGAACCCGAATGAAATTAATATTCGAGTGATGATGGCATTTACCGATAAAGTAACCAAAGGTACAGTTTGTGATCCAACATTGTAAGCTATATGATTAGAATTAAATTAAGTTGCCAAAATAGTGCTTAAAGAATTATTGCTCAATATAATTTCTAGGCATATGCTGTAGAGTTAATTAAAAAACTCTAATAAAAAACTAAATTATACGCCAAAATCAAATTTTATTTTATGGAAATAATTCTACAAAAAGATTAAGGACATTTTTTTTAACGAACGGAATCTTTATTTATGATTTACAAAAGTATTTAATAGTGTGATAAAAAAATGTTTAAATATAATTATATTACCACTAGTATTTTAAATTATTGTAATAAATGATCAATTTTCTTATGTATTTACATTAATTTAATATTTTTATCTTGTTAAATTAACTTTAAAATACTAATCATAATAAAAAAATCATTTCCCTAATTTTTATTTTATTAGTTACTGAGTAGGTTATGATAAATAAACCATTATAATAAATATAAAACATTTATGTATAAAAAATACAGGATTTATGCTTATCGTACTCTATCTATAAAAATACGTATGGAAGTGAAAATTATCATCATCTTATTATTTTTTTGTGCTGTTTATTTGTTAAAATTTTATTTAAGTACTTTCTATTCTTAAAAAATGATACCATGTAGTGCTAAATAACATGTGTAATGAATTATGATGGTGCAATTCGCAATACAAATTTCACGGTTGATACTAAGATTACTTTTTAATAATAGTCAAGTATCTCATGGTTAATTAGCATTGTTCATACATATTAAAATACTGACTATATTGCCTAAGTATAAGTTATTGGACATTGTTTAGTTTGATTTTTTATTTGTGTTGTTAGTTAACCTTAATATACTATATTAAGGTTAACTAACCTTTATTGAATATATTTTTCTTTATCATGATAAAATTATATACATATAGCTAAAACTACTCAAAAAAATTAAATTGAATTTATAAATATTTTNCATATGTAGCTAAAACTACTCAAAAAAATTAAATTGAATTTATAAATATTTTCGACTTGATTTATGTGTCCCTCGTTATTCCAAACCGTCCTATCTTTTGCCGTCTTTAAAAAATATATTTTTCCCCTTTCAGTATCCACCACTAGATCCTTGATTTTTCTCCCGTGTTTCTCCTGTTTTTGTATATTTTCTTCCCACGACACTACAACTCCATTATCATCAGTCTATGTTATGAAGTTACACTCTCGCTTGGTATAACTTAACAATCTTTTACTGGCTTTACGCTCTCTCTTCCACATAAAATAGTCAATCTGTAATCTATTACTCCCACTCTTTTAAGTTATATAGTGTTTTTCCCCCTTTCTAAAATAAGTATTAATCACAGTAATACTGTGGATACTGCAAAATTCAGGATTCTCTCTCCAGCTTCATTCTTTCCACTAAAACTATACCCTCTATGTATACCTTGCATCACCTCATCCATCATTCTCCAAAACACTTCCATGACTATTTCCTCACATTCTACTTGTGGGGCGTAGGAACTTATTACATTTAATACTTTTTCCTCGAAAATCAATTTTATGACTATAATTCTGTCACTTTTCCTAGCTACTTCTATCACTTTACTTTTCATCTCTTCAATTATAATAGAGTAATTATTATTGAATGAACGCAGCGTCTAGTGGTACTCACCACTTATATTGTTTTAAGCAGGCTATGTCTTAAGCAAGGAATGAGGTGAGCGGACTGTATGAATGAATGTAGTATGCATTTTTAAAACATATAACGATTTAATGCATTATACATGAATTATAAAATTTTTTATACTCCAATATTGATAGGGCGACACTTAATACTAATGCCACAATAGCGCAGATATAAACAAATAATAAATTATAAATGTGAGTAAGTCTTAAAAAGAAGATGAACAAATATACTTATCGACTAATTAAAACTAATTGATGATAATGTTGAATATTGAAAGGATCTATTGAAGTCGAATGCAAGTAGCTGATCAACGTATACAATATGCTGTAAACGTTCTGTGATGTATCTTAGAAAATATATAGACCCAACGACGATATACTGAGCGCACAAGGGTGCGACAATCGCAAAGGTAATATTACCTTTTACAAAAAAACGAATAAAAAACTACTGGCTTGCAAGCACCATAGACCTTATAGCTAATATGCGCTAAGATGGCGGCGACAATGCAGACATAGAGGGAAGATCAACAACAAATCGGTATAGCACAGCGATAGCCTAAATAATCACAACACAAATTCTCGACAGCACATTCGACCAATGTGTATCCAAGGTGTATCCAACCATTATTCTATTATATTTTAATTAATACAATATGTATTTAAGTTTCATAAGAATTTTAAAATACAAAATAAAAAATAAAATTGCTTAAAATAATAATTAATCAAATAAAAAAGTTTTTCTAATAGAACCGATATTATAAATATATTCTAAAATATTTACAAATTATTAAATACATTTGTGGTATTATTTTTAGTCAAATGAGGTGTAATGTTTGGCATGTAATTCATATTCTTTGTTAAATTTTTTGCTCCAATCATATGATTTGATGACGAATCGTTACTTTCTTCTGATGATTGTTTATTATGATAATATTTAAAAAATATTCCAAACAGAACATCAGGTGACATAGGCAAATCTTTGAAATGATCTTGGGATACTTGTTCTTCTAGATCTGCCATTTCTACTGTTCTTAATTCCTCTTCAGAATTTTTTTCTAAAAAGTTACTTAAACTTCCATTATTTAAAACCGGCATAGTTCTAGGTAAGGCTTTAGAACTCATTTTTTTTAACAGATCAGTTTTTTGTATTCTTAAATTTCTACGATCAATTATTTCTTGAGGTGTCAGTTTTAAAAATCTAGAAACAAACGCAATTTTTTTTTCAATTTAAATAATTAAAAAAAAATTTAAGACTGTTATTTTATTATATATAATAAAGTCTATCAAACAAAGCATATTCAGCAAATCATTTGTTTGAAATATTCATATTTATGAGTATAAAGTTGAAATTTTTGTTTAATATTAACAAGAGGATTACCGTCTTTCCTGTGACTGAGTTGTTTATTTTTATAAAACCAAGAAAGAAGAAGAGGGGAAATGAAAATTGGTACACCTGGTTTCAATTAATATTCAAAATAATATATGAAAATATATATTAAAGTTCTGCAAATAAAATTCTAAAAACGTAAAGGGAAGGGGGTAACTTACATACTATAATGTTAATCTTACAATTTAATAAATATGACATAATGAAAATAAATTAAAAACTTATACGATGACAGCTTTAGGAGATCGGCGAGAGTGGCAAAGTAACTTGTGATATCTAATTATGTAAATATATTAATCATAGATCGCGGTCACAAAACGCAAAATACACGATGGATTCTACAATGCACATCGGTAATGTTAAAAAAAAAACAAATAATGAACAAAGATCAAATACTATAAGTGAAAGTGATTAGTAATTGCACGGCTGTCGATTACTAGAGGCGCGTTCCATGTATAGAGAATACATTATTGTGTAAAGGAGAGTTGTAAAAACCATAAATAAAAAAAAAGGCAGATGCTCGCCGTGGAAGGGACATGAACATGTTCGAACTGGATTCACATGAATACCATAGAAGATAGCCACTCTCTACCTAACAAAAGTAATATAAATACATTTTATTTTCTGACAAATGTAATATAAATGAGACCAGATAATTAACTATAATAATGTAAATAGTAAATAATGAGAGCATCATTATACATAAAAACTAAACCTACTTATCTGCTCGTTTAGCCATATTTAACATAATTGGTTTATTACTCTTGGTGGTTTCGTCACGCGTCTCATTTTCTATTAAATATATTTCTTTAAAAATCCAATCAATAATTTCTTCAGTTAATGGTAATCCTATATCTGGATTTTGGCGAATGACTTCTAGAAATTTTTCATCATCTGGATGCGTTGGTCCTAGTGAGTGACTTGATAAAGTTGTTTTGGATTTGATCTTTACATGATGGAACTGTTTCAAAGCATTTAAGTTCTGTGAACTATTTTTTATTGATATATTACCAGATAAGGTTTCTGATTTTTCAATTAGAGTTTTAAATGAAGAATTTTCTTCACGAAACGTTTTGTGAAATTTCCATATTAAATAACGAAACACAATTGAAATACCTAAATTTCAATTTAAAATATATAAATAACTATCAATGTAATAATTGTTCGACAAAATATCTTATGTTTAATGAAAAGTTATAAAGTTTAGAAAAAGTATACAAATTTTATAGAAAAAATAATAATTTGAATTAAAAACTTAATGAATATTTACATGTTTGAATTATGGAAAGAATTATAAATTCCATAGTCAAAATTTCGAATTTTTTTTTTATTGCCATATCAACAAAGAAAATAAATATGTTTATGAAAAACAATAAAACTGATATTAGCAGCCATAGACCAATACAAAGTTGTGAATCCTGAAAAATGTATAGGTGTAATTAATGAAATACTAAAATAATAAAGTATAATTGATAGTATTGAAGAAAATGTGCGACAATTTGATACAATATCGATATCAATACAAATGTCAATTTTGAAATTTAAAGGTTTTAAAAGTTATAACATAAAATTGTTATTATTATGAATTTTAAAATATCGTTTTGATTTGATGAGATATTATGCTATGTCATCACATAAAATTTGTAATTAAGTGTATGAACCTAATAATTGGAATTATTAAGTACACGATTGTGTTGTATTTAATATTTATAAGCGCTCTGAACGTTAAAAATAGAAGCAAAACGTGGTTAGCTTTTAGAGGGTTAAAAAAATTCTAATTATTTTTTCTTAAACAATGATATTGTTATAAAAACAATATCAATATCACTAAAATACAAACAATATCTATATGTGAATATTTGTCATTTCTCAACATTGAAAATCAACTCAATTTTTAAAAATATTGAAAAATAAACAAATTAACATACAAGTATAAATGAATTCAAAAGTAACACATAATTTGCCATGTTAATATATACAGTGAATGTTTTTGATAATGTTAAAATTTGAAGAACTGAAATGGTATAAAAAAAAATTGACTTATTGCCACTTCTAGTAGGTATTAAGTAATTGGTAAGGATAATTTATTATTTTTATAATTACGCACATTTTTTTTTCACTTGTCTAGTAAATAGATTGGTAGCTTCCAAGTCTACTTTTATATCATTTTTAATAAATAAAACATTACATTTCTCAAATAACATCAATTCGATGTAGCTAAATATCTAAAAAAAATTTGAAGTTTGTCAAAAAAAATATTGGCTTTAACTAATTTCAATAGCACTTACAAATCCTATCACAGCAATTAGTAAGATAAATATTCGAGTTGCATAGATGTTTTTTTGAAAGTATTCAAAAAATTTTTTTAGATTTAAATCCATTAAATAAACATTTCACTTTCGTTATAATTAAACTTTCTGGTAAAATGATGAGCATTTATTGATAAATGTACGTTTAAAAAATTTAATTCACGTTACCTAAGATACTGGTTCAGTCAGATTTTAATTTTTTAAGAAACATATGTATTAAGAAAAATAACAGTATTTTTATATAGATAAATATTAAAATAATAATTATATTACCTTTTACTAACTAACTATTATATTTTTAGCTGAGAAGGTATTAATTTTATTATGATGTTTTTTTTTATGTCTGTTACCACTTTTTCTAAGATTTCACCGAACCAGTTTCTTTTAAAAATACGCAAAAAGATCACAAATCGTTCCCCGTAAATGGGAGAAATTAAATAAAAAAAAATACAAATTTAAAAATCGGTAAATTTTGACATTTTAAAAATTTTTTTTCTTAAGACTGGCAGAAAATTTTAAAAAATAGATGAATAGAAACAATTTTATTTTTATAGATAGATCATGAATTTACCTATCATTTGGTATATATTTTTTGTAAATCTGACCCTTTACCTGCACACAGTGGGGGATTTAAAATGATAACTTTTCCAACTTAACTTTTGAAAGTGTTCCAGAAATACTGACACTTATATATATATACAGAGTGATTTTTTTTAACATAACCCACTCAATTACTTGCAGAATAATAATAATTTAAACATTTTTTTTTTTCATTATCTTTAGTTACACATTATTCTTGAATTTTTAACTATGTAATACTTTTTAAGTTCATCCCTTATGTCTTGGAGGGGGGTCAACTTTGTTTTTTTAAATGGTAACACATATTTTTAATTTAATAAAATGTTTGAGTTTTTAATTTAATAGTAAATGGCATTTGAATTTTTAATATAACTTAATTCGTTTATTAGATATAATCATTTAAAGTTTCAAATTTTTGAATTAATATACAGGTATAATACACAAGGGATTACAAATANTTTAAAGTTTCAAATTTTTGAATTAATATACAGGTATAATACACAATGGATTACAAGTATAGGTAGCTAATTGGTTTTTTATAACATCGATATTAGCAGGTACACAGCATTGTTATTATCAATTGTAGTAAGGCACATTGTTATGAGTTTATAAATACACTAACAAACAATACAGAAAGTATATCTATTGATAATCATAATTGATAATAAACAATCCGTGACTGAGACAGCAATTTCAACTTAACTTTTAAAAGTGTTTCGGAAATACTGACAAAAAAAAAAAAACGCATCATAATAAAACTAATACCTTCTCAGCTTCGCATCGAAACTAAAAAGGAAAAAAATTATTGTCTTATTAAATTAAAAGTTTAATGTACTAATTTAGTTTAGCAATTTGTCTGTAGAAATTATTTATATTTAAAATTTAGCGAAACAAACTATACAAGCACTTAGCTGACTTTATTTCAGTACATTACATGTATATATTATTGAATTTAAAAAGGTATTAAAAACTTGAATCGATAAATAATGTTATGTTCAACAAGTACTATTATTAACAATTTATTAAAACTAATATTGAGTTTTTTTATAACAAAATCCTCAGTAGAATAAATAACACAGTACTAGTCAGGGCTGAGGAAATTTTCAATATTTTAAAATCCATTGGTTAATATAACTTTACTTAAAGTTAAATTAAATAACACGCCCGTTGACTAACTGTAAAATAGACTATATACAAAAGTAGAAGAAGTTGGAGCAAATTGACACCCTTAAACTTTAATTGAATCTCTGAAAGAAATTATTCAACATATAAAAACGTCAAATTCAAATAGAAATACTTGAATATTGAGACTAATTGAAAAAAATATAATTAATTAATATTAATCATTTTGAGGTCTATAAATTTATTTAAAAAAAAGTCAAATTTGACATCATGCCATATGCTTGAAGCAACATGATTTTTTTAATGGGTTAAGTTGTTAGAATAAATTTGATAGAAATGAGTTGATTTTTTTCTTTAGTCATTGCAAAAAAAATTTGATTTATTTATACATACAATAGTTAACATTTTGCGTAGTAAAATAAAATTATTATATCGTTCTAGTAAAAAGGTGTAATATAAAATAAATACATGTGTTCACTTAAATTGTTTTCGAAAAATAATTATCATGTTGGTTAATATATTTTAAAATATTACTGTATAAAATACGCCAACATTACTATATTTTATACTGACGCAATTTTTAATTTTAAATATATAATAATTATAACATAAGTCGTCATTTGTATTTAGTAAATCATTCAATTTCAGTAGCTCCTATATTATAAACTGATAATAATTTCATATTGCTGTATAAACGTAACTACTGAAATAAAATAAGAGTTTTTGGTATCAAAATTTTTCTTTAAAACTTATCTAAAAAATGGCTATCTTAAAATATTAAAAAAAATTAATTTTTAAAATATTTTTTATAATTGCGAAAAATAACATGAAACATATTTTTAATATAGCTCTATATTTTAAAAATTGATAAAAAAAAAAAAGTATAAAATGTTATGTAGATCATAAGTTATATGAATTGTCAGTTAGATCTATTCCACTCTGTATATATATATATTAATATTTTATCCATAATAAAATATTAAGTAGCTATTTATAAAACTTACTGTGGTAGAGAAATTATAACGTCAGGGGGTCTAAATTTAAGCTTTAAGGGGTTTAAAAAGGAACCTATTTACTCGAATACCATTAATACTGACTAATCTTTGCCTTAGAATAAGAGTTTTATACTCTTAAAGTCATTTAATTGCTACATTTTTTATATACAATTATTTTAATTAATTATAGTGTGTTCTAGATAAAAGTATCTTAAAATTAATATATTCATAGATTACTGGATTAACATGGTGTTCATAAAAAGTTTGATAAGCTGCTTGTTTGTTATATCTTTTATTGAATGCAATTCTGTGGCCAATTCAAGGCAAAATTTAATACAAGGTAAATTTTTAAAATAAAATAATAATTTTTTAACAATTTTCTTACAAAAAATGTTGATAGGTCGATTGTAATTTTAGGGTAATTATTTATGAAATTACAAACATTTTAGTACATAAAAAGGGTGCAGCCCGTATTTTGAAATTGAGCCGCCCCTCATAACCAAAAATAAATTGGTTGAGATTAATAAGTCAGGTTTTTTGGAACATTTAAAAAAATTGATAAGATAATTATGACTTCTCCCAGTACTCTAGTTAATAATTAGATTATCAAAAAAGCATGTCGTTTGCAAGGCAAAAGTATTGTTAATAACAAATTCACAATAATCCGTTCAGTTTTTAAAAAAATTTTCCAAATGGAAAAATTATTGACAACAGTTTAAATTATTGAGACATTTACCTATACCTCACGGGTAAGGGAGACGCGATCCCACCCTGTCCAAATTTATCACACATATCACAAACTGACAACCTAATTATTTACTGAAAATTGTATTCTAAAAGGACTGCGAAAGAAAAAATCATAAAAAAATATATATTATAAATTTCTATTTGAGTTAAAAAAAATTATTCAACTCTCTTCCAAAAAAATATATAGATATGCGCTTACTATACCATTAATATTAATCAATAAACCTATTAAATAACACCTCCTTTACTAGATGTTTGATAATTTTATTATCAATATTGTTAACTATTTGGAATAAGTCTAGAATTAGATAGACAATAAATTGTACTTCCTATATCAATGAATCGTACAATGACATCTGCCTTCCACAAGTAACACTTTAAAAGTCCTTTTTTGAAATAGTTAATATTTAAAATTTAATTAATAATCTAAACCAAAAATTTTTTCAAATTTTCAACTCTGGTTAAAATTGATATAAAATTTAAACATTACTGAAAAATAGTAGTAGTTTATAAATCTTTGTATTATTTTTGCCAGCCCTTCTTTCTTTCCATCAACTCGGTCATTGGATTCCAAAAACCATCTGATTACTGTTGATAACAATTTTTTTGAAGAAACATTAAGAAACTATAATTCATTTATTAGTTAGCATTTGTTGTGGCGTTTATTTTTTTTGTCATATGATCGATTGCCATAGAAACAGTAAATAAGTATTTTTATTTTTATAAATACCATAGAAACATCTTTTAGCTTCAATGCGTAGCTGAGAAGGTATTAATTTTACTAAGATGTGTTTTTTTTTTTTTGTGTCTGTTACCACTTTTTCTCAGCTCTCACAGAACAAAGTTCTTTCAACGATACGTCAAAAGATCACAAATCGTTTCTAGTCGAAGACACTATCCTCAAAAATTAAAAAAATTTCTCTCGTTCCCCGTAAATGGGGGAAATCTCCAAAAAAAAATACAAATTTAAAAATCACTAATTTTTGAAATTTTTTTTACTTAAAAGTGCCATAACTTTTTTAAAAATGAACAAATCAATATAATTTTTTTTTATAGATGCATAATGTCGTATGTTGTTTTTCTTTTTGCCTGGTGTATGATAAGTAATCAAGTCTTGCCAATTGTCCATTCATTTTCTCTGACATTTTTCGATTTCTTTTGCTTTATTGTACATTCGTTTGCCAAAATGATTTTTTATGTTCAGTATTTTGATTTTGTCAGATAGGATGTCGTGTCCAGTGTTTTTAACGTGTTCATCTACTGCGGATTTTTCTGTCCTTTGGTAATCTACGTCTTTTTCGTGTTCTTTTATNGAATGTCCATTCCTTTTCTCTGTTGTTGACATTTTTCGATTTCTTTCGCTTTATTGTACATTCGTTTGCCAAAATGATTTTTTTTGTTCATTATTTTGATTTTGTCAGATAGGATCTCGTGTCCAGTGTTTTTAACGTGTTCATCTACTGCGGATTTTTCTGTCCTTTGGTAATCTACGTCTTTTTCGTGTTCTTTTATTCTTGTTGCAATAGTTCTTCCTGATATATACATTAGATACATTTATCTAATGTATGATTTGACGCATTAACATGGTATTTCATAGACCCCGTGTGTTTGAATTTCTGGTAGTTTGTCTTTTGAATTTCGGAGTAATGATATTATAACTGTGTTTGGTTTGAAGACGATTCGTATTTTGAATTTATTTGCGATTTTTGAAATGCGGTCGGTAATTCTTTGTATGTACGACAGTATTAGTTTTACTTTCTTCATTTTCATCGCCGTTGTTGCAAGACAATTTTTGCATGCAAAAATTACTGTCAGATACCATCTATACTTGTCCCAACTGTCCCACGTCCATAATGTATTGCGAACCCACTGTGCTATCGTTTTTGTTTTTAATAAAGCTAACTTAAATAGACAAAACTTTAACAAATATTGCATGCCTTGTAATTTAAAAAATAATAATCATAATCATAAAACATCCTAAATCAAGTACTCAATTTATTACATAATTGATTATTTGCGGAGAATAGTAAGGGTCAATCTAGTAACATATCTCCGGTAGAAAGGAAAGTATATGGTATTTTTTCTAACAGGACAACATCGTAATATTATATTTTCAAAAAAAGTTAAACCCCAGGTACTAAAAACTCTTCATTAAAAATGTGACTAGACTATTAGTGCAATAATTATTATTAACAATAATTTCTCAAATTCATTCATTTTTACTGAAAATTATAAAGTCATTTTGAAAATATCTGATATAGAACCTTTTAAATTGCTATAGGCAATGATTTTTGCTGAGTTGGCATACGTTTGTCGCATTCGTCGTTTGATAAAATTGACAATTTAAGCTGATTCAAGTTTACAGTGAATTTTAAGAATATAGATATCAACTATAGGGAATTCGTTAAAAATATTAGTAGTAAAAACATAATATAATATAAAAAGAGTTATATTATAAAAAAAAATAATAAATTATAATAGACGCAGGTCCCATTGTAGAGAATCCTTTTTAAATCCAATGTACACACAAAGGTTAATTAATCGAAATATACGTTAAAATCTATAAACGATTGTTAACACCGAAGCGAGAAATTACCATAAGATTATTTCAGACAACTTCGAAAAGAAATAAAGGCAAGTGCGAATAATTATTTACATGTTTTACTCCTTAAAAATTCACGTAATAAACAAGAATAAGAATAAGTGAGGTAGGGACATTTTATTATTTGATAGCTCTGTTTGAACAAATCGCCCGGTAATGATTTGCGGGTTAGTTTAAGTTCGTTTTTAGAGTCTCTAAAATCATGCAAGGAGAAAGAAATAGGGAGCGGACTGTATATGCGATTGAGGATGGTACTTACACTAGATAAAATTATAAGAATTACAAAACAAGGGGTTATATATTAAAACTACAATAAATATAAAACATCATAAAATTGTGAACTGGGGGGGGTCTCTTAATACTAAAATGGCCGACAAGGCAGCTATGAATAAAACAAATAAAATATAATATAAATATTATAAATAATTAAAGACTTAATTGTGTAACATACAATAGATGAATGATGGCAGTGAGAAGTGGACAGTGTGAATACTTTGCGTTAAAATGTTGAAGGCGTGTTGAACACTGAAAGGGTAGTCGCTTTATAAGTAAATACTTCAGATATGGACAGGGCCAAACACTAAAGGCGTGCACAGGTACGAAAGCTAAGGCACAACAGAATGTGCAAAACAATAAAACATATGGCGCACATACAAACGGAGGCACTTGTTATGTACACGAAAGACGTACAATGACAATAGACTGTTATGGCATTGTATAACCACAGCGAAGCACAAGGGTGATTGAACCATTAAAACGACTACGAGCTAGGTGCACCGTAGAACCACGTAGCAAGAGCTAGTAATGGTGGCGAGGACGCAAAATTCACAAAGAAACCGACAGTTGTTCAATGTACAATGATCGTGTGTGTAATCATACAGCGTAATAATCTCTCGCACAACCTGTGGTGGTAGTGCGAGTGGCGTTATCAGTCAAAAATGTAAGTAAACGCCCTTTCGTGATGCGTATTTGACAAACTCAAGATAGTTCATCGCTGAGATACTTTTTAAATTCATGTCCTCCTTTTCCCTATTAACTATTTAATTTTGGTTTATTACATAATATAAAACAATTATTGAGTTTTTCATATCATAATCTCTATTGTTTTAGTACGCGTATGTTTTAAATTACTTTTATACAGATATATAATTATATCATTTTATGAATAATAAATAATAATAATTTTAGTATTTTTAAAATTAATAATAGTAATTATTTCTATAAATTTATTGTTTTTAAATCATTTTTATCAACTAGTAAAAAAAATTATAACAATTAATTAGAATTATTTAAAAGGGAAAAAAGGTTTAGTTTTCAGTAATTGAGCTAGTTCAGCTATTTATAAGCAAATTATTTTAAATAATAAAGTAACGAAATACCCAACTTTTCCCATTTTAATTTTATTTGAAAAACCCTCATTTATATAAGACTTAAAATTTAAAATATGTATTATTTAAGAAATTTTTCTTTAGCTATTGAAAAAAAAAAATTTTATTTATTCACATTCAAGTTAACAAATTACGCCGTAACACGTGTTGTTATTGTAAAAAAGGTATGATAGCAATTTAAAATATACACATATGATCACTTAAATTATTTTCGAAAAATTTGTCATTGTTGATTAAGGCATTTAAAAATATTTCAACATAAATTTCGCAAACATTACTATATTTTTTTATTTTATATATGTAATAATTATAACATTAGTCGTCATTTGTATCAAGTAAATTAGTCAATCTCAATAGTTTCTATATTAAGTTGATAATAATTTCATATTAGAGTACATAACTTTGTAAGTAGACATTTATGGATTATTTAATGCATATACGATGATTTTGTAACATAATATTATAAACATTTCCATCTTTTATTATATATTAAATTATTCAATATATCTATTTTTTCGCACTATTGTAATCAGGTTTGTCGTGTAACACGTTATTTGAAACAAATTTTATGCTAGATAACGTCTATTTAGTTTATGTTATTAAAGGTATCTCAAATCAATATAAAATATCCATAATAAAATATTAAGTGGCCGTTTATAAAACTTACCTAAGTAGGGAATCAATGACATCGTGGAAGAGTGCTAAATTTAATCTTTAATTGGTTTAAGAAGCATCTTAGTTACTTAAATACCATTAATACTGACTAATCTTTACCTTAGAATTAGAGCTTTATACTCTTACAAATGAAATAGTCGATTTTTCATTAATTCGTTTCTTATATTATGCAATAATGAGTATACAGAGTGGCTCAGCATTCACTGACAACTTAAATAACTTTTGATCCAGTTAATATTTTTAGCTGATATTTTTTTTAAATAATAGTTATACCTTATGTCTAAATTAATACCTCAATAATTCATTTTTTTACATTTGAGTAAAAATATTAATTATTTTTAAATTTAAAATAAAACGTAGAAAAAAAATTTTAGATAGCTATTTTGTTGAGTAGATTTTAAGAAAATGTTGGCAAAAAAATATCTTATTAATATTCAGTAATAAATATTCTGTAACTTTTTAAAGTTTGTGGAAATTTGAATTTTCATGTATTATTATACCCTATTAAACATTGAAATACGTGTTGAGAAAAGGACAGAAGACAACACTATTTTTTTACGATTACTATAATTTGGAGGCGTGTAACTTTTTCCATGAAAATTACTTACGCTTTTGAATGAGAGTGATTAGTAATAATTGCCTTACCAATTTTTTTATCTTCATATTAATAAAGTTTGTAAATACAATAGATCTTATACCTAATATAATATAAATGTTTAATGGTGATAAATAAATTTTAATTTTAGTTAGAATAAGCAGTTTTATTTGTAAAAAGATAAAACTACTTACTAAGCAATGGGTATTGTTCGTGTTTTTATTTGAATTAAAGTCGGTCATTAGAAAGTTAACAATTTTCATGGAAGAATCCATACACATATCATACTTAGTGTAAAATATTGTGTTTACTTCTGTCCTTTTTTTATAAAACTTAGCCAGCATTTGATACCGTAGAATAAATACAGAAAAATTCGAATTTTTACAAAATTTAAAATGTTACAGACAATTAACTACAAAACATTAATGAGAAAGTTTTCATCAAATTATTTCTTAAAAATGGCTACTTCGAGTTTTTTTAAACATTTTTCGTGAATTTTTATAATTCATTTTTATTTTATTAAATTATAAAAATGTTATTAATTACATTATTATTGTAGCCCTCAAGTATTTTAACTATTAAAAAAAAAATAATCTGGATCAAAAGTTATTAAAGTTGTCAGTGACTGCTGAACCATCTTGTATATTACAATTTATAATTCGAGCTTTTTGGCTGTTTAATGAACACTTTTAATCGAAGACGAGGCGATGTAATGTTAATGGTTTTTAATTGTTTAAAAAATACAACACCAAAATAAGTCTCAATGCTAAACCATCGTTACAGATTATAATTTTTACGCGTTGAAAGAAAGTAATTTAATTGAGTTTAATAGGTTCTGCTTTACGCCTTTACTTATTTTCTATAGTGATGAATAAAATTACTAGAGAAATACAAGGAGAAGTACTGTGGTGCATGTTGTTCGTTGACGATATAGTGTTAATAGGAGAAAATAGGAAGGAAATTAATTAAAGGTCAGTGGTGGGGAGATCAGTTCTTGAAGAAAAGGGCTTAAGAATAAGTAGAAGTAAGTCAGAGGATATAGAGTACGAGTTTGAAAAAGGAGAACACGAGGTAGATGAAATGAGGAGGTCAGTGACAATAGGCGAGGACGTAAGTATTTAGTATTTAGGATTAGTTGTGCAAAAGAGCGGTGGTATTGACGAGAATATAACACACAGGATTAAGTGTGGGTGGTTGAAGTGGAGAGAAGCGTCTGAAGTTTTATACGTTAAAAGAATTCCAATGACGCTGATAGGTAAATTCTACAAGACTGTAGTGAGACCAACTATGATGTATGGGTTGGGCGGATGGTAAGAAAGTAGAGTAGAGAATAAGTGTAAAAAGATGATAATGCTTAGATGGATGAGTGGAGCGACTAGAGAAGATAGAATAAGGAACAAGCATGTAAGAGGGAGTATAAGTTGTAAGGTTTCAGCCAAACAGAGGGCCTACTAATTACCCACTGCCCAGGGGGAACACTGGACAGTGACCTAGTAGCCGCGCCAAACAAGATATTACTTGCTGACGGAGCTACTAGGTTTTGATAAAAACAAAAAAAAAAACCAAAATTAATAAAAATGAGGGAAAAGTATAGAGAAAAAAAAAGAGGCCATGTATAATATAACATAATTTTTTTTAATTATTTAATTAAAAAAAATGTATAATTACTATTTAAGATATAAATATATTCATAGGAAATGACTATGAAAAGGGAGAAGAAAAAAAAAGAGGTGCTTGATACATAAAATTTAAAAGGGGTAAAAATGGGGTTTCTTGATGTTGTACTTGTTGATTTGAGGAGTGACGGCCCACCACCGGCCATAGTTGTGCCTTACGCCATAATCATCATCATCATCACCATCTCGACGTTTTGTTTAAATAAAAAAAACGGAGGACAAAAAAAAATAGTCTAGTTGACACCACAAGTCGACGGCAGATCCACTCGACGTTTTATTTTGATAAAAAAAAAAACGGAGGACAAAAAAAAATACAATGAACAGCCTGGTTGACAACCGGTCGACTCAACGTTTTATTTTGTATAAAAAAAAAACGGAGGACAAAAAAAAAATACAAAAAACGTGGTTTTCACAAAAAATACCAACGGACAACTTGTCGCCTCGGCAATATAGGTGGAAAAAAAAAATCATTGTCGCGGCATTTGAATAGTAGCCGGTGATCATGATGTCGCCGGGTGGTGGGGGTGCCAACTTTGAACTGGTTCATAGGGAGAATATAAAAGTGTAGGGATGCACTGTGTGCGGTCAACTGTTACAACAAACCGGGTACTGACCATTGGATCGGTTGATTGGTATATAAACTAATTTAATAATTGGGGACATACATAATACCTAATGCACCCACTATTAACTGATAAGATTTATATATTAAAAAAAAACTTGTATAAATTCTGCAACATTACAAAGTGTAGCGTCAATTGTGGATAAGATGATAGAAAATAGACTGATGTGAGAGGTCGTGTTAAGTGGATGTTTAAATTAAGTGTAGCCGATCCCAAGTAGTTGGGATTAAGACGAGGAATTTAATTGTTGAAAATTTAATATACAATTATTTTAATTAATCATCGTATATCTAGATAAAATTATATTAAAATTAATATTTTACAGATATTGGATTAACATGGTATTCATAAAAAGTTTGATAAGCTGCTCGTTTGTAATATTTTTTATTGAATGCAATTCTATGGAAAATTCAAGGGAAGATTTAATACAAGGTAAATTTTTATATTTTAAAATAATCATTTTTAAACGCTTTTCTTACAAAAAATTTAGATGGGTGGGTTGTAATTGTAGGATAAGTATTTATGAAATTACTAGTGTCAAGGCCATATTTTAAAATTGACCGTCATGACCAAAAAAATTTAATTGATATTAAAATGTCAGGGTTTTTGGAACATTTAAAAAAATTGAAAAGAAAAAATTAACATGTAGATTGTGCCCTCTCCCAGTATTCAGTTAATAATTCGATTATCAAAAAAAGAATATCGTTGGCAAGACAAAAGTATTGTTAATAACAATTTTGCAATAAATTGCTTAGTTTTCTAAAAAATATTTCCAAATACAAAAATTATTGACAACAGTTTAAATTATGGAGGCAATTCCCCATACCTCACTGTTTAGTGAGATTAGTAAACACCATTAATATTAATCAATTAACCTATTAAATAATACCTCCTTTATTATATCATTGACAACTTTATTAAACAATTAAACAGACAATAAATTCATTTCCTCTATGAATCGTACAATGCCGATCTAGCACCCACAAATAACTTTTCTGATTTTTAGAATTCTGTTAGTAACAGCTGTTGCAAAATCTATTTTACACTGACAAAAACTAAAATCATAACTAAAAGAATTGGTAGCTAGGATTGTCTTACTAGGATTAATTACACTACGTTGAAGCTAAAAATTTAATAGAGAATAGATTAAGTAGTGTTGCATTAAAAGAACACGTGATTAAATATTGTATTACGCCGTTCAACGTTTATATCAAGAAAATTATAAACTAATAAATAAATTTTCATTTCAACAAACATCTTTAAAATTTCTTTTGAAAGTCCTTTTTTAAATGATTATTATTTAAAATTTAATTAATAATCTAAAACAATAATTTTTTTAAATTTTCAACCCTGGTTAAAATTGATTTAAAAATTTAGAATTTTTTCCTCCAGATATACTTAATTCTACCGCCCTAACTAAAAAAGTTTTTTATATTTTGTTTTGAATGAGCAAAAAAAAGTCATTAACTCTATAATTTATATTTCTTCGCATTTTAGTACCACCCGGGTAATTGCATTCAGTACACTCCCCCTAAGTGTGGCACTGGCAATTTTAAGACAAATATTTGTTACGTCGTTATTTAGGGGCTGAGCCTAAATGCCCGTCAACAGTATTCCAAGGGACCAACGGGGGATAGCTGGTTAGGCTATATCTACCTTGGGTGCTGAGGTTTCCTATTTAATTTATATTCCCTTATAGGAACTACCAAGGGCGCACTACAATATATATATACAGGGTGTTCAGTAAGTCAGGAAACGGGTTTCTATTGTTCTCATTGTTTGTAACAATGAGAACAATAGAAACCCGTTTCCTAACTTACTGAACACCCTGTATAACACTCTTGGTTAACAACGATATAAATATTTATTAAGTAAAGAGATATTAAATAAATAGTACAACCTGCTAGACACCTAGAGATAATATAATCCAACAGGGAGTTGACGGCGACATACACACATTATTTATGTGGTAGGTAAGTTAAGTTAAATATAAGACATAGAGTAATGGTCGTGATGATGGTAAAAAGTTAATAGATGATTGGGACATTCGTATTATGGCTCGGTGACTGTGAATCCCGAAATTGCTTATGTGTGCAGTCAGCTCTCCTGTTAGTTTTGTTGTATGTCACTGTGTCAATTATATATATATGTCTTATAAACGGTACAGTGATGTTATGGGAGACAGAGATATGAGTACATGTAAATGTGATCGTATCATATTCAATGAGTTACTATCATTTTATGTTATTTATTATTTTATATTAGCGACAAACAGTAAAAAATATGCTTATAACATATTTTAAAACTGTTAAAATTATTGAAAAATATTTAATATGTTAAAACCTGGAGTGGGTCATTCTACATAATAGGAATTTTGTACTTAATTTTATTTGACATTGAATGTAATAAAGATTTTACAATTATAATAAAAATAATTTTCCAATATATCATTTGTAGAAGCATTAAATTATTACTAAATAGTAATGTTTTTAAAAAAATGAACAATGATAATTTAATGTTCTTTTTTTAAATCAATTGTGCGTTATTCATGAGTATTTATTATTTTCTTAAGATTAAAAGACAGTAGAAATGTTCGTTTGATTACTTTACAAAAAGTAAAAAGTTAAGACACTCATGTTTGTGTCAAAATACCTTTTCTTTATTAATGATCTTTAGCTTAGATAAATTCTAGTCATATGAATCATAATAAAACAATAGAATTTTTACATTTAATAACTTGATTAAAAAAAAGCTAATAAAAAAGCAATAATTATTTTTAGACAATTGAACAAAAAAAAAAAAGAAAATATGTTACGTTTAATATATTATATTCAATATTACAAAAACCATTAAACTGTTAAATAAGTGCAATTATATTTTGTGAGACTTTATAGGTAGAATGCAATTGAGCAATAAGTGTACTTGTTTTTCTATTATTTATTTTTGAGTAATTATATATCTACATCGTGTATGATGCATGGAATATAATATATTATAATAAAAAAATAATCATACATAACACACGTAGTAAAAAAAATATTATTCCAGAGGCGACCCATCAAATAAAATTGACAAGTGAGTTTATTTTGACATTATAATTTATTAATTTAATTGGACTGTTTATTTTAAAGAATAAGCTATAATTTATTTCAGTACGCGAGAGGTAAATGATTTAAATCAACAAAAATGTACTCTAGTTTTCCTAAGAACTAGAAGTACCGGATCTACTAAAAAACAATTTAACATAAAAATACACAAACACCGAACTCAAAATTAAATATTATACCAATTAAAATTTACAGATTTCTCACGTAATTTATTATAAAGGGAGAGGAGACGAGTGTAGTGCGGTCATGTATCTCAGACCAGGTATACTAGGTAACTCTAGGAATAGACAAATTTTAACCACTGGGCGTTTATTGTTACATTGTAATTTATTATATAATAAAATTTGACGGTCTTATTTAAAAGAGTAAGCCATAATTTATTTTAATACGTTAAGGGCATATTATTTTAAATCAACAAAAACTTATTCTAGTATTTCCATTGATTGTCGTTAATAATTTAAACAAAAAGTTTTATTGAAAATAAGAAGGTCTAGAGTTATATTACTGTATAATGACATCTTTTTAGCTTCGATGCGAAGCTGAGAAGGTATTAATTTTACTATGATGTGTTTTCTTTTTTTTTATGTCTGTTGCCACTTTTTCTCAGCTCTCACCGAACCGATTTCTTTCAAAAATACGTCAAAAGATCACAAATCGTATCTAGTTGAAGACATTACCCTTAAAAATTGAAAAATTTTCCCTCATTCCCCACAAATGGGGGAAATATCCAAAAAAATTACAAATTTAAAAATCGATAAATTTTGTCATTTTTTTCACTTTTTTTTCTTAAAACTTCCATAACTTTTTCAAAAATCAACAAATCAACATAATTTTTTTTTATACTATAACCTTAGATATTTACCTTTCATTTGATATCATTTTTTTGAAAATCTAATACTTATTCTGCTCACTGGGGGGGATTTAAAATAGTAACTTTCTTACAAAAAATAACTTTTTCAACTTAATTTTTGAAAATGTTCCGGAAATACTGCGTCCTTTAAACATATATCAAATTAAAGCTTTTTTTATGTACTATAAAATGAAAAAAAAAAATTTGTCCCGACGAATTATCTTCTATGCGCAAATGGCTACCATATTCAAAAATATGCTATTTAAACAATTTTTTTTTTTTTAATTAAACACTATCTACAGATTTGCATCGAAGCGTTTTTGATGATAGTGATTTTAATCACTGTCAGATATCATCTATACTGGACCCAACTATGCCACGACCCCACTGTGCTGGGTTTTTTTTTATAATATGACTATTATACAAATTTATTATATCATAGTTATTTTTTTAATAGAATATATTTGTAAGGGGAAGGTTACAAACCATATGCCGCTTAACAATGCACCTGAAAACTAAGAAATAAGTGTACTGTATGAGATTAAATTATCTTTTTAGATACGGGCTTACTTGGAGCTAGTGGAGTCACCTATATAAAAGAATAGAGTTTGCGAGATACTTAATAAGTTCATAATTATTATAAAATAGTGTCCAAAAAAAATTTCAGTAGAGTATAAATAATAAAATAATTTTCAAACCTGCAAAATAAGAAAATAGTTATAAATTCAAAAAAAAAGTCAATAAATTTCTCCTATGATACACACAATAAAAAAGTTGTATAAAAATAAACATATAAAAATTAAACTCTAAAATCCAATAATAATCAGTAAAATATGTACAAAATAAACTATAAAAGTTCATGAACAATTTTAATAAATAATATCAAAAATATATGTAAATAAATAAATAATTCTTTGGCATTTATATTTCAGTTTTTGGATTTTATATTATTTATTTAAATATAAATAAATAATTTATAATATGAAACTCAACAACTAATAAACTATAAAAAAATTGCAAATTGAGCTAAAATAGTATTTAAAAGTTCAACATTTTAAAATTATAAACTTTCATAAAAATCAACTTTAAAGGATAAAAAAAAAAAGTTAAAAATGACATTTTAAATTGAAATTTTGCACGGATTATTTTTAAAAATTAATAATAATTTGATAAAACATTTTTTTTTTAATAAAATATTTTTAATGTGTAAATACTTGTTTTCTAATTATTAATAATCTAAAAAATGAGGTAATAGAAAAAATCTAATTTCAGACTTCAAATCAAATTGAAAAATTTGGTTTAGTAAATTACATATTGACTGAGGTTAGGTGGCTACTTTCCACGTAGTGTATAACACAGTTCGAACTTGTACTAAGTTTCATTAAAAAAAATTTTGAAAATCAAATCGTATCAAGTAATTTTTTATTTAATAGGAAATTTTTCAATATTTATTATATGTATAACAAGAAGATTATGAGTGACGAGTTGAAATAAATAACATGCTGTGTAAAAAAATGGTTTTAAGTTATTCGTAATTTTTTGAAATTTGAAGAAAATTCTAAATAAAAATGTAAAACTCTTACTTTTAACTATTAGTAAAAAAAAAACAAAAATTACATTTGCTACAGGATTGTCTGGTATACGAAAGGTATTCTTAAATTATAATAAATATTTTTGACCCCATGATAGTGTGACTATAAAATCTGGTACTTAGTGGCATTGCATATCCCCAACATCAATAAACTCAGAAATGAAAAGACACTAGTACACCACCCCATCTGATTTATTGACACAGCCATAATAATAATAATTCCAAAAAAATGAGCATAAAATTTTGTCTACAAATAATAAAATAATTAAATTAATTTATACTGGACTAATTATGGATAATACATTTTTAGTAAATGTAGCATCTATAAAAATTCTTGAATCCGTGAACAATAACATCAAAATACTTAATGTAAATCAAATACTGATGAGACTAATTTGAAGTTACTGAAAAATGCATAATATTTCTAAATGAATAAAAATGTTCTCAAATAAAATATCGACACATTTTATAGCCTGAATTCTTTTGAAGGCATCGGCCGCTGATACTAACCGCTGTAAGTGGACTGACCGACGCGTAGGGTGGAAATGTTGCCAACCGCAGCACTCGTACCGTCAAAGAAATCCAATGCAAATTTTGCGCCTGGCGCAAACAATCCGTAATTTGTATAATATGTTACTAGTCATGGCACTTAGAACATTTTACTGGGACTAACACAATTTTTAATATTTAGTACATAGCACGTTGTTGATTTCAAGTCTATAAGTATTAACTAAAATTTATATTTTATATTTTACAATAAATATTTAATTTTTTAGATATTTTGTTAGAAAAAGCAATTAATGATACAGGTATGATAATTAATTATGTTATATTTTATACAAAGTTTTTTTATTAACTTTATTGAAATTTAATTTAAGAATGAATTGAACATTTAAACAAAAATAAGTATTAAAAATTCCATAGAGTGGAACTTTAATCACATAAACTAGTTGACAAATTGTGTTCAGTGTGATATCCGAATTAATACGTCTTATAAGAAATTAATATTATGATAAAGATATTATTCTGTTTCTAGACTTAATCGAGAACATATTGTTCAATTATTTTACTTAACTTGACCATTTAAATACTTAGGCTGAATTTGACATAACTCAATTTTTGAATAAGTAACTATTACTAACTACTTTTGTATTTTATTATTATGACAAAGTCTTATAATTGTCTTTATATAATGAAAGTAATTTTAAATAGGTAGTTATTAAACATTAAAATTTGTGTATTTATTTCATAAAATAAATCATTTAGTCCTAGTAATTAATTGTTATTCATTGANATAAAATAAATCATTTAGTCCTAGTAATTAATTGTTATTCATTGATATTGATATATTAGGATTCTATAACAATAATTTTTAAATACTAGAAATAAATTTCATACATCATTTTGTTGGACTATAGATGAAAATCAAAAATTCAAGACAAGTTTGTATGACATTTTATTAGCTTGTTTTTTTTAAACTCGTAGTTTTTCTTTAACAAGCTACAAAGAATTAATTAGTACATTTACTATAAGAAATTATGTTAATTTATAGAATATGAATCCTTAAAGTATATTAATGATTTAGTTCATAATATCTGTGTCGTTTATAATTATTTTCATTCACAATGATCTTACTAGACTCTAATTTATTGAGTTTTAGTCGAAAATAATAATTCCTCCATAAATACTATAAAAATAAAATAAAATCTCCACGTCGAGTTTTCTATTTCATTTTTATGCAAATAAAATTGTCACTGAATTATTTTTACTAAAAATGAAACGAGACAACACATTTAAGGACGAATTACTTGGATAATGATTTCGGAGGTATAAGTAAAGTAAGTCTGTATACATTTTATACAGACTTATTACTATACAGTAAAACTACAAAATAAAAATTTTTGCTAGAATAATCTCAAGTTTTTTAGCTCCACGAAATATTAACAAATTTGTTTGCATTAGAATTAAAAAATAGGTTCATTGTGGCTGTGGAGAATTTCCATGGAATTCGTTCTTCTAGTAAGTATTAAAAAAAAGTTAAATATTTATGTAAATTCACATTTAATGTTCTATTGAAATTTAAGTATACTATTACATAGTTTTTTACAGGAGAAGATTACATGATTTTGTATTTCATCTCATTTACATAATATTAGTTTCTTATTTTAATAGGTCACTATTTCGCTTAAAATCATTCACTAGTTAATTAATTAAATATTAACTTTAAATTAATCAAATTTACAAAAATTGAATATTTCACCTAGCTAAATTTACAAGGTGATTTATTAGACTACCTCTATTGTTTTGTTAAATCATAATTTTTTTTTTATAAAAATGTATAGAATACAATTTTAAAAATTAGGTCTTGGCGTTCCTTCTATTTTTCATTTAATACTTCATCTAGTCTGTCCAACACCTAGGCTATTAACAAAAAATTAAAAAACTGTATATAAAACTTCTCACTCTTTAACGAATCATGGTTTGTTCCCTTCGGTAGTAAGGTTGCTCTCTCCTACATTCCGTCATTAATTATCACCCTTTTCATCCTCTTACTTCTTTGTTTATACTCAGTGCAATTCCCTATGCAGTCTATTCGCAAAAATCGTCCACCTCCTGTTTAGATGGAGTTTCCCCTTTAGTTCTAAAACATCTCCCTTCTCGTTGCCTTGAAATTCTTTTAGCCAATCTCAATTCTTTATGATCCCAAGGTGTTATTCCTGAGTCTTGGCATAATTTTAACGTCATTTCTGTTCCTAAATCTACCTCAGCATTCATTGCATTTTGACCAATTTCTCTTTCCTCTACTCTTTGTAAAGTAATAGAATACATTATCAAAAACCGCCTTGATTGGTTTTTCGAATAAAAATAACTGTCATACCCCTAACTTTTACGGGTATCGAAAAGGTCTTGGCACTATGGAGTGTTTATCTACTCTCATAGCCTGTAAATCCTATTGTCCTACTGTCTTTAATAACATCAAAGGAGCTTTTGATTCTGTGCACATTCCTACCCTTAATTCTCTTTTACATTTTTATTCTATGCCACCTACACTTTGTAATTTTTTTTCACAACGTTTTCTTACGTCCACTTCACCTTCTGGTTTAACATTAAATCGCACCTCCTACCGCGGCCTCCCATAGAGCAGATGCCTTAGTCCTCTACTTTTTAATACTTACATATGCAAAATTAGCGTTCAAGATAAATTTTACTATCATTTATCAATAAAATCTAGTGCAAAGTGATAAATTAGACTACTCATAACAGTATTTGTTATTGGATATTGAAAACGGATTGATAATTAAATATCTTCTCAGCTTCGCATCGAAGCTAATAAATATTATGATTTTTTATCATTGTCTGTGAATTTGTTCACAGAGAATGGGGCGGAAATAATTTTTCCAAGTAAAGGTATACTATTATATTAATTTAAAATAACTTAAGTGCCCTTTAAATAGAAGTGAATTAAAAAAAAAAACCAGAAAACATATTTTCAGATATATTATTACTAATATAGGTTAAAATGTCAGAGTATTATTCCAGAATACAAAAATATCATATTCCAATACTTTTTGCAAATATCCATCTTATTACATATTAAAACATTAAATAAATCGCCAATACTGGAAAAACTAACTTATGCTGTTTAGTTTTCAATTTTTTTTTTTTTAATGAAACAACTCAGTTTCATTATCCCGGAAAATAATTCTCAAATATAAGATAAATTTGATTGAAATTACCAGATAGTTTAAAAATGTTGATATCTTTTGTGGAAAAATCTTATCATTACAACCATTTTTGGCTATAGTCGATATATTGACCGAATTAGTTAAATCACAATTAACATAAATCCAACTCTAAACATTTCTAAACCTTTTAACCCAACCAAACATAATGCCATAAATCTAAACACTAAGTAAAAAGTTATCATCTTAGTTAATGTATTATTATTTATTTTATAGAAAATGAACTTAAATGTGAATCAGGTTGGTTTTCTTGAGTATGTTTATTCAGTTCATAAAAGTAATTTATTATAAGAGTTTTTTAGAGTACTGCACTTCAGTACTTTGGAACAGCAGTGTAACTATTCATAATGAGTAGATATAAAGTATACCTTTAGAAACAGCAACAATCCGTAATGTGAAATATAACATAGAAATATGTATTGTACTTGTATGTAAAATAAATTTAACCCTTAATAGGGCAATGAAAAAAAATTTAAATTAAACGAAATTAAAAATGTTGTAGTAGCGCTAGTAATTTGTACTAAACATAGAAATAATTAAAAAAAAAAAACCCAGCACA